ACACCTTGGTTGCTAAAGTCCATGCGGTCTCTGAAGTAGTCATTTGGCAGCCGTCTGCAGGGAAGCGTCGCAAGGATGCATAGCCGATCTCCAATGAACAGGAAAGAATATACTTGCAAGCTAGGCAAAAGCCTTCGAGACCGGGTTTGACAAGATCTGAAAGTGGGGTGAGACCCTGAGTCAGGTCATAGTAATGATGTGCTAAGCCGGCAGAAACCCATAATCAACTCCATAATACCGGTTATGTTTTCGGGGCTTCCACAACGTGCCGTGCATCATAGCCAAAACAACCATGGACGACAATATGGGAAATTCTCTCTAAATCGCCCAGCATTCAACTGAAGGATACACTAATAGTTTCAACTAGACATCCCTCCAAGCTTGGAATCTCACTAGACATATGAAATCAAAGTTCTACATAGAATTCATCTGCCGAGAAAGGCATTCGAGTCTATGTCAGCCACCATTTTTTCTAACCAAATCTGGATATTTCCGGAAATTAGGATCTCGCCAGTTTATGTTGGTGACAAAATGATTCATAAGACTCAGTAAGACCGTAAGCGTGCTCCATTTCTACAGCTGCCAAAGCCCTCAGTAAGCATTAAGTAATGCATTTGGCCAACCAAATGTGAGCATACTCTCTGTTCGGGCCGAACCTTGTAGATGAGCCTGGATTCCCTGGAAGTCTAGAGTATGGGAACAAGATTAATAATATGACAGTCTTCATTGAGTTCCAGCTTACTCGACTCTGTGGAGTGTCTTACTACCCAATTCAAGGAACGCTCATGAAGGCGGCCAGATTACTTGCACATCCCGCAGTGGGATCATGCGTGGAACATTGAGCTCAGCATGTAACGATAAGGATGGACTAAGTGAAGAGCTATACTACTACAATACATATTACAATTTGAGCACCATATTCAAATTCCATGGAATAGACGCAGAATTTTCGGTTGTATGCTCATATCTGAATGGTGAGTTGCGACATTCAGGTGATATATATAGTTGTGGTTAACTCTTCATCAGTGCCCGCAAGGACTGAGGACAACAGACACGTCCGCATCCAAAGCATAATCAAGGTCGATTTCATATGCAGAGGCCAACCGCTGATAGACAAAGAGATAGATAGCAAGATATCTTATCTAGACCCGATGATACCATCAGACAGATGAGATGCCACACGGCCTCGTTATCGTGCGGGGTAAGCCTACGAGTTATAACTAGAAATGCGCAGTCGCAACACCACAAAAAGACAACAACTTCGTACAACCCAGGAAAACAACCAAAATGTCTGATATCCCACACATATCAAACTGGATCAACGGCACCCATATGCCCCCAACCCCCGAACGCATCGTCGTGCTCAACCCCGCAACCGAAACCCCGATCGCAACCATCGACGCAACACCTCAAGCAAACATCCAAGCCATCATCGCAGCATCATGGGAAACATTCCACAACGGACCCTGGTCCCGCGCAGACGCCTCCGACCGCTTCACCGTCCTGTCAAAGGCAGCTACCCTTCTCCGCGCGCGCATCCTTGAATTTGTGGAACTCGAAACCAGACAGACCGGCCGACCGATCCGCGAGATGCGCGCCCAGCTAGCCCGCGTACCAGAATGGCTGGAGTACTTCGCCTCCCTGGCTCGCGTCCACGAAGGCCGTGTGACGCCCTTCAAGGGTCCCGTCGTGAACACCCTCACCCGGCTACCATTGGGGGTAGTGGCTCAGATAACACCCTACAACCACCCACTTCTCATCGCGACGAAGAAGATAGCCGCTGCGCTGGCGGGCGGGAACGTGGTTATTGTCAAGCCGTCGGAGCTGGCGCCGTTATCGGTGCTGAGGCTTGGGGCGTTGTTTCAGGAGGCAGGCTTGCCGGACGGTGTGTTGCAGATCGTCAGCGGGTATGGCTATGAGACGGGCAAGTTTCTGTGTGAGAGTCCGCGACTTGCGAAGATTGATTTGACGGGCGGGCTGGCGACGTACAAGGCCATTGCGCCTGTGGCAGCGGCGAACATGATCCCCATCACGGCGGAGCTTGGGGGAAAGGCGCCGGTGTGTTTGTTTCCGAGCCTCGACGTGGAGCTGGCGGTTAAGGCGGCGTTGTTTGCGAGTTTCATTGCCAGTGGGCAGACGTGTGTGACTGGCAGTAGGCTACTAGTGCATGTCGATCTTTACGATCGGTTTAAAGAGCTGTTGGAGAGAAGGGTGAGAGCCTTGCGGGTGGGAGACCCGGTGGACGAGCGCACGCAGATTGGCTCCGTCATCTCTCGCGCAGCTGTCGAGAGATGCTCTGCTTTCGTGCTGAGGGCAGCACAGGAGGGAGGCCGTGTGCTCTGTGGAGGCAACCCCACAAACTCAAATGGAAAAGGCTTCTTCTTTGAGCCGACCATCGTCGAGACACATGCTGATTCGGACCTCGCTTCTAATGAGGTCTTCGGGCCGGTTATTGCGCTCGTGAAATGCGAATCCGAGGACGAGGTCATCCGTATTGCCAACGGCACATCCTATGCCCTGGGAGCATCGGTCTGGACCAATGATTTCAGCCAGGCTCATCGCGTTGCTGCAAAGATTGAAGCGGGCATTGTTTGGGTAAACGGACACCACCTGAATGATCCATCTTCATCTTGGGGTGGATTTAAGGAAAGTGGTATGGGAAAAGAGAATGGTATCGAGGCTTATGAGAGCTACACAAAGGTCAAGAGTACAGTGATCAACTATGGGGTGCAGCCTGTATGGTTTGATGACGAGCCCGCCAATGCACGGTATGGCTAATTTCCACCGGTGCCCCTGGAATGTCACCGTTGGTGTAACTCTTTGCACTCAGTCACTCTAACATAGGAGTAAAGTGAATGAGATGCCATACTTCAAGAGCAGTAAAGTCTACCGACTGACAGTAGATGTGTCATTCGGCCCCGAGGCTCGGAAATCAAAGATTCCCAATTCGGTAAATAGTGCGTCGGATAATGGCGGTCACTCTGTATCTCCGAGCGGATGGCGGATTTAAGTATACGGCTTTTGCTCTTTTCGTAAATCAACGAGACATAGCATGGGATACAATCAAAAAGCGATTGCATTTATAGGCGTACAAGATGCTACTCCCATGCCCCAGCCAGACTGGGATTGAGTCGACGGCTTGGGCTCCATCTACAACATCTCCGGATATTACAAGTCTAGGGGTTCGTCCAAGACAATATGAGCACCGATATAGTGACAGCGCCGGAGAGTTCTCAAGCCGAAAAAAATGAGCCTCCCAAGCCAACATTCCCCGAAGGAGGGTTCAAGGCTTGGATGACAGTGCTAGCTTGTTGGTGTGTCATGTTCAACACATTCGGATATATGAACGCTTTTGGGTAGGTCTTGTCTTCCGAAAGCTTCCATTATGCTAACATGGTGTGCGCAATAGTGTTTACGAAGCATACTACAAGAATACCCTCCTCAGGAATGAAAGTAACTCCAACATCGCATGGATTGGATCATTGCAAGCCTATTTCATGTACTCCAGCGGACTCGTGTCTGGTCCCCTCATGGATCGATATGGACCAAGAGTAAGGGCACCAACCTTAGGAACGTACAGTTACTAATTCTCACAGGTTATACTGGTCCCCTGCTCGATCGTCTTCGTTCTTTCGGTCATGCTCACCAGTCTCTGCAAAGAATACTACCAGTTCATCTTGGCTCAGGGCGTTCTTGGAGGCATCTTCAACGGCCTGACATACACCCCAACACTGACCGCAGTGAACCAGCACTTCTTCAAACGCCGACCTCTTGCCTTAGGGATCGCTTCGAGTGGCTCGTCCCTCGCTGGCATCATCATCCCAATTGCGCTAAATCGCATGCTCAACAAGACGTCCCTGGATTTTGGCTGGTCCGTTCGGATCCTCGGACTCGTAATGCTCGCACTCAGCGTCGTGGCCTGCCTTACCATTTCATCTAATGCATCCAAGCGACGCACAGGAACACCATTTCTTCTCGAAGCATGGAGGAAGCCCGAGTACGCTATTCAAATCATCGGTCTATTCCTAGTTACCTGGGCTCTCTTTGTACCAATGTTTTACATCCCAAGCTACGCACAATCCATCGGTATCAGCGTCAGTTTGTCCAATTATCTTATCGCTATTCTGAACGCAGGCTCCCTCGTCGGTCGGATCCTCGGTGGCGCGCTCGCCAACCGTCTGGGTCGATTCAATACCCTTGCCACTGCCTCCGCTGCGTGCGGCATCCTGATCCTCTGTTGGCTGCGTATCAAGTCTCATAGTGGCGTGGTGGTCTTCTCCCTGCTGTTCGGCTTCTTCTCGGGAATTGTGATCGGTCTCTTTACGGCTACAATTGCCATGACGGCGCCGAAGCCCAATGTGATCGGGTCGTACATTGGGATGGCGCTTGGTGTGCTGGGTCTGGCCAGTTTGACGGGGACTCCGATCACGGGGGCTATGATCAACACCTATGGGACTTACGACGGGGCTATCATATTTGCGGGTGTGTCTGCTGTTTTAGGTGCTGTGATCATCTTTGTCGCTCGGGTGGTATATGCGGGCTGGAGACTCGTTGCCTGAGAGAATGTCTTTTGACTTGCGTCAATTGTTGTGGATGTAGATAAGAGTATTGAAGAACAAAATTGCCCGCAGCATCTCCTGCTTATGATACAGAGACATAAGACAGGTTCCCGACCTGTGGCATGTAAACTTGATTGCAAAAATATATAACATACCTTATTACGCAGAACCGTAAAATCATAAGATGTCATATGTTGCACTAGTTTTTGCCTAGGGGAGGGTAATCTGCAGGGTGGCTGGAAGCCTGAAAGCGCAAGCAACAGGTGCCTCTGCCTCTTAAATCTGGTAATCTGTTGACATGCACTTTCCTTTTCTATCAATAAGAAAATAGAGGTGTCAACTTTGAAATCATAGCAGATTCACCAACGTCTCTGTATCAGAGGTTCGTTTATTCCAACTTAATCCCAACTATCTACCCACTCTTTCTCCTGCCCTCACAAGATGACACAAAATCAGGCTGCCTGGATTATTGATTCTAAGGCGCATCCATTTAGTATCCAGGATGCCCCATATCCCACACCAGGACCCGGGAAGTCGTGATTAAAAATGCTGCTGTTGCTATTGTGCGATCAAATCACCAATTTCATGAATATTAGCAAAATTTTGTTTGCCATAGAATCCCTCTGACTGGATAATTCAGTATGATTGAACTTTCTACCCCTAACACAGCGCACGAGTTAATCACTTATTCTCGCAGGATATATGATGCTCCTAGGCTGGCCATTCATTCTAGGCACTGATGTCGCTGGATTGGTGGTTATGAACCCTTGTGTGACATACTTCACCGAAGGCCAGCGGGTCGTCGCGTAAGTATTGTGGCTGATTTTGCACAGTGAGATATATATAATTATAGCAAGACCCGCTTATTCCCGTTGTAGGTATTGCCACAATGTAGGGCCAAATGATGCTGCCCACTCGGGATTCCAGTTGTACACGTTAGTGAAGGAAATCACTGCAGCAGGAATCCCAGATTCTATTAGCTTTGAAGAAGTCGCTGTGCTACCGCAGGCTCTTTCGACTGCCGCGGCGGGCCTGTTTCTCGAAGCAAGCCTCAATCTTCCCTTACCCCCTGCTACTGGCCTGAAGCCGACAGGGAAATCGATTCTCATTTGGGGTGGCGCGTCTTCGGTTGGCGCAACAACAATTCAACTCGCAGACGCGGCAGGTCTGACGGTGATCACGACTGCATCAGCTCATAACCATGAGTTGGTAAAGTCTGTAGGCGCAAATGCTGTTTTTGACTATAAGTCTCCTACTGTCGTCAAGGATGTTGCCAGTGCGGTCGCCAATACTAACTTTGTTGGTGTCTTCGACGCTATTTCCGAAACTGCAAGTTCTGAGATGGTGCGTACAAATCTAGACCAGTTGAAAGCAGATGTCAGGACTATAAGTGCTCTGCCCTATGATAAACCCACGGAACGGTCTGCTCCAGTATTTAGTAAGGGCCCTTGTGATGATGCCTTTTCCTCTCCCCTTTTTACTCATCTTCGCTGCATATAACTAACATTCCCCGCCCTCATTTAGTTAGTTCCAATTTCCTAACCTATGACTCCAACAAACATGTCGCCGACGGTATTTGGAAAGACTTTCTCTCAAAAGCTCTGGAGAACGGACGACTTAAACCAAAGCCAGACCCTGAGGTTGCTGGGAAAGGCCTAGAAGAAATCCAGGGTGCTGTTGACATGCTAAAGAAATGCGTCTCGGCCAAAAAGATCGTTGTCACTCTGTGATAATCAAGATGCTAGGAAACTTTCTGACCTTGGGCATTAGCAATATGGAAGGAGACAACTATCTGTAGTGGGAGTTTAAACAGGAGCTTAGTGGAGCTTGGCATTAGGGGTTGAGAAATAATCTGAGAGTAGATGTTTGCACCAGTTTTGCAACCAGCTCTACCAAACAGGTACATTGATGCAGGTGCCAATCACTGTTCCTCCTGTCTAAAATTTCTGCCTCAGGCTACAAAATCACCGGTCGAGATGCCTCGAGGATCAGGCTGAACCGTCCCGGAGAAACATTAGACCGGGGCGTGAACGATGATCCTGGCAAGTGGCTGCCATCGACAACATGACAACCCATCGCTCATCTCGATGAATCAGATTTCAAGACATCCTGTCAACCAGAATCTGCACTATTATTCCTACTACACTAGAAATGGTTGTCTGAACACCTTCCTGGTCAAGTGGTTTGATGGCGGGCGACATCCCAATAACACGTAAGGCAGATCTCGCTCAAGCTCGGAGATCAAGCTGGCTTTCTCCGATTTGTTCAATGATTCTGTTTTAGACTTTGGCTAACATTTTTTGATTAGTGAACAACTCCACTGCTCCTTATCTTTGATTGGTGACAGCCTGAGGACCCGAGTTTTAGCATTCTCAGGCAGCAGCCACTTCCAAATTCCAACCCATGCTGACGAACACGCACATGGGCGACACAAGTGATCAGGAGTCAGGACCTTAACACCTTTGATGACGATTCGCAGATGGCTTAATAATCCTCGATGAACTCATCTAGATTCGGTCCCCGTCGGCTTGATTCGCTCCGTTCTTGGATAACTGGGCCAGTATTTGGAGCTTCAGTTCGCCCCATGTGGAATGTGGGAATTTTACTCCGTGATAACGGGCCATCCATTGGAACCTCCCATCTTCCAGCGATACAGAGTTCATAAACCTCAAGTATCTCACCCTTCGCTCACAGATAGCTTTTGGCCACGGCGAACGTGCAGCTTCTATTCAGTGATCACATTTGGCCTCGGTCGCTTTCAGTTCCGGTCTCAGCCCCGTGTCATCCCCTGGATCGAACCCCGCTCTCTCAACGGCTTCTGACGATCCTCAGTCCGGCAAGGACGACGGGTCACGGAAAAAAATCATGGTCAATTCACAACCAGCAAAGGCCAGGGAACGATCTTCTAAGAAGAGAGGTCGCCCTCAAAAAGTGCAGGATGTTCAGACACCTGCGGAGGTGAGTTATAGTTATCACTTTCTTATCTTACTCTTGAGAACACCTGCTCAAAGCAGTATCAGAGACGCCGGGCTCAGGTCCGTCTAGCACAGCGCGCCTACCGTTCCCGTCAAGAAGCCACTATGTCGCAGCTGAAAAATCGTATCGCTGAAATGGAGTCGGTGATCGAGACGATGACGGAAGCCTTTCTTGCTTTTAGCGACAGGCTAATGCAATCGGGCGTATTAAATGCATCTCCGGATATTGCTCAGTCCCTTAAAGAGGTGACCGCCAAGTACGTCACGCTTTCAAGTCAGATGACCGAAACAGCCGGAGACTACGCTACGCTGCAAGATAAAGCATTGTCCCAAATCACTGCGTCAGAACAGTTATCCTTCCACTCGTCAGATCAGACAAGCCACTCATCAGACTCCGCGGTCGCTGTCATAACAGTCCCCGGAAATGGTGATCTCGGCGGCGCAGAACCCCTCGGCGCACTGATACCGATTGAGACACCGGACATGGCTAATGGCTCCCTTTTCTCTATCACAACTCCGACAAATATCAGACTCCCATCTCCTCACCTTATCAACATACCCACACCTATGTCGCATCTATACGGTCCGGATAGCCCCTTCTTCGCCGAGCGGTTGCACATGGCCGCCTATAAGCTCGCACTCCAATACCTCAAGAATCCAGCTGTTCCCGACTCCGCGTTACTTCGGAACTTTGGTTTCCTGATGAGTAGATGGAGCCGACGCCAACTTCTCGCCTACTTGAACTCGTTTCTGAAATCTTCCGAGGCAGTTGAAGGTTCCAAGAAATTCAATATTCCCCTGCTGAACCTGGGCGGTGCCGGGTTGCACTACCCACGGAAGCATTCGCCCCTCAGCGATCCCGGTCTTTATCAGCTTCCCTCGGCTGAAGACATTTCGATGATGTATGCAAATGGGTTGAGTATTCAAGACCTTGAAGAGCCCTGGTTTGACCCGGGAGACGTGGAGGGATTCCTTGAGGAGCGGGGCATAATTCTTTCCAATCGAAATATGTTTCCGGAAAACTTGCAAAGCGATCGTCAGGATGTGGTTGCCAGATCATGGCAGTCAAGATTTCTGGATGGCCAAGCGATGTTCTCGCGGGGTCCCATGTTGGCTGTCGATGAAGATCAATTGATCAACTGTAAGCCGCGTTGGACTGTGTACCATATGACATTGAGTGCTAATTTTGGTCGGCAGGGCTGTCCTATCGCGGCATTTGCCTAGGCCGTGCGCCAGGGTTCCGCAAACGTGACGTGGAGAGGTTCATATCGCAACATGCTTGGCCCCTCGACGTGCCTCAAATGCCTATTCAGGCCATCGCAGTAGTCTAACTCTATTTACGACAGCGGATTACGGTTTTACATAATCCGGAGAAGCTGATCGCTGGTCCATAACGCCAGTGACTTTTCGGCTTCAGCGATCTCTACTTCATATTCAGCGTGCTCTCCGCTTCGGCTGTGTCAAGTGGCAAGGACTGGCCTGAGTTCTCCAGCGTGATCTTGGCTCCGCAGTTCGGATAGTGACTCTGGCCTTCGCATGCCCCGCGGTAACATTCGCACCGCGGTAGTCCTGCCTCTTCTATTGCCCTTCATGACAGTCCCGGAGTGAGAGTCTATTGCTGTCGCCAATCTCTTCGGCTGTCGTTTATAAATGATGTCATGAGAAACAAGCAAGAAATTGGGCTTCTCGTTCTCCAGAACTTCGCCGGATTGGTGTTATTGCGAAGAGTTCGATGCATAGCAGGGGTCGAGTGAAACGATATAGCCACCTGACCCTGTGTTGTTGGCGTTTGTCTGAACTGTGCTCTCTGTGCGCTGTCAATCGTCTGACCAGGGGTATGCCATCGGTACGGATGTGAGGTACCTCTGATTACCTCGCCGGCTGACGCGCCCTCGATGGGCGGCGAGGGACGATCTATCACAACCAATCCGATCCTGTGCATTTGCCCTGTTCTTTCGGAGAGCGGCGGTGCCCCTCACAGTCGGAAGGAAATAATGCTTCTCTGTCCCAGGCGGGAATAGGTGAGGGCAACGCGAAAGACCATAATTGACTCTATAGAGGATCGCCGGAAACGCTGCCTCGTGTAATACCAGGGCGTTGGCGAATTTGACCTTGTCTTCATATTTCGAGAAACGGTTCTGGAACTGCAGAGTCTGTTATTCCCTGAGTTTGCGGATTCGAAGCCCGTGGCCCAATTCCAGGGGCTTCAGGGGAGGCGGCGCTGGCCATAAATCGGGTGGCGCCGGCGAATAAAGACGAGACCGGACGGCATTTTGACATTGTATGATTCATGTTCGCTGGGTCGTCATGAGATGCAGTCGGGGTTTTATATCTGGCGGGAGGGGTTCGTCTCAAGGAGGAGGCGGAAGGCACTAAATACCTTGGCTCGGCGCGAGTGCGTTGTTTAGTGATCAGTTCGGTGGAGATGGTCAAGTGGCTGACCAGACTTTCTCGTATCACTGATTAGTGATACTGCCCCATGTCGAGGACGGGATGATTAGTATTCACTGATGCAGCGTGTCACCACCCCGCTCGTTTCTGGTTACAAGCATATCACAGTATCTATTTTTACCCAGTAACGGGCTATTGTAGTTGTAGTAGTAGTATCCACTGAATGCAGTCTCTCTATTCTAGGCTTTCGAGTTGCCTGGGTGGCACAAACTGGTTGTCTGTCATGGTGATACAACTCTTCTAGTAACGGACTATATAATGGTACTCATCCTCGACAACCATCGGCAATCATCAAACAACACCCACCCAAGTCGCTCATAAACAACAACCATCCCACAAATAAACAAAAATGCCTCGCTGGTTCATCCAACACAGTCCCAACACCCTCACCGCCGAGGAGAAATCCCACCTCGCGCAACAAATCACCCAGGTCTACGTCGGCTTCGGTCTCCCCGCCTTCTACGTCCAAGTGCACTTCACCGAGCAGCCAGCCGGCACATCCTTCATCGGCGGCGAGCAGCACCCCAACTTCGTCGCGCTAACCGTCTACCACCTGGCGCGAACAATGACCACCGACGAGCAGCGGCAGGGATTCCTGAAACGCATTGATGCGGTCTTGACGCCCATGTTTGAGCCCAAGGGGATCGACTGGGAGTATTTTGTTACGGAGACGCCGAGGGATCTGTGGAAGATCAATGGGCTTGTGCCGCCGGCTGCTAAGTCCGAGGAGGAGAAGGTCTGGGTTAGGGAGAATAAGGCCGTGAAGCTTTAGATGAAGACTGTGATGCTTGCGCCTGATGAATTGAGGATTGTACATAGCTAGTTTTGTAAATGAGTGCGCTTGCCTAACCGACTATCTCCAGAACTTGCCCAACTAGGTCAGAGTTAAAAACTTCTCTCCGCGCTGTCCACGATGGTTCTTTTCGCGCCTTTTCCCCGGCCGTGAAGGCTGCTCTCTCGTAGGGTTGCCCAATGGTCGGTTTGTCTGGCGATATCAGCAATGCAACTTTAAAAAAATTCCTTGAAGAGGAAAAGAAAAAAAGGCATACAAGACGGAGTCCATAAATTCCGGCCAATATTAATCGCTGCGGAATGTAGTGCGGCAGGGGCGGGCCGCGGCTTCTGTTCCAGTGCCAGGGGTAGACAGGCCGTGCATCCAGTGTTGCAGAATCGCTATAGCTAGTAAAATACGTCGTATTCATTGTCATCATCTTTGCGTTTTTCCTGTCTCGCCCACGTGCGTATCTTTGTCGTGGTGTCTATCGTGGATGGGCGACAGGTTTTGCTGGCAGATTTATCTCGCGCCGGGGTGTTTAACCACGGCCGTAGGAAACAGGAAACACTGCCAGATCGATGGCCTTGTTGCTGGTCGCTGTTTGGTGGTGCCAAACGGGATCTGACACTTGGAAGTTCATCGAGGTCGACCTCATTACAGACCATGTTTTCTGATATGTGGAGTCGCTAGGGTGGGTTGTGTGATGGCCTGGAATCAAACGCGACGTCGGAAGAGGGGACCAGACAATGTGCTTCTCGTCTTTGGTAAGGTTCGATTGAGCCGTTATGAAGATGTTGTATGATGTATTTGGATAGCAGTGAACGTATGATTCTGAATACCCGCAGAAGTAGGTTGATGTAGAGGAGATTAGGTTTGGATGCAGCCAACAGAAGATTTATTTAAGTCAATGGAAGGTGAATGCTCTTTTCAGCCTCTACTGCTGATTCTTCCAGGCGATATGGGTGAATCCCATCCCTCTGTAGCTTAGAAGCTATAAACAAAGGCTGCGAGCAGGAGAATCATTCTGGCATGGGGTGGATTGATCTACTGACAGGCCGCATGCTGTCAATGAATTCTCCTGCAGAGAGCAATTTCAAAACTTCCCTCTCATTCAACTATTCCTTGACTGCTGTTTTCTGTTGGCATTATATCTAAATCAGCACAACTCGTCTCTAAGGTGCAGCATGTTGTATGACAAAGTGAATTTTTATTCTTAGCTGAGTGAATTCTTAGGTTTGGGGACTCCACATGACTGCTATTTGCCTGACTAGGTAAGGGGTTGTCGCTATATTCTCAGGACTACCCTTTAAACAAAGACAAAGATGACGTTAGGAAGCGCAACCAGAGTAGGCAGATGAAGATTATATACTACTCTAGAAGCTTCAGCATCCCCTTATTTTCAGATACCATGAGATATTTCGATTATAAGAACCATTCGGGAGCTCAGAGAGAATTATAAGTGCCCATGCATAATAGACGGAAGTATATTTCTGGGCCCTATTGATATAAGGAGTGTTCCTACCTATTATCTGCAGGAATATATATCTGAATCCTACCGTAAGAATGAACGCCCACCAGATTCGAAAGGAGAGATTATTTCCACAATGCCAAGAGAATGCTGCGAATCTCGATGACCAATGGTTGCCTCCCAGAGGAGACTTAGTCGATAGTTAGCACCCCGTCAATTTGGTTAATATGTCACGCAACACGCCACAGAAATCACCTCTTCGGGCTTCCACAGTCTTCCCGTGGCTGATTGAGTTGTATATAAGACTAACAATACCCTGGACGGGTAATTGGCGCTGCCTTCATCCTTCGTCATGGCCTCGAAAGTCCATCTCGTCCGCCACGCGGAATCTGTCCACAATATTTCACATGACTTCTCGCAATTTGATCCAGAGTTGACTCCTCTTGGCCTTCAGCAGGCCACGCGGCTTGGGCAGTCGTTCCCGTACGGGCGCCAGGTGGGTGCGATTATCACCTCTCCACTCAAACGAGCCATCCAAACCACCCTTGCTGCTTTTCGGCATATTCTTGATAAACGTTATTTCGACCCCGATTCTGGGTACGGTGTAGAGAGCGGCGCAATACTTCTCTTGGACCCAGATTTGCAGGAGAGGAGTGCACTTCCTTGCGATACCGGATCTGCATCTGAAACCCTAGAAGCGGCTTTTCCGCGACTCGGTTTCAAGGATTTGGCTGAGGGTTGGCAAGTGAAAGAGGGCCTATATTCTCCAGCTGACGAAGCTGTAGAGGAGCGGGCTAAGAGGGTGAGATATCGTATTGCAGCGGTATGCGAAGATCTGCAACACCAAGGACGTACGGATATTGTCGTTGTGACTCATGGGGTTTTTATGAGGTTTTTATTGGGAAACCCAGATATTGATCTCCCGAAAGCGGGCTGGAAGAGCTACACTGTTGGGAGACACAGCTCTGATATTGTTCTATCGCCTCTCAAGTGACAACTTAGTCTTCCCAATGTGTCATGTACCGTTGCTTGGCTGGATGCTGTTTTAGGCTATCAGATATTGATTGCCAAACAAAGTTGTCTGTAGGCAGGGGCATTTGGTAAATGGGAATGATCACGCCTTAGTGTACATTTGGTGGACATATGAGTCCTCATCCGAGGGCAAGACGCGAAGGCCGAAATCTTACCCACGCAAAAGCAATATCACAGTAGGCTGGCTGTCATATCTCTTTTGTACTCTGTTGAAGGGATACATATTCATTTGCTGACATGCAAGTCAGTGTTGTTTTGTCTTAAAGTTCAACCATGAGGACACTTATTGTCACCATGGAAGGTTATACATATAAAGAAAGCCTCAAGGCAACTCATCGCCCAATATCAGTTCAAATAATATGTTAATTAACCTTGCCTATCGTACTATGACGTTGGCTGACTACCAACGAACCCAAACCCGATCGTCCAACAAATCCAACGCATGCTGCTGTCCCCTCGCCTGCAGCTTCAACCTCGCATGAACTGCATCAACCTCCTGCTCCGCATTAAGTCTTGCCCCCTCAAGCATTACCCTCACCCTCTCAACCTCCGGCTGATACGGTGCAAGCGGTAACATATCCCGAGAAATATCGCCCCACTCTCTCCAAATCGGCAACTGGAACGCCTGCATAGCGCGATTGAGCTGCCCGCATGCTGCAGACGGGTTCAGAAGCACACTGCAGACTGTAAGGTCCGTCCAGCCTCGGAATGACAGCATGGGTTTTTGTCCTCCGGAGAGGGAGTTCGCGGATGTGGACTGGGCGGGCATGAAGGCGGACATGGCAGCGCGTTGAGCGGCGGGGAGGTAGGACAGGGGATCCAGAGGGGAATTGACGGGTGTTGTGGGTGGAGTGCGTGGACGGAGGGCGAAGTCGACGCCGTATGACGTGAAGTGGTCGGCTAGTTCGCGGTCGGCCATGTCGTAGCCATATTGTGGGTTTTTGGCGCGGCTCGTTTGCCCTGTTTCCGTGTGTTAGATTGTATATATTGTTATCTGGCTGGGCCGTGTAATGGTAGGAAGAGGACTATGGATACTTATACATACAAACGTTGTGGCTAGGTGGTGCGCCACACGCGTCTATGTACTGAGAGACGGCTTCTGGACTGAGATAGCCCGTGCGCTGCGGGTCTAGGTGGCTGAAGAGCTCTTTGATTAATCTCATGAAGGAAGCCGAGGGTTTCATGTCCTCGGTGAAGAGCGGAGTCCAGCTGGTTGATGGATATGGAGGTGGTGGATGAGGAGATGGCTCAGTGCTTTCTAGTGGCGGGCTCTGCAATACTGGTCTCGATGCATACGGAATAGTTGGGACAGTTTCTTCGGTTTCCGCTTCCCTATTTGTTTCTGGCGGCGGACCCTGAACCGGGGACTTCATCGACGTCGGCGTTTCTGGCACCGTGTTCTCCACCACTTCTTCGTTTCTTCGTTCAGGGTTTGTAGGACGTGGAGGTTTCCTCGGCGGGACATCGCTATCTCTGTTTGAAACAGATATAGGGCGGCGCCGGGGAGGAACATATGGGCTTCGGACAGACTGCGCTCGTGGTGGAGGTGGTGGAGGAACAGGGATGAAGCCGCTGTGTGTGTGTAGCGAGATTGCATGAGAGGGATCCTCCTGATGCTGTGGAGGATAATTCTGTACAACGTAGCAGTTGGCGCAGAGGGTTATGCGGGGCGTGCAGGAAGCACATGAGAGACGCGCTTTCGTAGGCTGGATGAGCTCATTGCAAGATGTGCATTTGTACAGCGACGCCATACTGATTGTCGGCTGCGATAAAATGAATAAGAAGTTACCTAGCTCCGGCTCGTAACTCTTGGGGGAGCTGCTGACGGTTTATACGAAAGCTCGTCGGCTAATAAAGCCAAGTTTGACGCTTGGCACGCGGGGTCAGCCTGAGATAGATTTAAATAGTTAAGCCCTAAGGACATTGTCATCGTGCAAAAATATAAAGGAATAAGCCCAAATTATCGATATGCTCTGTGTCGTAAACCAATACCAACAGCCCTATAGGTCTATTAAAAAAAAAATAAACTAGCTTTTTAGTAAAGCTACTAATGTTGATTATTAGATATCTAGCTCTTTAGCCTTATATATCCCTCCATCAGCCGCACTTGAGCTTGATTGCAAGCCGAGCTCTCGACTGTGAAATCCTTACAAACTCTTTAAGGCGAAGGGAAAGAATAAACTAACGTGAATGCTGAGGACCCGAAGTATTTAGAAGAATGCACATGAATGGCTGATAATAGGCCACATTTAATAATATCTGATATGTAGTTCAGCGAGGCCTCAAAATACCACTAAAAGAAAAGGGGTTACAAACATATTTTAAGACTTTGCTAAATATACACAGGATATTATGAGGCCGCATGATACTTTCACTCCTCTTACTTGACATGACCCAGTCTCTACAACTCTCGAGCCCCATGTATATGTAAGTACTCAACCTAGAAGGAAGGCTATGACCCGAATCAGCCGATACCGTAAAAAGCCCTCTTGCTTATGGGCCCAACCAATACCAATGGCACGCATCCTGAAACAGTGTCACGAGTCTATTTTTAAAATACCTCTTTTTTTGGCCGAGGGCATCACGAGTCAACTGCTTGGTTTAGGGCGTTGACACGGTAAGTCTCACTACGCTCCATCAGTTGCGCGTGCGTGCCTTGATCAACGCACTTCCCATTCTCAATCAGGAAGATCACATCCGCTTTGCGGATGGTGTATAGCCGATGCGCAATGGCAATAATGGTCATATGTTTCGCAGCCTTCTCAAGACCATCCTGAAGCAAACGCTCGGATTCCGCATCCAGAGCACTTGTCGACTCATCCAGAAGCAGGAGCTTAGGCTTACGAACAAGCGCCCGCGCAATCGCTAACCGCTGCTTCTGTCCTCCTGAAAGGCGGTCGCCATTTGGCCCACAGCTTGTGTCATATCCATCAGGTAACTGCATGATCGTGTCGTGGATGTTAGCTGATTTGCACGCTTCCTCGAGTTCCTCCTGGGAGACCGTTTGACCGGGTCTCGCACCGAGAGTCAGGTTGAATCGGATGGTGCCATTGAACATGACACTATGCTGCGGGACATAGGCAATATCATAACGGAACGAGGTATCTCCGTACGCTATGTTATGCCCGTCTACCTCGACTGTTCCTGACTCGGGAGCGTACAGGCGCTCAACGAGTGAGACGATTGTTGACTTGCCAGCACCGCTTGGCCCGACAAGCGCTGCAAATTGCCCGGGTTGAACGCTCAGATCCAGGCCATGTAGAATTCGGGTATCTGGCCGTGCAGGATATGAGAAGAAGACCTGCTTGAAGACGACGCTAACGCCCCCCGCCGATGACGGCGCCTTCTCACTAGTTGCCTTGGCTTCGACATCCCACGCCGGAGTGAGAGGCGTGGAAAGCTTCTTAGTCGATCCCATGTCGAGGAGGTTCAGTAGGCGTCGTGTAGCACTGAATGCGCGCGACACGTCTGGCGCGAGGGCGAACGCCTGTCCCCATAGCTGGGAACTAACCAGGAGAGCAAGCTGCACGATGAAGAACTGGGCTTGAGTGTATTCGCCTGCGATGATGCGCCCTGATCCCCACCAGTAGGCCAGCGCATAAAGGAAATTACTCAGACCGTAACCAACAGCCAACCAGAGATTGGCCCAGGCACTGTGCTTCGTGATCTGGCGCATCGGTTCCTGAAGTGAGCGACGGTATGTACCGAGAATCTCGTGCTCCAGTGAAAGCGACATAACCGTCTTGATGGAGCTGACAGCCTCGACGGTGATGGCGTTGGAGTTTGCGAAAGCTTCTAGATGTTCCTCCTCAAAGCTGGCTAAAGTGGTGACGCGCATGTAACCAGCACCCAGGAGCAGTGGTACAACTGAGAGACACACTATCGCAATCTTCCAGGCAATAATGTGCGTCATGGTGATCGTCGCGACAAGACTGACAAAGATCGACAGGATCGTGCAAATCACAGACCCGGTCAGGCCACCGAGGGCGGTGCTGTCCTTGGTAATCAGCCCAAGCAGAAGAGATGGGTTCCGGTTTTTTATTTCGTGCCATGCCAGGTCCTGTTCGAGAATGGACCGAAGAGCGAGTACGCGCACCTTGTACATAACCTGCTCGGCGACCCAGCCAAAGAGAGACCAGCTGAAGAAATTGGCAGTGAACTCAATGATGGCGAGAACGAAAAATAGAAGCCCAAAGAACTCGCCCGCATGACGGATGGAGCTAGGTTCTTCACAGTAACTGAGCTTGCTGACAACATTACCGAAGATCACAGCCGATCCACAATATGTGCCGCCAATAACGATTGCTCCAACGGTTGCGATGACCAGCACGAACGAGTACGGCCGGAACAGGGCACCCACCGACTGTGCGGTCGACGAGAACGTTCGTTCGGCTCCCACCCCTTCGTCTGCTGGTCCCCGAGCATCATCATGAGGGACATCAGCGACAGTCGATGTCTCAAGGGTACCGGCCTTCTCGGAGAGCTCTTCCGTGGAACAGTTGGAAGTCGCAGAGAGTATATTGTTACCCTCCTCGCTATCGTTGATGTTGAGGTTCTGGAGACGAACGAGCTCAGCATACGCGCCATTGGCATCCATAAGGTTCCGGTGTGTTCCTTGCTCTACCAGCTTGCCCTGGCGAATAACAATGATATTGTTCGCATTCTTGATAGTCGACAGCCGGTGAGCAACCGTTATCACGGTTCGTCCGGCTGCCAGTTTGCCTACAGCCTGCTGAATCCGCAATTCCGAGGCCGAATCGAGGGAGGCAGTAGCTTCATCAAGAATAAGGATACGTGGATCCTTGACCAAGGCACGAGCCAGAGAGATCCGCTGCTTTTGCCCGCCACTAATGAGATGACCCTGGGCACCGACAGAAGTCCCAAACCCTTCGGGCAATCGTTCAATGAAACCGGTCGCATCGGCCAAACCAGCAGCATTAAGCGTCAGTTCCACGATTTCCCGGAGGGAGTCGCCATGCTCCTGGGAGGCTGCCGCCAAGGATTGGCCATCTCGGACTGCAGCTGCAACTTTGGCAAGGGCGTCGCTCATCAGTGCCGGCCGCAGGTGCTCATGCTTGGGTGAGTTGATAAGACCAAGGGCAATGTTTTCCAAGATTGATCGGTTCAGAAGACATGGCTCCTGTTGTACGAGACTGATATGACTTCGAACTGACCTGACGTTCAGCTCTTTGAGGTCGTGGCCATCCAACAGCACAGTGCCCTCGACTGCATCATAGAATCGGGTGATCAGCCCGGCAACTGTGGATTTACCACTACCGGACAGACCAACGATGGCAGTCTGCTGGTCGGCTGGGCAGACAAAAGACAGACCTTGCAATACGGGCTTATCGGGACGAGATGGGAAGGCGAAATGAACATTGCGCAGCTCCACCTCTCCTGCAACGTCTGCAAGCACAGCACCTGTATCTTCGGCAGTGCCATCAATAATCGCAGGCCGGTTCATATCAGCCTCCAACTTAGCAAAAGCTACGGATGCGGCATCAAAGCTTTGCAAGAATGGAGCAGCTTGGCTGAGAACCAAGGACGCTGGAGCAGCCGGCTTAGTACAGCTTCCATTATAATTGTCTGAGCGCACGGGAGACCAACGTACCGTCTATGAGAATCAGAATGACAGTGAACGTGTCTCCAACCGTAATGCCATCGATATTGAACTCTACAGCACTGGCGATCTGTCGCGACCCTTGCCAGAAAGCAAGACCATTCGCCGAGAAGGCAATGAAATACAAGAGACCAGCTTGCAATGCCACAGCCACCGATTTCCATACACCGGCCGACAGAGCTGGCGTCAGGACTTCAACAAACCTCTCCTCCAGGCGTGCATTAGCAGAGAAGGCGTGTACAACCAGTGTATTCGAGATCGCTTCCAAAGCGACGGAGGATGCCAAGGCCATGGTCTCTATGGAGCGCCCAACGTACTTCTGCACAAAGTATCCACCACCTAGTGCCATGATGAGGTATGCAGGGGTGATGGATACGAGCATGCCGGCCAGTTTCGGATCCTTAATGAAGGCCACGACGTACGCGGCGACGAAGAAAGACACACTGCTGATCACAATGCCGACCTTTTCGTTCGTACCCCGCTGCACGACAGATATCTCGTCTGTAATGCGTGCAGACACCTCACCAGCGGGCATGTTGTCGAAGAACGTCGTATCCTGTCGCAGGATGGCGCTGAAATATCTCTCGCGTATGCGCTGAGCCAACCTCTCACTGAAAATGTTCCAACAAAGGGTGTAGATATAAATGAGTGCAAAATAGGCGATCCCAACGTAAACTATCAGCAGTATCTTGGAATTGATCCCATCCTGGTAGGATGCGGCGGTGGAGGGGTCAACATCGCAGGTAGCCGAGTTCAGTCCGTTGACTAGCTGTCCAAAGACAATTGACATGATAGGGAACGGGACTCCGGATGCAACAGCAGCAAGGAAGCCAACTAGCAGGATAATTAAATCCGTGGACGAGGGAACAGCATAGAACAGCAGGCGGCCGAACGAGGTGGCGCGGCGCCAGATCTGAAGAAAGCAGGCGTCTCGATCAGCCTCAAGGCATCATACAAAGCCAAATGACTGGAAAGGAATAGAACGTACACTTGGCTTCGCTGATGCTTTTACCTCCGTAGAGGCTTCCGATGTGGCAGCCATGATGGTAGACACCTCCTTTCACTCTCTGATCCTTCTCTATCCTTGGTGTCTCCGGAAGATCAGATAAGATGTTTTGCAAGAAATGCGAGCAAAGAAGCCCGTGTAAGTATTAGCTAGCGATTCTCTTGCCAAGGCGTATACCCAGCGCCGCTGCCGCCTCCTTCTGGGTAGGATCATTGCGACCACAGAGGAGCAAGTCTCCACCACATCCTTACGTTTCCTTTCGAAATGCTGGGCCGGTATCGGAAAGATTTCAAGCCGAGGCCGGTACTTTATATCGGTTTGGAAGCTATCAGACCATGCCAACCGTGGCGGGGTGAGAGGCGCATGCTGTCGATCCGAGGTGATACGATTGATAATTTTTTGATCAGATTAGGGTTTCCGGCTTCGATGGATCACTAGCATGGTGAATGGTTCCGATTGGGCCAGGGAGCCACAAGTGTATTGGGTCTATTTCTGCGACGCTAGTAAGGTAATTTTGCATGGCCAGTTTTACGCCGTAAAGTAAGCCCCCAGCGGGCAGCTTGTAAAGCCCTGGTGGAACCATGTCATGTCTCGGAGTGGAATCCGAAATCGGGCCTTACAAGGAAATCCCCGAGACCCGCCTGTTGCTGTTACCTCTCCAGATGTACCCTTGGTGCGGTCTCATAAGACGAAACCCCCTTCCCGCGCAATCGCAGTCTCTTGTACCGTAATTGGGAATGGTTTGTGTTTTCTCCCAGACCGTCTCGCAGCGTTCCGGCGTTTAAATGGGTAAAACCGTCAAGATGGGGGACAGGCCAACCCCAGTCCCGCTTCCCAACTCGGAGCAGTTCTACCTGGAAAGCGACCAGGGTGAAACGTACCTTATCCAAGTATCTTGGCCACTGCATTGGGAGGATAGCCAGACTGGTCGCGGGCCCTTTCCTATCATGTAAGCACTCACAGATCGCCCCTAGGATCCTGCGAGGATGCGTCGGCTTACCTACTTGAACCAGCTACCTTGTTGACGGGAACGCATTGTTCCTGACTGCGACCGAGGCTGCGTGGCGTCGTGCGGCCGCCTCACATTTCGCTGGCGGAGGCATCATTGTCGCTATTGGATACCCCTTAAACGGAAAGCTCTACGATGCCCGACGACGCAGTCTCGATCTGACTCCTCCCACGGCGTCCAAACCCCCCGGATATGGAGGTGCAGATTTATTCCTTGACTTCATTGAGGATTCTGTTCGACCTGCGGTGAAGGCCCGATTCCCACGGGTGTCCGTCTCCAGAGAAGCACTTTATGGCCATTCATACGGGGGCTTGCTCGCACTCCATGCATTATTCACACGCCCTCGTTCCTTCGATTGCTACATGGCTAGCAGCCCCTCAATCTGGTGGAATAGTTTATGTATCTTGCACGAGGCAAGGGCCTTTGTGAAAAACGAGAAGGGGTCAGATGACAAATCCCCGTCGTTGATGATTTCCTGGGGTTCCTTGGAGCAGAATCCTCCGCAGTGGGCTAACGAGCCGCTTGATCATTATGAAGCGAGAAAACAAACCGCATCGGATTTGAGAATGGCAGGCAACGCTCTGGATCTGTGTGCGATGCTGCAAGGGTGCAGCCAGCTACATGTCGTGATAAAAAATGAGTATGAGGGGGAGGACCACACGAGCGTCATGTCGTGCTCGTTGAGTCGAAGCCTGACCATGTTCTTTGAGGACTGGCCTTTCCACCGGTCGTAGTGAACCTCCACCAGCGTCTAGTGTGCAGAACTTGATTTTAGTCCAAAAAGTTCGCTTGCTCGCAACTCCACGAGATCTTTCATGTACTACTTCAGAAATTCTAATCACCTCATCGCTTGCGATCTCTGAATTGGATGGCACTCTGCGAATCCTCCGATGATCGGATATCACAATGGAAAATATGGGCGCACGGGACCAAGAGAATGATAACAGGGTCATATGTAGGAAACAGCAAACCCGCAGCGCCTCTATTTGTCAAAATGCAGGACAGTCTGGTCAGTAAGCTCAGGCCATAAATGAACCAGGGCTAGAGCTAGCATCTCCTGTCAAACGGACAAGGGGACCGGCACCATAAAATACAGCTAACAATTTTTCGTCTGGGTAGTGCGCGTGTGTAAAAGGGGTTTTTCAAGAAAGGCTTAATACGATTCGATTTCACTCTGCTTTTAACAAAAGTTCGACAATCCTTGAAAATTCGGCCAAGACTTTCCGTCTTTGGACTTTGGGGGCCAGCGGGGAGTGCGGGTGAGGATCGGGTTCGGCTCACTACCTTATGGGACGGCTCGGGGTGTGGCCTAGGCGGGCGCTCGTAAATAACGCATCCAGGGACAGCACGCGTATTGGTGGTATTGTCCATTTGTGTCTTAAAAGAATTGTCTAGCTCTAGCAGCTGGTGGTGGCCTGTCTCTGCCTGCCTCAGCCTAAACCCCGGCAGGAATGCCAAGACTCGGAGATTCGGAGATTCCCGGCAAGTGAGTTTATCTTATCTGATTGATATTGTGGTGTGACATGGACTAATCAAGACCCCTGTCACTCTCTCGCCAAGGCTCCTGGTTTCGGGTTTAGGCACTCTTGGAGCCCCCACGCGTCCCCACTGGCGAAGGAAAATAACCGTGTCACATGGCGCCAATCTAGACAGCAGTATACGGGCTTTACGGCAATGTCGATAATTAATTGTAGATACATACTTGACCATGGGCATGTAGCTGCCTTTCATTCTGGAACATATTCTCAGCGTTGTCCCAGATCTTTAGTCTTTTCAGGTTTCTCTTTTCCAGTCCAGGGGAACTATTGAACAAATCTGCTGCAATATCATTTCTACTAGCTAGAGATAGTTGTCCTGAACCCCTTTTTAGCTTTGTAGAGTTAGTGCATTAAACAGGAACTGGAAATGCAATCCACCCTCCAGGTAATACCGTCTTCATGAAAGAAGAATCAATGTATAATTGTCACTGCCAAAGGCCAATGAGCGGAGGACTGGGCAAATCCACGTTGCCATTCACGAATGCTCGCCCCCTGCTGTTCCCCAAAGAAGAAAAGATCAACTAGATGGAAAGCAGTTGACAGTTGACACTAGGAGCTTTACTGCATCTTTGTTACCATTCATCGGGCTTGCGGCTTTATCAATGCAGTGTCAAACCGGCCATTAAAAGGTTCCCCTAAAAGCCAACCTGCAGAGTATATAGGGAAGCAAGAGGTACACATGGTGAGACGCCGTAGATTCTCCCTCGGAGGGAAAAAGAACGTACTACAAAGCAACAGAAGCAAGACTCCTCAACTCTCTTTTACTCATCGTGCCACAACCACCCTCTTTGCAACATGACAATCAATGCTCAGCCCACTCTGCACACCGCACGCCTGGAACTAGTCCCTCTGGGCCCCGAGCACCGCGAGTTCACGATGAAGTTGGACATGGACCCAGAGGTCATGAAGATGGTCGCCTTCGGCCGGCCATTTACCGAAGACGAAGCTATCCAGGTTCATACCTGGCTGATGGGCTGCGCAACGTCTGTGCCTGGTTTTGGAACCTGGGCCGGCTTTGCCAAAGGCGAGTTCGTGGGTTGGTGGATACTGGCACCCGTTCCCACGAAGGAAAACCCTGAGAGGTTCATGACCGATAGAACGGAGTATGGCTTCCGAGTATCGCCGAAGTTTTGGGGGCAAGGATACGCGAAGGAGGGGGTCGGGAGATGGTTCGCTATGCCTTCCAGGAACTGGGTCTGGCGGAGGTGATTGGCGAGACGATGACTATCAACATGGCTTCTCGGGCGGTGATGGCTGGGTGCGGGTTGAAGCATGTTGAGACTTTCTTCAACAAGTACGATACTCCGCCACCAGGGATTGAGGAGGGGGAGGTGCGGTATTCGATCACCAGGGAGGAATGGTTGCGTAAGGAAAAATCCAGCATGACCCGAAATCGTTGGTTTCCGGTTTTCGCCAGCTGGCCGCCACGATTGCTCCTGTCCAGGCTCTGGTCATATTTCTCCAGCGGCCTACGCTCGTAGCTGCGGCGGCCAACCCTGGACACAAGGAAAAATATTTCTAGCAAATACGAAATTGTCTCTACGTTTCTTGGAAATCCGGATCAAACTGTTTGGAGTTAGGTATCTGTTGGGGGACGTATTCGGGGACTATGACCTGGAATCACGTAACTTCCTCTGTGGCGCCATCCATAATCTCTCGTTGGGCGTTTAAGGAGGCGATGGTTTGATCTTGGACATGCAGCCGAAAGTTCAATTCTCGACCGTGGATTATTTCCGCTTCGTGATGGAGTCCCAGCTGGCGCCCACTAACGGTAGGTTGGGCCGGGTAGGACCCAATCGACCTTGTTAGCATGTGACATGTCTATAATTGAATGTATTTGCTGCGAGCTGCTGAGCACGCTTAGTTTTTATGTGCTATTGGTGAGAAAGCGAGGTCATACCCCGGTCAATTTATTCTTGTTAGGCCCGTACAAGCGTGGACCGCTAGGCGTATGGGCACCGGTATCGCGCGATACCACTGGGTGTGGGAACTCTTTGTCTGTAGCACCAGTTGCGTAAGAGGGCCGACATCCTCCAAAGAAAACGCAAGGCATTTCTCCGCCGCACAGCGCAGGCGCTGGAGTTACGTAAAGAATGTAGATAATCTGTGCCGGAAGCCGGTATTTAACATTTATGCTTCACTTCTTATCAATCTGTCCGTCCCATGCGGAGTTCAAGATCTAAGCAACAAAGGCAATCATGAAAAGATTTCACTCGATCGTTGGTGAAAAGCCTGCCCACGAGGCTGCGGGCACTTCAATTGATGACCCAAATGTTCTGCAGATCAGAGCCGACGACAAGGAGGCTGCTCATGCGCCCGTCAATGAAGTGACCAGTCGTGAGGAGGCCAAGCCGAGCGACGGAGCCCAGTCTGGTGTCAAGAAGATAGAGGCTGTGACCCTGAGTTGGACAAGGGGCGCGGCGTTCGCAGTTTTAGTACTGTATGTTCTCGCTACTATTGCTGCATGTACCAATCGGAAAGAATCAAACTGCTAACATGGCTTTCATCTGATAGCATTTGGTTCCTCACGCTGGTCAACGATTTCAGAGGCTCCATCGTTGTAAGCTTGGATGCTTATGCCACGAGTTCTTTCCAAGGCCACTCGCTGTTGACCGTCATCACCATTGTGTCATATGTTATGGGAGGCTCCGTGTACATACCTATGGCTAAGGCGCTAGATCTTTGGGGCCGTGCAGAGGGTTTCCTTCTGATGACTTTCTTCTGTATTCTGGGCTTGATTCTTCTGGCTTCATCCCAGAATCTCGCCACCTATTGCGCCGGACAGGTAAGATATGCCAACCACTGATCTCATCATTAGAACTGTCTAACGGCTAGACTGGCTCTAGGTATTCTACAAGGTCGGGTTTGGTGGACTTTCCTACACCTGGAATGTCCTTGCAGCCGATGTGACGAATCTACGAAACCGAGGTCTAGCGTTTGCTTTCACCTCGTCCCCTGCTTTGATCTCCGCGTTCGCTGGTTCCAAGGCTGCGTCGGATCTCCTTGCCGATGCGAGTTGGCGATGGGGCTTTGGCATGTGGGCAATTATCTTGCCGGCTGTTGCTCTACCAATCTATGCCATTTTGGCTTACCACCTACGCCAAGCCGAGAAAAAGGGTATACTCGTCAAGGAGACGAAAAATTGGAGTATCACCCCGAAGACGATTTGGTGGGCCATTATGGAATTCGATTGTAAGTAACAACAACGGCGGTCGCCTCGGGAGAAGTCCCCTGCAGAAAGGCTAATGATCTTATGACTTCACCTAGTGCCCGGAGTTCTTCTGTTCGCTGGCGGGTTTGTCATATTCCTTCTCCCCTTTACTTTGGCGGCGACGGCGCCCCATGGTTATCAGACCAGCTATATCATTGCGATGCTTACTCTCGGCCTGGTGCTAATCATCGCTTTCGGCTTCTACGAAATCTTTGTGGCGCCCGTGCCATTCCTGAACTATAAATTCCTCACTGACCGGACCGTGCTGGGCGCATGTCTGCTAGATATGACGTACCAGGTTTCTTACTACTGCTATGCCAGCTATCTCCCGTCTTTCTTGCAAGTAGTGTACGAGTTGGACGTCGCCACGGCTGGATATGTGACCAACACATTCAATGTGGTGGCCTTTGTCTTCTTGTTCCTCGCTGGTTGGCTGATCCGCTGGACCGGTCGTTTCAAGTGGATCCTTTGGATCTGCGTTCCGCTCTATATCCTCGGCCTTGGTCTGATGATTCACTTCCGTCAACCGGGCGGATATATTGGGTACATTGTTATGTGCGAGGTTTTCTTCTCGGCCGCCGGAAGTGTCTTCATTCTCTGCGTGCAACTGGCGGTTCTTGCGTCCGTTGACCACCAACATGTTGCCGCCGTGCTGGCTTTGCTGTTCGTCATGGGCAGCATTGGTGGCTCTATTGGCAGCGCAATCTGTGGAGCTATCTGGACCAACACTTTTCTGTCGAGACTTGAGAGAAACTTACCCGAGTCCGCCGTGTCTGACTTGGCCACGATATATAGTTCACTCCCCACCCAGCTCAGCTACCCAGTCGGAAGTGCTACACGGACCGCCATTGTGGAGGCATACGGTTATGCCCAGGCAAGGATGCTCATTGCCGGTACTTCATTCATGGTTCTGGGCTTCATTTGGGTTGGCATGATGAGAAACCTGAACGTGAAAAATATGACTCAGACCAAGGGTAATGTTGTGTAAGTATGACTGGTTTTGATTGCATCCTGCTTGGAGTTCCTTTCTCCGCGTAGAGGATAGCAAATATGGCACTGGTGGATCAAGATCAGTCTTTGCAGGTTTTCTCCCTGGCTTCGACCTCCAGGCAGCAACCAATCTATCAGGTAGCATTTACAGCGGCACGTCAAATATATGAATCCAGCGTACTTGCTGCTGGCGTGACTAGGGATACCGATAGATTCTCGACAACTAGCAGTCATAATTGTCCCAAGAGGGATATTCGGATCAATTCCATGAATGTCAATGGTTCTATCAATTCTATAGAGCCTACAGATGTATAACCGCATCTACAGTGATTATTCTTTTGAGACGCCATGGTGTTGGTTCACTTGGAGAGGCATCTTAGGATTCAAACCTGCGGTAGCATAGTAAGATAATTCCTAATTGGTTAGCGGTAAATACGCTGGATTCAAACATTTGACGTGCCACTGTACACCATGCTTGTATGTGAGATACTCCGTAGTGTATCCATAGTTTAGGTTAGATGAGGCACTGCAGAACAATGCTAGTGGTGTCATATGCAGGTTGCTTACATGTTGGGCTGAATTGAGTCAACTATGTGGGCCTTCGGTATATATGCTAATCCTGCCAATAATCTGACAGCGCCTTTTATCGACTCTTTTCCCGTGCGTTAGGAGTCCCCTGCATATACTCCCCAATTACTCATTCATTATGAAGCGAGATTGGCATGCTTCTACTTTGGACCCTCGTCGGCAAGTTGCATAAGCGCTAACGGAAAGACTGGCGCGGTTTGCATCGAGTGCGTGCTTCCAGTCATGTGTGACCTGCAGGTAGGAGCTTCGGGTAGATAAGTTATTTTGGCCAGATACAAATTGCCACCCTGCCAAGTGCCCAGACAACTCCATTTCTTCGCTCGCCAGTCACGAGAAGGGGTAGCACGTCAGCAGGGTGCATAAATAGTATATTAGGACCTGCGCCAGACTACATCCGCAGGAATCGTTATTTACCTGCTTTTGAGCGACCCACGGTCATGGATGAGCAAGGCGATTGCGATTATTATCCAACCATTTTGCTGACGCATCTGCGTCAGCAAAGAGAAGTTCGTCTGCCAGAAGACGAGTGGACCGGCGTAGCAAACAGAGCAGGAAGACGAACAGACTGAATCAAAGAGCTTTTCGTTAGTACCCCGACCAGAATAAGCAGTACCTGTTAGTTAACGTGCCTGTGATAGGGAGAAGGGAGAGAGAATCCCGAAAATATCAGAATGGACCCCAGGCAGAAGTAGTTGGCGATGTGACTGACGGGGCACCGACCGTGAGCAGTAGCCAGGCACAGTCCGACACAGCCGATCAAGTGGACTGCGGTTCTGTGGATAGTCTACTCACACCTGAGCGGATGGAGATCCTTGCCCGCTTCGCCGATCAAGCCTACCTTCGATACATCAAGTCTGCGCCGTGCCTTACCCATCTTCCGACGGTGATACATGTCAACGTGTTGAACGCTCTAGCCGTGAACGCCGCGGCCCTGGGCTTGGCAGATATATGGCTGCTTTGTGAATCTTTGTCACCTTTTGGACGAATAGGTCCCGAACCCAAACCTGTTGAAAACCCCTCTTGGCCCCAAGGCTTGCGCCCGACTATGCTACAGCTCAACGTGCTCCACCACCCGTGGATTGACTTGTTTCCTATCCCACGTCTGCGAGACAATATTCTCTGGTCGTCTGTTTGCCATGACGTAGTTGACGAGGACGAATTGTGGTATGACCTCGTTGAAATGAAGTCGACTAAGGATGGGAAACCGAGCCCTTCCTTAATTGCATGGGGCCAGCCATGGGATCCCCGAGGTTGGGAAGTGAGCGTGCCATTCCTGCAAAAATGGGGGCATCTACTTGAAGGATGCCCGGAGATACTTGACTCCACAAACTTTTGGCGTGAAAAGTCGAGGAGAAAGGAGGCTTAAGATGGCTGCCGGGCATAGATAACCCGACTTTGCTGTTCCAGTCCGCTCGGCAGATGTTCGTTGTTCAGTAGATTGGTCGTGTGTTGGGTTTGGATAGATCCGCATGGGTTTTGATCCAAACCACCTGCTAACCAGACTTTGAAATTCTTTAGATACATGCGACGTGTGGCTATAGGTACGGCACCTTTTCACGCTAGGCTCGTCTGTCGGTGGGATACATAGGGTATATTAGGGCATGGAAGGGCAGGTGAATGTCTTCTGTAGTTATGCTAGGAAGCTAGGAAGGTGTCGTAAGAGTTGCTAGTATTCTTAGACACATATTTCTGGGTTAATCATTTATAGAGCAGAGAAATTCTTTGGTAATGCATCCAATTGCAAGTATTTTGCAGCTCAGCCGCCGTGCGTCCACGTGATGAGTAAATCATGATGATGTCAATAAATGATAAATAGCTTTCTTTTAGTATATGTGATTGTCTCCATCTGGCGTATTTTCTCAAGGTGACTGAGTTGCTGACTGTTCAAAGTAATCTTCTGGGGACACATATACATCAATAGGTTGTGAATTGTCTTTTCGTTGAGAGATCCCTGGCGATAGTTACACATATCTCTAGCACTACTTGAACAGTCGCTCAACACCTGCACCAGTGGCTGGCACAGAGAGTAGAGCGCGTGCGGGACGGGAGAGGCCAGGATATTTGTGCTTGCTCTTTCCAGTACGCCCCAAGCGGAAGCGACAATCGCTGAAAAGGTTAATCACCAATATGTAACCAAACAATGGCGGACGAGGCTCTCACCTTCCTGAAGGTATCTATTACCTCGCCCAGTTGGTTTCCTTTACTGGGTAAAGAGGTGCCTGATGGCACAAGCAGCTGGTCTAACTCCGATGATGCCTCATGCTGGGACCGATGCTTGTTGGTACAGAAAGCCCTTTCTCGGGTAAGCACGATAGTATCTCGGTCTTACTACGGCGATTAGAAAATTTTGTGTCATTAAAATCTGAGAGCTTATACTGGGGTGCAAGCATTGTACCCATAGCGTACAAAAATCCATAGTTACGGTAAGTCTTTTTCCTAATAATCTCTAAATTTCTGTTTCGCTGCAAGCAAGGCGTCTTACGCGGCCCTCTTCCACGGACGTCCCATCGACACTGCACAGATACAAACAGTATGTCAGTCAACAACATCAAAATGTGCATGTCCCCCTCACTAAGCCGTCACGGGTTTAATGCTGATAATCTGCTTTAAATCCCTGCTACTGAACCCTACACCAATGACAAACTTGCCCTCCGGAATCAGCCACTGCTGCGATAGCACATCCCAGTAGCTGAGGTCCCTCCGCATCAGCTCAAATTTCACAGTGCGCGATTTGCCAGGAGCTAGTAAAACCTTGTCGAAGCCTCGCAGCTGCTTGGGCGGGGTTCCAGGGACACTATCTGGGAATGTGACGTAGAGCTGCGGCACTGTCGCGCCTTCCACGTCGCCTGTATTGGTGACCAACACGGACACGTGGTAGATGGTCTCCCAAAGAGCGGGATTCCCCCCAGGCTGAATGGGTCGCTCTTCTGGTGCCGAGGAAACGGACTTGGCCAGGGCTTTGGCTTTGATGTTGGAGAGACTGAAGGTTGAGTAAGACAGGCCGTAGCCAAACTCGTAAAGGACTGACATGTTTCGGGCGTCGAAGTACCGGTAGTCGACTTCAAGCTTCTCGTTGAACCATGACTGCCAGTCATACGGACCTGTGGTGGTCACTTCAGTCGTGGGTGGGGCATTGTAATCGCTGGCGCTTTTGGCGATCGTGTATGGCAGCTTCCCGGATGGATTGACATCACCATAAAGGACATCAACAATCGAATTGCCAGATTCTTCCCCAGGGTAATGGGCCGCAAGAATAGCAGTGACGTTGGGGTGGTTTGCGAAGGGGAGTTCATTAATACCAGAGGAATGAGTGATGACGATCGTATTATTGCAGAATTTTGCGACCGAATTCACGACGTCATTTCCGTTATAGTCCACCGATAAATATGCACGGTCTGAACCCTCGGTGGCCCATGTTTTGAGGAAGACGAGACAAGCCTCAGGGGGGCGGGGATCCAAAGATCAGTGATATTTGAATGGGCGATGTGGGTGTTGTTCAACCAAAACTGGACCAGAGCGTTATCCTGCTTAGCACGAGCATTGAGAGCCGCCAGCGGTGAGACCAAATGTGTGAAGCGCCCAGTTCCTGAGCCGCCACCGACGGCGAGTGTGCCAAACTCAAAATTCTGATCATTGTAGGCACCCATGGTGTCCTCGCCAGCATCGTTGCCAAAAACAGCAATTGACTTTGGCGCCTTCAAAGGCAAGGCGTTGCCCTCGTTCTTGAGTAGAACAGTGGCCTCTGCAGCATGCCTGCGGATCAGCTCGCTATGGTTCCCGCGGACATCACGACTGGGCTCTCCGGTGACATTGAACTCGCGAAGCCATGTAGACCGTGGCGAAAAGGTATTCAGCTGGACGGTTGAAGGGTCAACTGAGGGGAAGTCTCGGTCCTGACTGAGCCAGTAGTAAGGGGTCATGATGCGGACGATCATATCATCCACGCGAGATTCATCAATAGTTCCATTATTGACAGCAGCAGTCACGTTTTCGCCAAAGAAGGAGCCTTCCGCACGGTAAAGGCCGTATGGACCGAGACCCCCGGGCATATCCATATCAAGACCACTCTCGATGGACGCGACGCCGGAGTGAGTGCCGCCCCAGTCAGACATGACATATCCCTGAAAGCCAAGCTCCTCCTTGAGCAGCCCATTGAGAGCCTTGGAGTTCTGACAGGCGTAGGAGCCGTTGAGGCGCTGATAGGCGCACATGACGGAAGCAACCTTGGCGCGAGCGGCGTTGGCGAACGGCCAGTGATATAGCTCGTGCATGGTTCGATCATCAATATTGGAGGAAATGGCTTCCTGCTTGATTTGCGGGGTCGAGCCACTGTAGTCGTAGCTTGGGTTGCGCTGGGTTTCTTGCTCATTGCCGATGTAATGCTTGGCAGTAGCCTGAACGCCGGCATCTTGAATACCCTGGATGGTTTCCTCCATAGCAACGCCGGTTAGGTACGGGTCTGCTGCAAAGCCCTCCCAGTTTCTGCCCCCGTATGCTGAGCGTCCAAGGGGACCAGCAACAGGTGAGAGTGCGATATGGGCGCCTTTGGCTCTGAACTCCTGCCCCATAGCGAAACCGCGCTCGTACAAGATGCCCCTGTCCCACGTTGACGCAGCTGTCACACCAGCAGAGAAGACGCTGGCATAGTCCGCGACGCGGATGCCCAAGGGGCCATCTTGCAAGCAGAGACCGTTAAAACCAAGTCGAGGAATAGCCACTATATTTCCCACACAAGGACCGGGCTGCCCAGTGACCATGTCAGCTTTTTCTTCAAGCGTCAACTCGGCGACAAAGCGCTGAGCTTTGGCGAAGGCTACATGCCAGCCACCAAGTCCGGTAGCGTTGGCTATTACCTGGTCAGGACAGTCCAGCATAGGTCAGATATTAATTAGCGACTTACGCGACGGCAAAACAGCAGGAGAATGGCCGTAAGGCCCGAGAATAGTTGTGTCATGGGGCTGGATGTAGGAGAATGCATCTGAGTTTCGAGCAGGAGGGTCATATTGCTGGCCACTGACCACAGTAGCGGTCAGCAGACCAGACAAGAGTAGATGAGAAATGCTGGCCATTTGGTTGGGACTGAAGGGATGGCGAACTTCAGAGCTGCTCTAAAAAACCTAGAATCATATCGATGGCAGCTGGGCCTTTTATAGTTCGTCTGTAAACCATGAGATGGCTTGAGGATTTTTCCCTGGCTCATGAGCTGGAGGCAAGTATTGCCTCTCAACCCAGAAACTCAATTCATATCTTGGCAACTCAGGAAATTTCCTATGTTCCCCTGAGGTATTCGCTAGAAGCAGGTGCGGGGCGGGGCCCGCACCCCGGATATGGCTGCGCTGTTGAATCATGCGCTACAACTTGCGTTGACCCTGATACGCGTCTGTTATCCAGTTGCCTGGGTTTTCTGTAATGGACAACGCGGACACAGTAGGAACATTGGCGTACGCGATGGTGATCACACAACGTAGGCTTTCTGGCCTGGAGTCTTTGACGATCCTGAGGTTCAAAATTCCTTTGTTTGAGTCGAACGCTGTTGTCGTTTGGACTCCCTGCGGCGAGGTGCTCCAGCTCGGCACGCGTGAGTCCATGAGGTTAGCTCACTTGCCTGAAGTTGTGCAGCATGTGGGGAACTTTAGCTCCAAAGACAATTCCGGAGTAAAAGCCGAAACTTGGGCTGTGGAGCCGCGAAAAGTCAAAATGCGGGGAATTTCAAGGCGTGCCGAGGGCCCGAGTGTGTTTTTGTGCCACTTCGGTGTACATCCGGGCCGCTGACTTGGGCTAATGCAAAATAAGTAGCTTACATGTGGATCTGCTTTAACCGTTTAAGGCGACATTTGTCCCGTGGCGGGTAGTACCAGAGGGAGGGAATGCATGATAAATGTTAATTGGACGCAGGTGGGAAGTTGAACGCGATTTACAATCCCGAAGATTTGCCGAACCCCCACTTCTGAATGACGACGGATTGACTCCAACAGCTAATCACATAGTCCTAATGGCTCAACTAGTGATGACTCTATTCTTCGTCTGGTGGGCAGTGCTACTGACCTGATTACAATAAGAGTGCCAAACAGCGTTTTGCGGTATTCGGTCAATATAATTAGTATAGCGTCAAACCCAGTCAAACCAGATATTCGTGTCTAGAACCCGAGGAAGGCCACTCGGTTACGAGAACCTAAGTCCGCTTTGGCAACTGTAGGCGAGTATCTGTTTGGATGTTGTCACCGAATCTCAAGATCCTTTTGCGCCGTCAAGGGCCATTGCACTGGTTAGGTGGCTAAATGAGACCCATGGCCACAATAGCCTGGGGAAACATGATAACAAAAAGTTGTATACCGTTCAAACCGTGGCGAATATCACCACAATGCTGGAGAGAAAACTAACTGTCATGTAGAATCTAGCTCACACATGGATATCTCAAGATGAGCCATTACTATAATTGCCAGTGCACTTGTTTATGGATGCTTTGATATACATCTATCACCTGAAAAGTATATGTGCTAGGTAAACTGCCCATTAGCAATTCTTTTGGTTTCCGTGTTTCTTAGCCTGCTCGGGTTCCCTGATGGGTATCACAACGTCGCTACTGGCTAATATACTTGATGAATAGCGGCAGTCGCAGAAAGGCCAAACTACTTCTAGGTTCTACCGCGTTTTCCACTCTTCGCTGAATATCTCCCTAGCCAAGTGCCAATCCTTCTCAAGGATATAGCCTCTTCCCGGTAGCAACAGGCTTCAGGATCCCCTGGGCCTCCATCTCCCGTACCATAGACGCCACCATCAAGTCGCACCCACGGGCGGCGACGATGCTCATAGTGACGGGTAAGTACTCTGTCTTTCCCGACTTTGTGCTGTTGTAAGGGATTTCTCCGACTACTCCTTGTCAGCAAAACTGCGGTTGCGAGGTGGTCCTGATTACTAACTGGGCACAACCAAGTCAGGAAGACCAGCAAAGACAGCAATGTTGCTATCAGACATTCCCCAATACGGAGGGGTGGGAGGTCTGTATACGTCGTAAACTGTCAGTCACAGCCGGATTAATCAACTTTTATCGCTTACCCAAAGTATTCATCACGGTAGTTGGGTGTTCCGACACTGTTGGGATAGATGTAGATGCCCTCAGAGCAGGTTTCATTGCTGTGCGCTCCGAACCCTGCTGCCCTACTCCACCAGTTTTTGAAGATGGTCTTGTTGGCCCAGGCCTCATCCCAGCGCTCTTGGCCGCTTTCGCGCCCAATATTCCACCGAAGCAGGGGTCCCGGGTTAATATATGGCGTGCGGCCGTCATGTTTGGCGGCGTAGTCGTGGAAGAACGGCACGCCGAGGTGTAGCCATTGGTATACTGAGACCAGGGTTCCGTACGTCTGTCATTTGTTAGCGGGCGGCAAACGGTGTGTGATAGGCATCTGGAACACGTACGTAGTGCAGCATATCCTGGAGCGTGCTCGGTGTACTGGCTGGCTTTGTCGAGTTCCAAGCCACGTCCAGATCCACATGCGTCCTATTGACGCCAAGGAATCTCTCAAATTCCGAGACGAAGTTCTCAATAAGATTCCGAGCCTCCGGACGAGACACAGTATCTTCCCCAAAGGAAGCGCTCGGGTAGAAGATCTTGTCAGGGTATGATGGGTAGTCTGCACGAAAATCCTGATACCACACGCTGACAACGCGCGACCAGGTCTCTGCACTCCTCGCGAAAACGCCGGCCGTGTCAAGGCCACTGCACAGCGGTATAACCTCGTCTAGATCGATGGCTCCGGTACTGGGTCGGTTCCCATACAAGCCCTGCGCTCCTGCGGGGCCGCGCATTGATCCGCCGGTGTCGCTGCCAATGGCGATATCTAGCCAGTCGTAGGCGCCAATTCCGGCACCGGGGCCAGACGAGGAACCGCTTGGATTCTGGTATCCATCACCCTTTTTATTCCGTTAGTATTTGTTCGTGTTTCTTGCTCGGGAATGAAATAAAAGGCTAAAATTGGATTTTGACTCACGCGAGGATTAAAAGGACAGTGAAAGTCCACCCAGTCGGCTGTCGGACGGTCGCCGTTAGCGAACTGAACGGTGCCCATTTTACCAACAAAGACGACGCCGAGGTCAATCAGCCGTTGGACAGCGGTTCCGGTGGCATTGCGAGGCTCGTAAAGGGAGTAGAACGCGCGGTTTCCGCCGCTTGTTCGCAGACCCTTGACGTGGAAAATATCCTTGACACCCATTCGGAGCTATGTCCTTGGTCAGTACCATGCAGCAATCGATAGATATAGAAACCGGATGGGGGTACACCGACCCCAGCTAACGGCTTCTCGGAGGTTACGGTGGAATATAGCCTCGATGGAACCGCAATGCTTCGTCCAAGGATGCCCTACGTGCTTGTGAGCCCAGCTCTCGATAAATACTCTGGAGTGACTTACCTCAGTGGTCACCGAAAGCGCCCGATATCCGCCTTGTCCGTCGGGAACGGCAGGTTCGAGGAATGTATAGTGGGTGTCCTCATACAAACGGTGAGCTTCGAAGACGTCTCCGGACTTGGTAGAGACAAAGTAAGGCCCATTCGGCAGTTCCTCTGTCAAGCATGCTTTTGTCACACCTTGAGGCGTGTTGAAAGCATACAATGGCGAAACGAGGAGAAGAGCTGTACCGTGCTGGTCGAGCTCAGCCGCAATAGAATCTACTTCGGGCACGGCTGAAGCAGCTCCGGTATAGCGCAGGTAGACAGCTAGGCTAGGGTTAGCGTTCTCCCTGATTCTATCGGACGATTTGGATAGTCGGTTCTTACTATTTAGAAACGATGTGCTGAAAACATCATCGCGAGCCAAATAGTCAGTAACGGCTTCATTGAACTCGGTACCTGTAAACGAGGAAGAATTGCTGGACATGACGGTTATCGGCAGGACATCAACATCTGGGAGTATGTTCGGGGCAGACACAGCGACCTCCGGGATGCGTGCGACTGCAATGTCACCGACATAATATTGGATCCCGTTGAGAACAGTAACTCTGCCATGCGCAGTTTCTGCATTCACAGACACAAGATTGAGGGACGACAGTGCCCCGAGTAGCACTGCTGCAAGAGTAACGAGGACCATCTATACGATCAATGTGAAATGGTGACCTCTGTATGATGCCACAATGGCCGGTCGTAAAGCATTATTTATGGTGTTGAATACAGCCATCTTAGACCCAGGAACGCATGCCGTTGGGGTACATGGACCCACAGCCGTTGTTATCAGTAATGATATCTCGCGTGGACCTGCATACTGTGGGGACCTTATCTTCAGATACCCTTGGAGGCAGTGATAGTATCAATATCGTAATACGCTCGACTCTCGGTTTGTGCTACCAAGTTGGATCCAGCCCCCGAGCATATGGCTATCGCAACCAAGGCGAGCCTTATCTTATCTGTCGTAGTTGGAGACTTGGAGTTGGAGTCTCGGGTCACGCTAATGCACCCTGCTTACGGGCCCACGCGGGGTTTCCGTAATCAATGCAACAGCTTAATCTAGTCAACCTATTATGACTGCCGAGTACAACATCTATTCAACGGGAGTTACTGCTTGTACGCCGAGGAATATTCCTTATCGCAGTTCGCCGACATCAACGAGTACCTTGACTTATTTGAGCCCGAGAACGAGTCTGAATAGCAGTACCACGAAAGGCAGGTCTCAGAATACGTGTTATATCCTGTCGCGCTTTGCTGGGACGGCACGATATTTCCAGACTTGACGAAAAAAAGGTTACGCCGCTGGGAAGAAAGAGAACGCCCAACTACGACAAATGCACGGCGCTCGTGATTTCCACTCCGAACTGTACATACTTGATGCCTTACGACTATCATTCCACAGCGTGGGAAGGTTTCTGACGTATAGTAGAGCTGATCTACGCAAAAAGCATGGTTGATATGGCATTATCCTATCTCCTTACTTATCTTCACGTCAAAAGACTCGGTACATCGATATCTACTTGACGGGAACCGGACCAGCTGGGAAGTTCGAGGATGGGATGTGGCATTGGTGCACTATATTCCGCGTCAGTATGGTTGCTAACCGTGCTTTCTGGCGAGACATACTTGTGCGGGTGCCGTAACTCGCTGGAAAGTCAATCGAGCTATGCATGACCTCCTATAACCAGCCAGTCAGTGACGACAAATAGAATGAAAAGGGGAAATGGACAGACCCAGTTGTTGAGCATAACCGCATCTCCCTTCTCGTACATCGGCACAAGAATATTCTCGGGCTTGATGATGCGATCAATAATATCATTCAAGAAGACGCGAATCCGCTCACCATCTTCCACCACTTCCTCCCCCCGGTCCGGCTCCTTCTTGAGGTAAAACTTCCTCGCAACATCAGTGAGAACCTGGAATGAGCGAACATTCGTCACAGGATTAGCCCAAACCATCGGAAATCTGTACACCTTCTCGGGCGTCCAGGCAGGAAGCCTTGTCAAGCGGCACAGTCTCTCCACCGGGGGTCATACCCAGTCCAGAGTTGCGGATCTTGCGCGTGTCTGTCCAGACATACGGCTGTGGTGCAGGCTCCCACATACTTTGGTCGGCAATCTTCCGTTCTTCTGCGAGCATGTTGTACATATGTGCACTGTCAATGAATGTCGTTGGCCCCGGCTTGACAGTCATACTGTGGCCGGAGCCATCATCCCATCGCACAGTTAAGTCAGGACCCTTGGGTGCTCTGACACAGCGGAGAGTTGTAACTCGCGAATGGTAGGCGCCATATACCACACCGTCGAAATGAAAGGCACCGAAGCGAGTTGCTCCGCTTGCGACATCCTTTGGCGAGAGGGGTTCCGCATGGGCGTCAAAATGGGTGGTTGACCTGGCTGTTATTCTCTTCAGCCCGTAATGGTCGTCTCCTTGGTATCCTTGACCGACTATAATCACACCAGTAGACCCTTGGGATGACGTTGAATGTCGGCTGAAAGGTAATAGGCAGTGGTTAGCTCTCCCAATTCAAGCTTTGGGCATGGGCATCCGCGGGAAAAGAGCATACCCCAGGTACACAACTCGTCTCGTCAGTGACATCTTCCGTGCCGAAGCCATGGACGGTGCGTTCACGCCTAAAGGGACAACCCTTAACCTCACAACGCATCCAACTTTCTCAAGCAATGTGATGTTTATGAACTTCTATCCGTATAATAATATTAAGACAATCTCACCACATTCGCTGCTGTTCATCTCAGGCGACTGGGCGCATTCACGAGTTTAGCGAGGATGCTTATTCGCACGCCATTGAGCCCAAGGAACTATACTGGGTGGCAGGGGCTGGTCATGTTGATCTTTATGATCGCGTGGATCTTATTCCATTCCGCAACCTAACACAGATCTTCAAGACAAACCTTGTCTAGAAGATAGTGGGGTTTGATGTTCACAGAGTTTATTCTCGTTCTCATTAATCCTGTTCTATTATTCTATTATATGGTTGTGGCTGCCAGATGGTTGCGCTATTTGGGGTCGTTCCATGCTCCAGTGGTTTTCATCTTGTCTGTGCACTTAAGGGTAGAAAGAATAGTGGCACAGGCCGACAGGGAAGTGCAATCACCAAGGCAATTCACAAATCTCCCACCCTCAATCCTTTTTCTCAGCTTACTGTAATTTAGTGCGGTTCTCGTAAATATGATGTCAGCGACAGATGTACATTGAACCTGATTCATGATGATACAGGGTGTAAGATTACGCGTCCAAGTGTCAGGAGCTTATTCTTTGGCTAACAACATAAATCCAAAGGAAGCAAACATCTTACAGAATGCTGGTCACATCACAGTGACTCCGATACATCAATCACTTTATGCTCCTACCACCTTCTGTAAGTAGTGGTGATAGTGGCTAATGCAGACTTAAGCAAGCTAAGTGACTTACCTCGCTTGTTTAATCCAATAGACAAGTGACTGACTGGATCCTGCTTACATGGGCCCACTCAGAAATCGGGGTCATTAGAGGTTCCATTCCACCTTCCCGAATACACATACATGTGGGGTCCGCGCTAGCACACTGTAAGCAGATTCCAGAAGCGGCAAGTAGAGAGACGGAGATTGGGGATAAGCTCCGTCCATGTTGGGCTTGTCATCAATTGAAGATCCGGGCCATCACAATCCGAGTATATATATATATATATATCCATGTAACCTCTGTTTCAGTGTTCACCAGCCCAGAATTATCAGAACCAGCTTGAGAACCTGAGAACCTGAGAAACGAAACATGTCTCTGGACATCCCCGCTCAGTTGAAGGAATCAGTTGAAAATTCAAAATGCGAATATCGACGGCTCGGTAACAGTGGCCTGAGGGTGTCCGTCCCCATCTTTGGTTGTATGAGCTTTGGCGACCCAAAATCTATGCCCTGGACAATCTCTGAAGAACAGGTATGGCCATATAATAAGGATGACGTCTTGCATTGTTCTCATGATAGTCCTGTCAGGCACTTCCGCTTCTCAAAGCTGCTTACGATAGGGGCCTCAATACCTGGGACACGGCTAATGTCTACTGTAACGGTGCTTCCGAGGTGATTGTAGGCAAAGCCCTCAAACAATTCCTTATCCCACGAGAGAAAGTTGTCATTATGACAAAGTGCTTCTGGGGTGTTGGTGAAGAACCGGGTACTGATCTCCTGCACCTTGTGGTGAGAGCATATCGACTGACGGCATTTATAGAGGCTATCCACTGGTACCTGCGTGAGTCATTCGAAAGATCCAAGGACTATCAAAACCAGTTTGGACTATCTCGTACCGCGATTTTCAATCAAGTTGAGGCATCTCTCAAGAGGCTGGGTACAGACTATATCGACTTACTGCAAATCCACCGCTTCGACTCGACAACTCCAATCGAAGAAACGATGAAGGCCCTACATGATCTTGTCCAGTCAGGAAAAGTCCGCTATATTGGTGCAAGCAGCATGTGGGCAACCCAGTTCGCTCGCATGCAATTCTGTGCTGAAGCCAATGGCTGGACTAAGTTTATCAGTATGCAAAATCAGTACAATCTCTTATATCGCGAAGAAGAGCGTGAGATGATACGTTTTTGCAACGACACTGGTGTTGGTCTGATACCCTGGGCCCCACTTGCTCAAGGCAACTTGGCTAGACCACCATCGGAAATTGGCACCACCGTCAGAAGTAAATTACAGGCTGAGAGTACCTCGGAGCCACTTTTGTCAAAGGCTGATATTGCTATCATACATCGAGTTATCGAGGTTGCAGAAAAGCACGCTTGGCCGATGGCTCATGTCGCGCTTGCATGGATAAACAAGCGCATTAGTAGCCCAATTATTGGTTTCAACAGCGTCCTGAGACTGGAACAAGCAATTGCGGCGCGAGGAAAGTTGTTGTCTGATGAGGAGGAAAGGTATATCGAGCAGCCTTATCAGCCAAAGGCTCCGATAGTTCCAGAGTCGCTATAAATCCGTCCCCTGCGCTTTACAGGCAGAGCAGCTGGGGGAGGATAGACAAAAGGGAAGTCGCGGAATACAAGGAAGAAGGATGATTTCGCAGGATGTTCAGCTTGAGCAATGTGTGAGATTGTCATGTTTCTGATCCAGGTGATTTTCCGTCTGAACTAAACTCCACAAAGGCGGAGGAATCCACGCTGGAGCCTAGGATGAACTGGAGATTTCTTATTTTTAGCTTAGTTTTCCCTTGAGCCCTTTTAGGCCGCTAACATCCCAATGATAATATAGCAGACCGATCAATATCAAAGTAGATACTCCAGGAGCTTACGGAGAAACGACAAAGTGAATGTTGTAGATTGCTATATAGTTACGAAATCGATGTTTGGACATATAAGCCATGGTAGTATTGAAATATTCCAAGATATGACAAGAGGATTTTGATGTGAAGTAGGGAGTGACCGACTCGCTTGGCAGCCACATGAGGTCGTGCTAGTTGATCTTTAGCGAGCTTATTTTGCTCCAAGAGATAAGTTAGGTGCTCTTTTAGAAGTCCAGATACCTGAGTAGGTTGTAAGGATCACAAGTCGCCAAGGCAGCGAAACATAGTAAACGTGCGTCACTAACATAGGCAGTAAGATGCGATCTTTCGGCAGCGCAAGATCTCTCCAAGTTCGCGTCGGTCTGCTGGCGATCATTACTCCTGTGATGCTCGATACCCTTACCGGAATACCCGTCCTACATGTTGAAGTGACGGAGTTCTACCTATGGGATGAGTATATAGTGTGCTGCATTCGCCGTCCGGTATCAAACGTGCCCTTGCCAGGGCCGTTTGGACAAGAAGGCCCATCAAGAAGCAAAGGAACAGAACACTGAACTACCGGGTTCTTAACATCATAAACTGACTGAGTTCCGTTCCTACCATTTGGCTTTTCGTTGACGAATTGGAGCGTGATGAACGTGTGGGATATCGACGGAGCGGTTGGTCTTTTCTAGTAGTGACACCAGTCCAAGTTTTTGAATTCAATTGAGGAGAACTGTACACGTTAACGCTCCCTAGGTACTCTTTTTGGCTGGGGGTCCTGGGTCCGAATCAAGAGACTGTACCTATTAGTAGTCAAAGGTGTGCCCTGGTCTCTGGTCCCACATGACTAGTCCCCATTCTTCTGAGGTTTACAATGAATGTTTGATGTAAGCCAAGAGACTCCCGTTTGGTTTGCCTGCATGCGTTCCACGGAAACGTGGGTCACGTGCGTTCCCACAGGCACTCTGGTATTAAAGTTTACCCTGGGAAGAAAGACCCCCTACTCCATCCGGCTCTCTGTCAATCCTATCAGCTTATACCAAATGATGAAGGTAATACTTTACTCGACTAATTCCAGGGATAAGAGGAGGGCGTCGCTTTTCCCAAAACCCCCTGGGCTCAAGACCGAACCCTCTGATGAGTGGGACGGCATCCGAAACCCGGCTGAACGACGGCGACGACAGAACAGAGTGAACCAGAGAGCATACCGTGAGTCTCCTTCCGAAAATGTGCATATATCGTCCCTAGTTAACTTCTTCTCAAGGTCTGCGCAATCGCCATAGGGCCAGACCTGTGGAAAAGACGCCAGAGATCCCTCAGTCCTCGACAGTGACTGTCAGCCAGCCCCACCTTCAAGAGCTTCTCGAGAGGTTTATCTATGCCGCCTATGGCAATTACATTCGGGGCTCTCCAGCTACTGACCAATTATTAACCCTGACAAGGGTGAATGTCTACCGTGCTTACCTCCACAATATAACTCTTTTGGGATTATCACCCGATGGCCTTTGCGAGGCGGATATTCTCTCACCATTTAACCAGACGCAGCCGTGGTCTACCAAAGACTCTTTGCCACCAGCTCTTCAGCCCACAGTCATTCAACAATCTGGACAACATCATCCATGGCTTGATTTCTTCCCACATCCAAGAGCCCGGGATAACTTAATCCAGGCGCAGAATAATTACGACGAGGATGAATTCTGTCTGGATATTTTGGGATTTTGGAGCCATAGTGCGCCTGAAAACATGTTGCTTGTATGGGGGGAGCCGACAGACCCCGGGAACTGGGAGGTAACTGAGCTCTTCATCAAGAAATGGGGTTGGGTGATTTCCGGTTGCCCAGATATTCTGCATAATACCAACAAATGGCGTGCTCGAAGAGGAGAGACCCCGATATTTCGTTATTTATGATACTGTACTTGGGTACAATGTCAGAGGGCTTGGACCATCTTGAATTAGCCGCTAAGTCAAAAAGATAACAAAAACAAAATGTTGAAGGTTGATACACATATATATATAAACCACCACTACTTTCATACCAAGTTATGACAGAAATGATTATTCCCTTATATCTTACTCACCACGAGATACTTTGAATTAATATTTTGTATTTAGATAGACTAGATACTAGGCTATCTAGTGATACTAATATTTTTAGAGAAACCCCAGAAATTAGTGATTACTAAGCAAAACAGTGAGGTTTGGTTAACCTAATCAAATAAAACCACAAAAACCATAACTGACAGTTTTAACTGAACTTGAATCAGTTTCACCCAAGGGAAACTGACACCTAATTTCTATATCTAGTTTCACTTTTCCGACCACGCCAGAAACACCCTATGGTCTAGAAAATGTGATTAAAAACAAAGGGAAAAGATAGGTGAACTAAAAACATACAACAGCATGTATATGTCGGTGCTCACCCACCCCAGCGTCTGTTCCCTCGCCGCTTTGCCGCCCACGTTCCGGCGGCCTTCAGGTGAACATTCAGGTACCTGAATATTTTGCACTCGACTACCAAGAAGCTGCATTTTGACAAAAGCGCAGAGTAGTGCCCATGTGTGAGAGAGAACTTGTTTTAAACCACAATGCGTCCGTCTTACTCCTACACCACACCTTGATCCCTAACTCAAACTGATCGGACACTATGCCACAGAAGCCAGCAGCAACTTTTACGTGCGTCATCAACCTTGACGAACACGATGATAAAGAGATCAAACGAGCTGTTCTTCCACGAACGGCCGAAAGGTATGAGCGGAGTGTAGAGATTTTTGATCAGTAAGTCTTTCGAATCTATGGAGGCTCGCGTCTCATCCTCTCAGATTCCTTGAACTGCACCCCGCTGCCCGCTCTCCCCCGGACATCAAAACCTACAAAGGATTTTTGGAATTTTACGCAAGAAACACAAAGGGTCGAATCGAGGAAAGGCCTACGACGGAGACTGTGGAGAATTTCCGCCGGGACTTTGAAACAGCTCTTACTCGGCTGAGGGGCTTCTGTGTCCCAAAGAACATGTCTAATACCTTGAAGGAGGTATGCATTTTTTGACCCCGATATAGTCTGTATACTAATAAATCTCAAAGTACATCATATCGGATTTGAAGACCAAACTCAGTCTTCCAGACGTTGAGATGTCCAGAGATGGACTCTCTCCAAATGATTTGACCATCCTCCTAACACAGCTCTGGTGTCGGGACTTTAAGGAATACCGCGGCCAGTTTCCTGACCGGAGTAGAGTACAGCTTACCGCATCAATATTGCTCTATTGCTTTTCGTCCGCCCGAACTGGAGAGGTGCATGAGTCAACAGCTCGCCGATCTCTTGCCCGGCAGAAGGACGGCGGTGATGACAATGACGCGAATCTTCGAGCCAGTGCCATGGCCGCATGTTACAAGGTCCGTATCCAGCTATCTGTATTTGGTAGAAGGCTTTTGAGGCTGACCGCGCACAGCATTTTATCCTCACCATAGAACTGGTCGATGGCATTCCGATGTTAGTGTTGACTTATGCTCGGGAGTTCGTGAAGGGGTACTGGAGAAAGAAAAAATGGGAACCTCCAGTGCACGCTTTCTATGAGGTGTACAAAGAGGAAGTCCCGCTCTTTTTTAACTTGATTTTCTTCATGCTTCCATTGTTTTCCGCCGACCGTGCTTTCCGCCATTACAAATCGTATACCGAGATCCTTGATGAAGTGGACTCCATCAAGGTCAGCGACTTAGAGTCGCAGTCCAACCACGTTATCTCCAGGATCCATTTTCGAAAAGATCTCTTGGATACTCCAGTGTTTAGGCCGTTCAGCGAGCTGGATTGTGAAACCTCCACAGGTAGGGCAAGAGGTGCCGATGCATTTGGAAAAGAGTTTGCTGCACTTGGGTATCGGGGTGGGTATGAACTGAATGTTACTGCCCGTGCATGTCGTCGATGGGCACTGATGGAAACCGGTAGGAAAATATGCTAATCCAGTGTTGCCGTCCGAGCCACTCACATTTTATAGATAAGAAATACTCCCAGACGGCTCGAATGAAGTATGCTTCTCACACTGAAGCACGCACTTTTGGCCGATCATACGCTCATCCTGTGTGCGAAGTGGATGGACCTGCAACCTACTTGAATATTGCTTCCCGCCATGAGCATATTCAAAATCGACGCAGCATGGGCATACACCGTAACCCAAATCTGTGGCAATCTCTACCCGCAAAGGCGGAGTTTGAATTCCAGGAACGAGAGGACGTCATAGCACTTGACACAGAATGCGCACTCCTCAGCTCCCAACTTGCGAAGGCTGACAGCCAGGAAATGGCGCACAAGATTCACCTGCAACGGCGTCGAGTCCAGAGTCAAAAGGATAAGCTGTATCTTGAGGAACTTAAACGACAACGGGAAGTCCAACAGGGTACCCAAACAGGAAGTGTCTATGAACAAACTCTCTTCCACTACCGCCGGCGAGCTATGCCAGAGAGGGACCTTCTCGCTCAGATTTTACCGACTAGGTCAACTATACGAAGCTCAGCTGGGCTGGACGCAATGAAGGCACTAGAAACAATCTGCAGCCAGTACGATCCGGTAACCTATCGGTCAGGCTTACGACCGGTCAACGGCAAGTGCATGTGTGGTGAATCAGTAGATAAGTATGTGTTCCCCTGGTAATATACTTTAACGTTTACTGACCTTGTAGGTTCCACGCCCATCGTCAATGGCTACATCTATATCGGTGCTATCACAAGAGACTCAGTCAAATGAGTGTAGACAATTTTGCGGAGTTTTGCTTTGAGTGCGACATGTGGTTTAACAATCGTGATGACTGGCGCCAGCACTGTGAAGATCACCTCAGCAAGCCTACTGAATTGCTTCGCTGCGATCCGATAATATTCCGGAATTGCCCAGTGAAGCCTGGTTACTGCCCTTTCTGTCTGGGTAACACGAGCCTAGGGCCGACCCGACAGATGGAGCAATATCTGGACATGAGTAAATGGTACAGTCATGTTCAATCTCACCTCAGCCACCAGGACCTATCTGGTGAGTTTCACTGTCGGCATCCCGCATGCACACAGGGATACGGGTCGTTGACTGAATTGGCATGTCACCTTGAGGATGTCCATTGCTACAAGCCTCCTCGTGGAAAGAAGCGATCATTGGAACCATGACTAGAACAGAAGACCGATGTTGTCCTTGCGGATTCGTACAATGTATTTTCATCCTTGTGTTACCGTAACTATTAGATGATCTTAGGATTGTGTATCTGTTTGTCTACTGTCTATTTCAAGCGAATTCGTACTAGTAGTCCTTAACGGCGACGAATGACAGCTAGGACTCATACGTAGCACCTGTCCTGCCCGTTAGACTTTAATAAGTTGGCTGACTTGACACGCCATCTCAGTATGTGCACTGCTGGAACTTTCCGCGCAGTGAAGAGATTATCTGGACACATATCATTTGCTCTGACAACCGTATGCATGTATTGCACTTAGCTGCAGCCCAAAAAAAAGTGCTAGACACAAGGGTCCGCTCACATCCCTCCCGCTCACATCGAACAGTTACCGTCCTCATAATGACATGTCGTCCATAGCCGTATATATACACGGAACTTCAATATGATATGCCACTAGTGCACCATATGTGAAGCTTAACTCTATCAGCCTTCATGATCTCTTCACACTCCGCGAAGGTACAGCAAATTTCCCTCCGCCGTCTCTTCCACCGCAATTGAGACTTCCACCCGTCGAGCTGGCTGGCAAACTCAGTGATCAAGCTCATTTGCTCCGCTGCTATCACAACCCCCTTGTCGTTGCAGCATCTAGCACAGACAGTGTGAATATGGATTTTGCGCTTAGAGTAGATGAAGTACGAAAGGAATGCCTCTATATTAGTATAGGTAGGCTTCCAATCGCGATGATCCGATGCCTTGCAGCGGAGACAAGTCCAGGATATCTGACCCATTATTCTAGGAACAATTAGCGAGTGCAATCACTTAGGGTACGGTATCTAACGCGTGCAGGGCTGGCTTTCAGACTGCTCCAAACAATGCCTTGGAATGGGAAAGAAAGGAGCGGAACATCAGAAGGACTGAGACTTTTATATGCCTACCATCACACAAAAAGACACTTATGAACGTATGAAGAAAGCGCTTTTGTGAAGTCCTAAAGTATACCTGGATAATCTCGGGTGCTTGGCCCAGGCCTTGGCTGGGATAGCGCTCGGAGAGTTCTTAGTGCCACAAGCGTAGCGACCGCTGCCATAGTCCGCTCGTTATAAGACATTTTGGGAATTTAAGAAGGTCAATGCAAATGAAGCACTGAAAATCCGTAACAAGTCGACATGTTATTACCTCTGGGAGCGGGCGCCACCTTTATAGAGAGGAGCGCATAAAAATTTCAATGCCCAACACCATAAAATAAAAGACATAATATCAGAAGTCCCATATTCAATTTGTAAAATGTCAAAATGTTAAAATGCTACTTAGCTTTTTCGCCTTTACTAAGAAATATAATTTTTCGTGGGCGCTAACCCGCCGGTTACTCAACGGTCCCAACTCCCATAAGAACTGAAGGGGTAGCATCTACTCAGCGGGTATTTGGAGACAGTAGCAGCCAACTATCTGAGTTACAACGAACTTAACAGCAATTGGAATGGAAATTTTCACTAGATTACGCACATTTGGAGCAAGCTAAACAGAAGGGAAAGTCAATAACAAAAGAACGCAAAGCAGACTGATCAATTAATAAACTTCTTCCGCGTTGATTGCCTGCAGCATGTTTCATGCTTTGGAAGTAGGCGGTCCATCCCGCAACACATCAAAAGGCGTCTTCCCATGCAACATTCCGCGAAGCAGTGCGTCCAAGTCGATTCCGCACCACCCCAAGAAGCTCAGCTCGTTGACGGTGGCTAGTATACCTGGAACTTTCAAGGGCGCCATGAGGAGACTCAGGCAGAACAGATCTGTTGCCCTGCGCGTTTCTCCGATTTGATGCTAGCGACGTGCTGTTATGCTTCAACTGCGTCTTACTGGCGGTCGATTGACGATCCATATCTGGAGAGAGAGCTGGCTCTTCAAGACAAATTTTCGGCTTTTTGACAGTAGTTCCGCCCCGTGAATCTTTTGCCGGCAAAGACGAAGGTCCTATATCTCCAGCGTCTGCAATACCTCTTCCCTGGATGTCTGACGGTGATACAGTCGGGTAGGATGGTCTCTCTCCAGTTAGTGATTCTCTATAGTCCCCGTCTTGAGAGGTTGCCAGGCGATATATTAAGAGATCCACTTGAAAGTCTGTCAGTTCATGCATGATCTGCTGCAAACCCCAGCGGCTCTCCCAGCTCCAGGCTCCGTCATACCACAGGACCCAAACGTACGTCTCGGGGTATGGTTTGGCTTTGCCCGGATGTAAAGATGAGGTCGGATCTAGTTCATGCCGTGCATTCACCTTCCATGCCACCAGGCCGATGCCTTCGACCAGTCTCGAGTCGTAGACGGTCTCATTGTTAATGACCTGCTCGGCACGAGAGTTGAGCTCGATGCTCATATTATCGTTGACATGAGATGGAAGGTTTGTAGATTGGATTACACGCGCTATCTTTTTTCCATCGTATTGGCTTCCAACAATAAGAGAATATCCGGACTCTTCGCTCCCTGACCAACCCAGGACTGCCCCTTGGGTGAAAGGGATTCCATATTCCTTTTCGGCCTCGTGGCGTATATCATCCAGAGGCGTCGCGCTCTGCCAATTCGAAATATTATCATCAAAAAGTTCGTCCATATCCGATGCTTCTGAGTCTGATTGACCAAGATCGCCATCGTAAGGTTCCTGGGCAATACCTTGCATCCCGGAGCTATTACCGTCCAATTTCGCCAGGGCTTCACAGTATTCTGTAAACTGGTCTAACTCAATGTTCCAATCTTCCGGCCATTTGAACTCTTCAATGGCGTTTTGCAAGGTCTCTTGAGATTCCAAAAATCTTTCTTCATCTGATCCCGCAACGGTTGTGGCAGCCTCTTGAAGTTGGTCACCAAGAGATAGGAAGAGCTCAACATTGATTAGACCTTCGTTTTGTCTGCGCTTTGCCTGGATATTTTTGGTCCGGATCTGCGTATTCAGTTCTTTAAGCTGCTTGACCACATGGTCGGGCCGCTCACCGGGGAGACTCCAAAGCAAAGACGCGATTAAAGGCGTTGCAGTCTCGTATTCTTCGTTGTAGAATGACATTTTGGCTGATTGCAGTAATCATCCGCGTGTATGAGTTGGATGGCGGAAAGGATGAGCGGTGATATTTAAGTACCAGGTTCGTCTGGATATGCTAAATGGCGCAAAGCTGCATTTGGGACTTTTATTTTCGGCAATATCGTACCTTGACAAAAGCTTCTTTCATCACCCTGGTCGCGCAATCGCCCTTCCAACCAATAGGGATAGTAAATAGGCACCCTAGCGGTAAATGGCTCTAGGAGTCAAATAGCCCATACCCCTGCATCTATCTACTGCCGACTCTAGCATAGCTGTATCATTTTGGGGAACAAGCGTAAGTCTGTCGCTCAACAGGCAGGAGTAGATTCTTAAATAACACTCTCTTCATTGACAAATGTACTACTCTAAAATAAACTACTGACAACACGTGCTTTGAAGCCCGTTTCCTGCAAGCATTCCGCCACTAAACGACCTTTACTTTTCGGCTACCCTCGGAAGATGGCTGAGCAGACCTGCTGCTAGAGCCCTGCTCCGAAACATTTCTACGGGGAGGTACATGCAGCCCTCCTCGGGAAGCTATCCTTCCACTGCTGACGGGTATATCTGACCGCTTCTGTCGACCGGGAAATTGTGATGTTGTGCCACCACTACGGTTCCGAATGCCTGAGGTGGAAGATGGATCCGACGCTTGTCGTGCCGATGGGGAGTTTCTCCACCTCGGGGAACTGGGCGCATTTCGAGGAACCCTGGGTTGAGATGCAGCGGGGCGTGGTGTGTTTGTGTCCCTTCCTTGTGCATTGCGGGGCGTACTAAGGGGAGGCTCACTCTGCCGTGCAGTACGTGTGCGATGATTCCGTCTTTCTCGGATATTGAGAGCACTCAGGGGAACGTTACCACGGGGAGTGGTAGAGTTTTGCATCCGAAGAGGTGCAGCATTCAAATTTCTGCCTGGTGAATTTCCATGTAGCCCCTGGATATTTCCTTGCGGTGTTCGAGGGGCATAAGGAGTGGGACCACTGCGTCGTGCGGCTTCCGAGTCCGACCTTCGCCCTTGCATAGACCCACCGGCGTTCCTTTGTTGCGTGCGAGGTGCATCAGCAGTAGGACTGCGCCGTGATGGTCCGGGGTTGAACCTGCGCCTCTCCGGAGGCGCAGAATTCGGATTTCTATGTGAGGCTGACTCATATGGTGTCCGATGCGTGGCAGAGTTTCTCTCTTGGGTGTGAGCACTGTCCAAACCTCTGTCTTGAGTTCCTTGGTAAAGTTCTGTATGAGCAATATTGCCAGTCCGTAACCGATGGGGTAAAGCGCCTTGATGTCGTTCAAAAGCTTCCACGTTTTGGGAAACCCCACTAGGGCTCCTCCCAATATTTACGTTCCGCACTGATGGGTCATAATCATTAGCCCTGTCCCAGTTGCTAGGAGCATCTGACGGCTCTTGAGGCGGGCCACCCGGAGACTCAAGCCCGTTAGCGAAGGGCTGGGAAGCCCCATTTTCCGCTGGGTCCCAAGGGCCATCTTCATCCTCACTTTTCACGTTCTCAACTCCCTCTTCTTCTATTTTCACCACCCGCTTATTTTTCCTGGCTCGTGGCTGCAGCCAAAATGCTCCACCGTACGCATTCTCATTTCTCCAATGTTTGTTTGCCATCGGCCCTCCATCTGGAAACTCTGGCCGGTGCCCAGTCAAGGCCTCCTGAAAGTCTGCTTCTTGTGAAATAGCCTGCCGGTATATTATGATATCGACTCTATAAGAGTCTCCTCCATATACGAACCGCAGCCCATCTCGGGACTCCCAACTCCAAGAGCTGTCAGTCCAATACACTTGGATATAAGTTTCTGGATACCAAGCTTTTCTGGAAGGCCGTAGGACGCTGGTTGGGTCCGTTTCGTAGTTTCCTTCGACCCTCCAAGCAACTAGTCCAAGTCCTCGAACATGAGCCCTATTGCGGTACTCTTTGACTTTTCTTTTTTTATCTTCATAAATCGGTTTGCGGGCCTTGGATATGTCGGAAATATGTTGTGCATCCTTGGGAATCGGGCGTCTTGCTGCAGCCTCAAGACGCGCGATTTGACGACCATCACACTCATAGCCAACAATCACCGAAAAACCTACATTCCCCTGAAGGCGGTACGCCAGTATTTCGCCTTCCGTCATCAGCGATCCCCACACCTTCTGGGTGTCATGAAGAAGATCCTCAAAAGGGACATAATGACTCTCCCAGAAGCCTCGATCTTTGCGTGATGGACCTTGAGGTGATTGGTCGAAGAATCCGTCATCATCGTATCCGTCATCATGTTCATCGCTTTGATCTTCAGGCTCAACACCGGGGTTCTGTTGACCATATTCTTCTGCAGGTGAGGAATCACGGTCGCTTAGTCCAGTCCTCGTGTATACATTTTCAAGCTCCTCACGACGATCGATGTCCTCTTCTGCTTCAGAATACTGTTCAGCGTCTGCGTCCTCCTCGTCCGGGACGTCACTTAAATCCGAACTATAGTCACCCCTGGCTTTCTGGACCATTGGCTCGAGATGCTTGCAGAAGGCGAGGAAATCATCGTCGCGGATGCAGAAACTGTCGGGAAAACCCCGCGATTGAAAAGAGTCATTATATTTCTGACGGAGGGCGAGGTACTCTGAATCATCTCCTGTGGTAAGAGTACTGATTGCGGCCTTCAGAAGCTTCTCCCCGATCCGGCTATATCTGTCAATGTCGATCTTCCATGTATCTCGACGCTTCCCATGCTGTCGGTTGAGTTTTTCAATGTCTGAATTGATCCGGCGCATTTGCTTTTGAGCTTTTGCTCTTTCCATTTCACCCCCCCAAAACAACTTTTCTACAAGGGCCATGCTTGAATATATGTCTCGAAATAGAAGTCGTCCAACTGCGGTGCTTCTTCGCTCCTTGCATGCGCAGACACGCTGCTGCTTAGGTTCGCCATGCTGCATAGGTACGCCCTGATGTGAACGAGGAAAAACAAAGCTTCGACATTGACCTAACGACTGTGATGCCCTTTATATGTGTGCGGAGTGTAAATCTTACATTTGCACATTTTGACACATGTAGAAACTACGAAGACTTCTGTTTCTTTTATAAAGAATAGGAAACCTCACTGAATCAGTCAGTCTAGGCCAGGATGCCCATCTCCTTCCCCAGGTATTTCCCTCCCCCGCGAGGGCACCGCACTCTCAGGGAAGGACACGGCGGATATACCAGGCGTGACAAGGAGGAGGGTCCATATGGACTATTCATTGAGCACGATGACGGAGATGGGGCGATTCCGCTAAATGAATACGATGATCTCTCTTCCATCGAACCCTATTGGCAAAGAGCTGGAGCCAGCATAAACATGACCTTGTGGGGCAACCGTGCGCAGCGAGAGATGGCAGCGATGGAGCTGAGACACCTGAATATGGAAATAAATGCAATAACAGGAGACTTTGGATTAGGAATCATTGAAACAAGCAATTGGTATAATGCAGGCGAGCAGCTTTTTAAGGCGCTGAGGGACTTCCACATGTATGGTGCAACTGCAGTATGTTCTCGCTAGATGATTTATCTGCAGACTGCTGATCGAGATCTAGCGTTTTGAGGATGTTCGGGACTTTATTTGGGAAAGGATTCAGGTCATGAATTATCCGACTGACTGGAGGATCAAGATGGAAGATTTTACACGCGAAATTGAACGCTACGCTGGACACAATGCAAGGCTTCGGAAGAATCGTCCGGTGGACACCGACGACAGCATCTTTAACGAATGGTTGTTGGAAAATTTCCCGCAGCCTTATGCCCCTCCGCCCTCATATGAACACACAGAGAGAGCAAACACCCAAGTTCAGGAACCACCAAGGCCCTCGGGCGGCGAGCAATATCCGGGCCAGGATGCTGTCGTATCACAGTTTGCGTCCAATATTGGCAGCGCAAGGACAGCTGTGAACGGTAGGTCTAATCGCCCGAGGAACTCCCGCCAGATAATTACCCGCCAAAGGCAGCCGATACCCGCAATAGTACGCCCGGCGCCCAGTTTGCGGAGGCCAGTCCCTTCTCGCCGGCCGAGATAAACTGTCAGCAACATGACACGAGGAAAGAAATGCGCAGAAGTCCACTTTGGTAGTTGAAAAAGAACAAAATCTAATTTGAGCGTTTGGAAGTCTTCCAGAATGCGTCTCCGCACTGCCGCTTTGCGCAATTGTCGCTTTTGTTACTATACATAAATATGATGACCTCTTTCTTAAACTCGATAGACTAAGCAACTAGCGATACCACAATGTCTTCAACCATCCCAAAGTATCTATATCCTCCGAAGGGAATCGCAGTAACAGAGAGAGGACCTGGTGGGTTTGCCACACGACGAAATAAAGATTACGGTCCTTACGGAATATTTATTGAATATACTACCGAAGAAGCGCTCCCGACGAGATGGTCTTTCGAAAAAGGGGAAGAATACATGACACAGTGGCTGCAGGCCGAGGCAGATCTGCACGCTTTATTGTGGGGAAGTGATGATGTCCGCGAGCAAGCAAAAAGATCTTTAGAGGCACTGAATGGTGAGATACGAGGAACAGGGTCCGCACCCCAAGAAGGGCTGCTTGAAGTCACAAACTGGTATAATGCCGGACTTCAACTGAAGAAAGCTGTCAGAGACTTTCACGTCTATGGCTCCACTGCGCGATTCGAGGATGTTCGTGATTTCATTTGGGAACGCATCAGCATCATGAATTACCCGCACCAGTGGAGGGTGAAACGGGAGGACTTCCTAGGGCGCATTGCAGATGCCGCACCAGATTATGCACGTAAGGAAGGGGACCTAGATACTCAAGATGCTATCTTTCAAGAGTGGCAGCTAGAAAATCCACCCCGCCGCCCCGCATTAAGCCTTCCGCCTTCGTACCACACCGACAGCCCTACTGAAGTGCCTAGCCAGACCGCATCAAACCGTGTTCTGCGCAACCGTGAAACCCTGCAGAGCCAAGAACCTGGCACCAGACCCTCACCAAGTACGGCACTTCGGCGCCCCGCTCCCCGGTTACGAAGACGGGTTGCTCCCCGGCCCACTGCGCCCTCAGGTTCACAGAACACCAGGCATCTGGCGATTGAGAGGGGGAGATCTCAGGGACCTCCTCGGCAAGGCAATACAACACATCAGGACGACTATCCAGAGGAGTCTCCTCGGATGCGGCGTTGGCTGAATTTGCGATAATCATACCTACTGTATATTCTGGCTTGTTCTCCTGCAGTGTACATAATTTCTTTTGCAGTAACCTGCCAATGGCTGTGAACACACACGGGAAACTTGCTCAAGTCCCACGGCTTTTTGCCATTGTATGCCGTGTACGAATTAAGAGAAACGAATAAAGGGTTAATGATTGTCCTATCTGACATGTCTTCCGTATATCGTCACCCTGCCGCTGCTCCGCTGTTCCATGTGCACCGTATACAAACAGTGAACCGCTCGACATGTCTATTCAAGCTCCCGCCTGTGCGCTTTCAACATTTGGACTATGATCCTGCTTATGGCAACATTGACGTTGCAGGGTAGCGAGTTCTTGTTTGAGGCGCTCGTGCTCGGCTTGGAGATCAGTGTAGGCTTGGTAGAGACTCTCATATTGTTGGTGAAGAGAGTTATAGGCGGTGCGGTCTTGATGGTTTCTGTGTCCCGCATTCGCAAGTGACCGTTCAAGTCTTGCAATCTGCTGTAAATGGTACTCCTCGCGCGAGAAAAGGTTTCGGACAAGTGCCCAAGTGTCGATCAGAGAGTTGTCGGCCAGTTCCTATACTGTTAGTCTGAAACGCTAATGCCGATTAGTGGAGACCTACCTGCGCGGACATCTTGGCTGGGTCCTAAGACGAAAGGCTCTTTAGTGTTAAGTTGGAAAAGAGAAATGGTTCATTCTTAAAAGTTGGATTGACTCTTATTTATAGACGTGCAGGCGCTTCCAACATGATTCATCGCTAGCATTAATACTCGAAGAGCAAACACATTGGCCAGTCAGCTAACCCCTCTCCCCCTGCACGTACCCAACTCCACGGAGCTCTTTTTAGCCGTTATTACCGCGGGAGCTTTCATGTGAAATTAGACAGTGCCCCTAGGTTTAAGGGATAGTAGCGTACCTGCAATTGAAAGTCTCTGCAAAGCTGCCGCCATTTATTCTCAAGAGCAGATGCGGTTCGCTGACGATCTTCCTGCACATTCTTATTGTACTCAATCTCGATCTCTTTCCAAGAGAGCCCTGAGCTTTTGAGCTCGATTAGCAGTTGCTCCTCGCTTGGATAGTATGTTTTGTTGTGGCCGGAGGCAACGGAGCTGCTTTCATCCCAGTTCATGATGATCCGCTAGAGGATAATTGGTAATGGATAGTTTCTCGGAGATGTAACAGTAAATGCGTGGGCGTTCTAAAACTGAAAAGAAAGCTGATCTCTCAGGGGCGGGATATTATGGCGTCTGGCAAGGACTCCCCTCTTTCCAGAAATAGATCACTGGCCGTCGCAAAACGGAAGAACCGGAAATAGATTGACGAAGCAAATCCACTCACAGATGCGTAAAATGTCGTGGGCGTCTCGCACTTTGACTTCACAGATGAGGGGAAGCGCAATCATGGAAAGATCGTCGGGGGTCGCGCAGTTTATGTACGAAAGGTTCGTGGGCGCTGATTTACATGGCTATAAAGGCATGCCGTTTTCCCTCAGACGGCACAGTCAACAAACACTTATTCAAGTTTTCAACCTGACCATGGAGGACCCTTCATTTGATGCGCTCCTCAGCTGGAGTACTGGAGAATTGACTGAGTTTCCTGATATTGACTTTGAACTTTTTGACTCGGTCTTCTCCACCCAGAATCAGGGCCTATCAGCCGCAGAAGTGCCAGAACTCCTCCCCGACTACCAGCCTGCGGCGCAGGACGCCGTTGAGACTCTAAAAGGATTAGTCAACGAATTGTCTAGCCGAGTCACAATGCTCGAGGACCAGTAAGATATCTCTCCTCCCACTTTGCAAAATAGAAGGAACTAAGGGAAGTCTAGACTTCAAACTGAGAGCAAGTAAGTGACAAGGCAACTTGAAATGAGGTCGGTGGCGTTCTAATAGCCAACCAGGAAACGAGTGGCCTTAGAGGAGTATATTGAAAACCTGCAACCATTCTTGGAGCGGCTCAGCTTGATGGTCCAGAAATAATGGTGCAAGGACGTGCGATCATCCGGCTCGTGAGCGCTTCCACCATGATCCGACGACGCTGGCAGGGCTTATCGGCTGTCAAAATGGATCTTTGTGATCTCTGTTCTCAATCGATGTTAGAAGGTGCTCGGAGACTTAATGTGACGAGTGGGGGTCGTGAGCGGTTGCATCATGAGTCCTTGGCTGCGAGCGTGATTTTATTCGCCTTGATATTATCTCCATTTTCCTATCAGTACTGTAATGGACTAGAGTTGTTATGATCACCTGGTTCGTGGGCGGTTGCATCATGAGTTTTTTGGACGCTAGCAAAGTATATTCGCAGTCGAAGTGACTCTCTTTATGCTCAGTTTCTTTGTTCTGACTGGGGGTTAATGTGCCTGGTACCTTGGCTTTCAACTGTTATCCAATTAAGCTTTAGGATCGCCATCCTTCAGAAGAGCCGCGCCACGAGCCGTGCCACGAGCCATGCCACGAGCTAATGGAAGCAACCAATACCGGTAAGGCTGAACCGGTGATCGCCGATAATGCGGCGCAGTGAGTCCATAGCAAAAGTACCAGGATCCTTGTCCCCCCAGCTATTTCACTGCGGCAGTTGCCTATCGTTTCTATTCTTCTTTCTTTCTGTGCCCTCCAAAGTATCAGCCTCCAAAGTGTCTCCCTCCCAAATGTCTCCTTCCCAAATGTCCCCCTCCAAAATGTCTGCTTCTACAGATAAAGACTCTGATAGCTCTCATTATAATGAGGGGAGCTTTATAAGCACATTGGTCAGACAATCTTGTCCATCCCTATGTATTCTGCACTGACCTTGTTGTTGGAGCGGCCGCAGAATTTTCCCTCCATCGAGGAAAGAAAGCAACGGCATCTCGAGATCCTCAAATACCTCGACGAGTCGCGCTCAGCCATCAAGGATTCGCTTGAACGTTTGGAAAGGAAAATAGAAGATCTTGCGGCTTTGAATAAGGAACTAGAGGGACATATCAAAGGGGATGTGAATGCCGCGAGTGGTGAAATGCATTAACGTACATGTCGACCATTTTAATCGCCGTTCGGCGGCAAATATAAATAGAACAACTGATATTAGTTGCGGTTGTTAGCAGACTTGTGCATTTTCACATTATCACACGGGCACTTTCTTCTCCCTGCCCCGCTTTATAAATCTCCTTGGTAGTCCTCATGTCAAGGTCAATCATACCACCATGGCTACTTGTGATCATCTCGCGTGTGTACGCCCTGTAGAGCCTGAGCGAACGGGAGAGATCATACTGGAAGACACAGGTCGGTTCTGGCGTATTATCCAGGAATTACCCGACCAAGCAATCCAGACACCCCAGCTTGCGCTATTCATCGGCACCAACGCCAAAGACATCGCGCTGAAGCATATATTCCCCCAGAACAATATTGGCAGACGAGGGGAGAGGGGGAATATCAACCTTCGCCTCGAGACTAGTTCAATAAATCATGATGCGCCGTTGCTTTTTGTCGATAGTAGTCCATTCATTGAGAACCCAACAGAACGCAGCCATGTCCTCTGTCATGAAACAATTTCATACACCGCACGCTGGAGGTCGGACCATTACACCGTCATTGATGTCCTCTACGCAAGACTACTGTTTCTTTTCAGCGATGTGATTTGCGTTTTTGCAGATGATTTCTCCAGTATTGCGGCTTTTCTCCTACGCCTGACGACATGGGCGGAGATTGGGAGCGCAATGTCCTTCCTGCCAGAGTTACGCCCCCGACTCCTTATTGTGGTCTCTGAGGACGGTCCATTTACAGGATCACCTTACGAGGAACTCTGCAACGGACTTCAGTCTTGCTGGAGGCAACTGAGCAGTACGTTTTCCGTGGTTAAAATTTTTCGGTTAGCAGGCAGTGATCTATCCCCAATGGCACGCCACCAACGCCTCCAGCTTGAAATTCGGAGTCAAATCGAAGAAACGTTCGACCTACGGCAGCAGAATCACATGCTTCTGTCGGCACTCCATACTGCGTCTCTTTTCGCAATGGCCCTTGAGCACACAGCTCGAAGCATCTCCCAGGACTTCAATTTCATTACCGCATCTCGCACCCATAACGAAGTAGGGAGTGACTACCTAGGGCACCTACAGACTTTTATAGGGCTCTCTCAAAGCTATAAGACTGAGTACGATAGTGTGGCCTCGCTCATTGCGTCAACCATAATTATGGATGCATATCCGCCTCGAATGCACCGTTAGTATCCGTCCGGTTTGCGAGACAACAGCTAATACATCCAGACTTCCCAATTGGGCACGTGTTCAACTTACTCTACCGGGAGCCGTGTTACCGGGCGTTGGTGGTATCCTACAACAACATATGTGCACGCCATTTGTGTGGTGAGATCGAGCGCCACTGCTTTCGACTTTTCGAACGTCTGAAGGGCGGTTTCGTCTCCTCCAGCAGGCTGCATTGGGGAAATGTCAGGGAGCTCGATCGCTCCATCGCCTTATACAGATCCAACACTACTTGTCTGTTTTGCCTTCGCCGACTACCTGAATATCACCTAAGTTGCGGCCACTGTGTCTGTTACGATTGCATACTAATATTTGGTGCTGTGGTACCGGGAAGAGAGGACAGATTCAAGCTAATATGTATCTATCACGACTGCGGCGAACTCACAGTTGATCTTAAGCCTAAGACCGCCGGTCTTAGAGTCATTGGAATAGACGGAGGGGGTTCTCGAGGTGCTACATCCCTGGAGTTTTTAGAGCAAATGCAGAAAACTCTTCACCACTGTCCTCTACACGAAATGGTGGATATTGCTTGTGGCAGCAGCTCAGGTGAATCGCACGCTCTTCTATACACACTCGCCTGCTAATGGTTATAGGGGGCTTGATTGCTCTGGCCAAGTTCCACCTACACTGGCCGGTGGAGCGATGTAGCAAAACTTTTGAATCATTTGCCGTTCGTTGCTTCCAGCGGTCCAAGTCGGTGCTTGGACTCATTAAATCAGCTATTAAATATGCAGTCACGGACGCGATCTATGATGAGGCTGTCATTGAGGATTTGGTCAAAGAGACCTATGGTTCTACTACAGTCTTTTTCAGCAATACCCCCAACACAGTACCTGGTACACGAGTTGCAGTGACTGCAATGACTCATGGCAGCCAGCGGATAATTTTTACAAACTACAATGGCTCGGCAAGTATTCTCAAGGATCGTGCGAGTTGCGGCCCTTCTCCTCGGTTCCAAGATACTGGCTACATTGCCATCAGACCGAAGGATGTGCACAAAGAGCCTTTACTATGGCAGGTGTGAGTTGTATTATATCGTTTTTACGGTGGGACATTTCTGACTTTGATCAGAGCCAGAGCTACTTCAGCCGCTCCGATGTAAGCCATGCCCGGTGCCGTCTTGTAAGTCACGCTAATTATGGTAGTTTTTTCAAGCCTGTCCGGATGGCTGCGGGTGACTTTTGGGACGGTGCTCTTGGATTCCCGAATCCGACTGAATTGGCGACCTGGGAAGCGTCGAGACTGTGGCCGGGGGCCGTTGTGGATGTGGCAATCTCACTTGGGACAGGCGAAGAGCCAAAGCACCCAAGATCAACAAACTCGCGGAACCGACTCTTAGATGCTTTCAACCTCCTTCTTGACGGGCAGTTGGAGTTTCTCAATATGAAAATGCGATCTCGCCCTGAGCAGGGGCTCCTACGGCTAAACTCGCGTTTGTCGCAGCCCATCCGACTGGACGACGCTGAAAGTATTCAAGTACAGAAACATTTCGTACGAATCCATCCATCGGCTCCTCAGGATATAGTTGATGCTGCGACTGCTCTGCTGCTGTCTAATTTCTATTTTACTCTAGACCGCCCTGTCAGATACGACCTGGGTGTTTACTATTGTGAAGGATCCATCCGCTGTCGAGGAGACTATTACCAGGTTGCCGATGTGCTAACAGAGCTCTACGCCTCGCAGATAGAGTTCGTCATGGAAGCTGGGGTCCTTTCAAGGTGTGAACTGGGCCACGACATCTGCTCCGTCTGCCACAGGTATCGGAAGAATGTGAGCTTCACGGTGCGGCATCCTTCCGACCCAATCACAGTTTCAATTCGGCTTGCCGACGGAGTCACCCGAAAGATTAGTGGGTTTCCCCAAAGTTTGTCCTGGTTCCAGCAGCAACAAGGTCTCGACACCCACTGGGGCACCTCCAGTCACGATACTCCGGGGCAAATTCGCTGTCTTGGTTGTATTCCGCACGGTAAATTGCGTCCGCTCAAGCGACGTGGAAATGGTTCTTTGGATCGATATTCGAAGCGGATCAGACGGTAGATGCTTTTTGGTGAAGAGACATAGTAACAATACACGGTGATGCTCTTAATTTGTTCTTTTTGCGGTGTAAATAAGCCTCAAGCAGATTTTAAAACCTCTGACGATACGGGTAGAGTCACCGGATAGGTAAAATGCAGGGCAGCGAAACGCCCACGAGTCACATAAAAATTCACAAAGGTTACAAACACAAAAGTTACATTGTTGAAGATCGCAAATTTCGCCTCTTAGATGTCGACCTTGGTCCAATTCAACTCCAGCAGGGGAGTTATTATAAGGATGGGGCTCTCCATGAAAGGCCCTGGTAGGCACCAGGTCAGTTTAGCCAGAAAATGGCAGCTGATACCAACAGTCGTGAATCTAACTGCACTGTCTTCCCAACTTGCAATGACACTTTCATCTCAACCAACACCGCTCCCCTCTCAGAGGACAAGCGCGCAACTAACTGCACCACCTTTCCAACGAGTGATGCCCTGTGTATATCTGCCGACGGACCTGTGACCGAGAATCGCACTAATCAACATCAAGAGGCACGGCAGAACCTTGACAACGATCTTTGGCGGGAAAATAGTCTTGCGCAGGCACTCGCTGGCCGAGCCGCATCCAGTGGCAAACGCCCAGCGAGACACTCACCAGAAACAGAAGCACGGGACGGCAAGCGGGTCGCGAGTCCTTTCTGCCAGGAAGGATCGCCATGGCCCAAGTACCATCAGTTCGCGACACTTGGAACATCTGGAACCACGTTCCTAGCTGTCGACCATACCGGGCAGTCACCACGTATCGTCGCAGTTAAAGAAGTGAAGATCTTCGATCTGAAGCTGACGCGAAGTCTCGTGAGAATAGTACACCAAAATATTGTCACCCTGCAAGAGGCATGGTTGAGTACCGATAAGGTCTACTTGGTCTACGAACGGATGGACATTACGCTGGACAGGCTTCAACAGTTTCATCAATTTAAGGAAGAGCATATTTCCACTGTTTGTCACGAGGCTAGTACACCCGGCTCACTGTCAGCCGGTGAAATGGCTGACGCAGCAGAGTAGGTCCTGAATGCTTTAGCATTCGTTCACAATGAGCTTCAAGTCGTCTATGTTGGCTCTCTCTACGATCATGTATACTTTTCGTACGATGGAGCAGTTAAGCTCGGTAGGACTGGCCTTTCCACAACCAAGAGATAACTGAGCAGTCAATAGGAAATATTGGGACATCCCTGCTGTCCGACTCTGGGATTCAAGAGGGCGACGACATCAAATCCATTGGAACGATGATGCTCCGCATAATGCAGCCGGGAACCATGCACAGAAATCCCAATGAGACGCACATACAACGTCCGCACGATTGGAGCGATAGCCTCTTAAGTTTTCTCAGGGCGACTGGTGAGGCTTCTCTGGAAGCATTATTAAGCGTAAGTGTCCTACATATGGTGATTCTTATGCATGGATCAAGCGTAACTGATGAATAGCATCCCTTCATTACAACAACATCTGTAGATCGTGTTGGTTTAATCTCGATGATCTGGACTGCGGACAAAAAAGTGAGGTTAATTTGGGAGCATCTGTAATGGGTAGAGGTCAATGGAAAGATCACTGAGTACACTATATGATGAAATTCAGTAAATCTCCATCGCAAACCCGCATAAGCCCTAAAGCACATTCTCACCATTTGTTTGGACGAGGTAATATAAAGGAAATGGCCTTGCTACGCGACCCTTGCTCGAACCACAGCTGGGAACCAATATGTCGGCTGATTCGGTTGATAAGAAGATACTCCGAGACAAGCGGCTCCGTTCTCGTGGCCGTGCGAAGGTGTCATTAGATAATCTTCAATATCACGGGATCTCGTTGCGTGGCGGAGTTAATGACAAGCATGTTGACCGTCTGGTGGAGGTGTTTCACGTAGAGGGATGTACTCGGCTTCACGACCCGAACCACTACGTCCCCGCGGTCATCTCTCCCGAAGATCTTCGTGATGCCCTCGCCTACTCTCAAATGCGGCTCCTAGACCTTATGCAGGATGGAGAACCACGGCCCCTCTACTTCCGCGGAGATACTCGCATTCGCGTGTTACATGGCGAACATCGGCTGCGGGCTGCCGAGCGATTCCTTGACCCCACTGAACAATGGTGGACGGTGGTCCTCTACACTACAGGTACTGAATGCTGCATTGCAGACATACCATAGAGGGTGTATGGCTGAGAAGATGTAGAGCTTCTAGAAACAACCCAACAAACCATCCGCGAGGAATATTCACATCAACTGGCATTCACCGATGGCGATATTTATCGGAAAATTAGGTGGTACGAGGGAACACGCAACTGTGCACAGGTGAATAAGTGGAAAGCACGGCTGAGTACCGAGAAGGCCAAGAATCTTTCTCGTCTGGGTAAGGATTTGCATAAGGGCCTGCAGTATGCGTTCGACGAAAATATTCCGTTTGTGGGGCTGTGGGATGGCTTCATGCTCGGATCACTCTCCCGACTACTGCGTATCAAGTGCCCAGAGGTATCGTCCTGCTGTGTTCGTCAATACCCTCGCACTGACAGGAACTTAGGAATTGGAGCATTATGTTTGGCACATTTTTGAGACGTGGAAATCCATTTGCCACGACCCGCAGCTGTTCAACCTTCTGGATGGCAACACCGTGAAAGTATTGGAAACGCTCACACCAGATTCGACATCAGACCGAGCCCTGATTGAAGCCCTTGCAGCTAACGGTGAGATATTTTCTGCCGTTGACAGATCGACTGTCTTGGAACAAATTCTGCCTCGTATACTTCAGGTGCGGGGCCGAATTCCGTCCTTTTTCACCCTCTTCCAAGACGTGATCTACCTGGAGGCATGCGTGAAATCACTGCGCCCTCTATTGCCGAGCTCCAAGGTCTCCTTTCGGCAGTCATTCTACCATTGTTTCGTTGGCAATGCGCAAACACAAGGTATAATCAAGATCCAAACGGAGGAGGGTAATTTTAGGCTTGTCCAAGGGCAGACCAGTCTGCGAAAGGAGCTTGGTTACCTCATGCTGTTTCTCGCAGCTATGCGAGATTTCCCTGTGCTCAGCCAGACCGCCCCTCACCAATCGCGCGGTGAGAAGCAGCCCTGTAAAGGATCCCCGGAAGAACGCCAATCCTCCTTGGCGTTGCTGGCTCTGGATCTTGGGTTTCATAGTCCCCAAATCCAGGAATTCGCGGAGAGAGATTCTGACTATACGGCCATCAGAGCATTAATACATCGGCTTCGTCCAGTAGAACACTATGATATTGACATCGAGAGGGCCGAAACCTGTGCATGGCGACTGGTCGAAGAAATTCGTTCCTTTTCAACCGCAAGGAGCATACGCGGTAACCCTGAATTCTCCGGTTACAGCGAGGTACCTAAAAAGCTGCGGTGCGGATTACCTGATATTGTTAATCATAAAAAGGACCGAAGACACTTATTTCTCGACAATATGTGTGGACATTATCCCCCTCCCCGGAACCACTTGACATCACTAGGATTTCAGCGTGACATCTTTGTCTGTTTTTTTGGCTCCCATATAATTCCAGTTGAGGTCAGCGGAGAGTTTTCAAATGACAATAACGAAAATCAAGATGAAAGCTACTCACCCCCAGCGCAGCCGGATACTGGACGGGGTTATTCCGATTCTGCAGTTGAGGGCAGGGGACATGAAGATCGCTTGTCGCGATTCGATCGTGATGATGTAACCAACATCAACCATCCGTCTATGGCTCCAGCCGTGGAGAGTCGAATCGTCTCCCAATCCAGCAGCAATTACGACACCAGAAGCAGCTCAGAGTTGCCAAGCAGGCCAATCTCAGAACTTCCCGATTATTTGCAATCGATTGAAGCTGCGTTGTGGCCCTACAGCCAGATACTAGACGATCCAACAACAAATACTGATCCGGGGTTGGCCCCGGGTTTTGAGAAGTCAGTGAGTCGGAAAATGAACGTATTTTGCACTCTTGAGGACGATATTATACCCTCAGAAGCCATAAGGGAATTTCTCCTAGACCCACCGCTCCTTGTGGTTTACCTCTGGGCCGAGCGAAAGTACATTAAGTTCTGCCTTTCACAGAGATGGGCCTTTGAGGAGGTGATGTGCTCCCTGGCGGATTGTGGCCTGTGCTTTGCCCTTTTTGAAAGCAACGAGATAGTTGTAACGGGTTTAGCAGGGCTCTGGGCAGCAGGTCAGGATCTGAAGCTAGTGCTTGCTGGCCCGAAGAGTACGCATGCCCGTGATGCAGCAAGGCCAGTGGATAACTTTTTACAACGTATCGACCATTTACCATAGCATAGGCATTAGTCGCCAAGGAAGTTCAGACGCCCAAATTTGTTAATGAAGTTTTGATACAGGGAGGTTCACAGGCATTAAAGCGTACAGACACCAAGAGAGTCCGGACACTAAAGTGTTTAGACACCAAGGGTGTTTAGGCGCTGAAGTGTTCAGACGCTAAAGTGTATAGACACAAAGGGAGTCCGGACACTGAAGTGTTTAGACACCAAGGGTGTTTAGACGCTGAAGTGTTCAGACGCTAAAGTGTATAGACACAAAGGGAGTCTGGACACTGAAGTGTTTAGACACCAAGGGTGTTTAGACGCTGAAGTGTTCAGACGCTAAAGTGTACAGACACCAAGAAAGTCCGGACACTGAAGTGTGTGGACCCCGGAGGTGCTCAGGCACCCAAGTGTTTGGAAAAGTCATCTACCTTAATATTACTTCCTGGCTTCGCTACTGCAAGGGAATCTGAATCCGAACCGCATTGCATTAGCTCCTGCATATACATGTATGCGATGTAATCAAAGTTACATTAGCTCAGACTAGTGCGCCACTCTACTGAAGTACAAGGGAACTTCAATTCTTGCTCAAGTGAAATTCGACTCTCAAAACTCCCTAAGCTGGATGAACGGGGGTGAGAGGATGTATGCATGCTGCAGCTCAGATCGATTTCAAAATTCCACTCCTTAGTTCGAGGGACGAATCTCCGGTCCTTTGTATCAGTGGGAAAAAGCGTAGTGGACTAAATTGGACGTGTTATTAGCTTCAGTCCAAGAAGAAGAGCAAATCACCCCGGAGATCTTTGCCTCCATTGCGTTTTACCACCAATTTGTGGAACAGCTAAGAAATCTGATGCAAATCTACGGTAAAGTTTACCAAGTTGTGATACATTCTGGAGAGATTTCTACTTTAATACTATACTAGAACAACATATTCGCGACACAAACGACGATGATTAACACACAAGACAGGTTTATTCCGATAATCTGCAGCACTCCAGCCGCCGAGCTCAGTTCTATCTCCTGCGATGAGGGAGACGCTGTATAGGCAGAGGTCGTTTGAGATGTCCCACTTGGAAGGGTGGCCATCGGATCTGGTGCTTCGGAAGTCTTTGAGAGCGGTTGGAAATGACTGACGTAAGGACTGGTTGAGCGGGGAGCACTGCTCATCAAGGAACTGCTCATCAAGGAACTGCTCATCAAGGGACTGCTCATCAAGGAACTGCTCATCAAGGAACTGCTCATCAAGGAACTGCTCGTCAAAGAACTGCTCATCAAGGAACTGCTCATCAAGGAACTGCTCATCAAGGAACTGCTGATCGAGGGGCTGCTGATCAAAGGACTGGAGATCATAGGGCCGCTTTCAACCTGGGATGGGCCCATGACATGTGAGCCGATCCCCAGATCTGCAGTTTCGTATGGGCCGAGGGTTTGGCTCGGTGGAGCTGCCGCGTTGAGAGTAAAAAGCAGTTCTGGCGAACAGCCATCGGTATCCGCTGAATCACAAATGAAGAGCAGAGGACTTTCATCTCTCACAACGAATCGTTTCTCGTCCTCAACTACGGTACTCTCAGAGGATCCACATGGGTAGTGGGTTAATCGTAGGGAGCAGGAGAGATCTTCAACTCGGAAGCTAATAATATCCCCAACATCGAGGCTCAACCGGCTAGGTTGAAACCGTGGCTGTCCATCGCTAACCTTAACGTGGAATGTCTGCTGTCCCAAAATGGCGGAGGCAGTCGGGGTCACTGGTACCACGCTAAGATCGGCTTGGGCGAAGTGCACGAGGATAAGGCCTATGATGAAAATGATCATGATGACGGCCTGGGTGGTCACTTAATGCCGACCTCAGTCGACACTTATATATCCTTAGATGATTCAGCAATTACAATATCCCATTTGTGACTTTCTAACTTTTGACACCAAACACGTCCAGCGGCAACAGTGGACTATTTTTAGAGCCGAAACTACTATATATACATGCTGCACGCATGAGCCCACCAAGATGGCAAGCAACAAAAATGTCCACCCCAGCGAACAGAAAGCGAGCATTAGAACGGACCACCTGCCGTCAGGAATTGTCAGACCATCTGAGTATGTCTTTCTAGATTGTCGTCTTGTACCCGCCACACTAACATATAAGAAAACACGCTCTCTATCTCAATACCCCCTCCGACGTACGGCTCCATCCCCTTCCAAGCGATCCCTATAGATGGCAGTATAGTGAGTGCTACAGTCACATATTCGAGAGGAACCTTAGTGATCTCTCTACCAACAATTACATTGAAATTCCACTGGCACTGCGGAATGGCCATATCTGGGCGGTGAAATACATAGATTATAATGAGCGAACACTTCCAAATTCGCATGAAGAAATCTCAAACAGGGGACTTCAAGAAGAACTGGAAAAAGTGAAACGGGAGCGAGATCGTCTCCAAGGTGAAAATGAGCGGCTTAGGAAGGTTCTTCATCTGCACTTCAAAAGGTCAAAAATCTTCTGCGTCTCTATGGCAAAAGCTGAGGAACAAGCACGGTCAGCGGCTCACATTGTTAGACAGCTTAAGAAGGCGTTGGATCATGATTATAGGACAGCATAATCACTTGTATTTTTATCGTCCAAAGCTATACCATATGAAAGAAGGAATCGAGCCTCAGAGGCAGCGAGCTTTTCAGATGCGCGGCTCAGTGATGCATGAATATTGGCTGCAGCTCTTTTTGTGGTAGAGGAGAGCAATACGAACGCATTCACTAGCAGATGTTGATGTGATGCCAACTGTAGCGTATCCTGTATTAATCGATATATTTCGCGCACATCACTGAATAACTCCATCAGAGACACATGCGCCTCCTGATGAAATGCAATCTCCTGTCGAAGACGCCCAATTTCCCGCTGGAGGTCGGGTATTGTTGAAGCAGGGTGAAGCTTGGACTGCTTCAGATAACTAGGTAGCCGTTCGACATTCACGGTTATATGACCGTTCTGCGAAATAAAGTGGTCAAGAGCGGTGATTTCCGGGATGTCTATTATGCACGGAGAGTAATAAAGAAACAGAGCAGATGGCCAATCTTCTAGATAGACACGGGGAAGATTTAAGTAACAAACACAGCCACACCGGAGCCTGGCCAGCAGGCACTTCAAGAAACCTCATTCGACCCTTCTGTACCTTGGTACCGCCAACCTGGTTTTGTTTGGACCCTGCGAATGCGATGGTGACTCAGAGCCGGGCCTCAAAATTAGGAAGTCATCATTGGTCCTAGTCCGCGGATGCGCCAGGGCCTGTTCATTTTTAGTTCATGATCTGCAGGAGCAATTTAACGAGTCTCACCTCTCTGATAGCAGGTACATCATCATGTGTCTTGAAAATCCATTGACGGTTCATATTATCGGTCAAGACTACCACCGCGCTCATGTCAAACTCGTTGCAGAGTTGGCGAAGTTTGCGGAAGACTGTTCGGCGCCGTCGGCCTTCCGATGATTTGGCCGTTTGTAGTTCCATAATGAAGAAGAGCGGTATTACTCCTTTGCGATTTTCTATCGTTGTTGAAAGGTGAGAATGGATTGAAGAAGAAGCTAGAGGGAGCAAGTCCTCGCTTTATATGTTATTTAGTTGTCGTGGTTGCGCCCACGAATGTTAAAAATGGCAAGATAATGTCGTGGGCGCTTCCAAGGAAGCCTTTCCTGAAATTAGTATCCTTAATCGCCCACGAGCTCAGCACCCGATGCGACCTATATTGAGGGACAGGCGCCTGAAGATAGTATTTGAGTCATTTGCAAGATCCGAAAATAGCTCTCATAACGCCCACGATCTCTAAAAATAAACAGCGAACTCGGGCAGTCTTTCCTTGCCCATCCTATAAATTGGGCTGAATCCTCACTACCAAATTTCAAACACAAAGAGGAAAATGAATCCATCTCAATTATACGCCTGTGCCATGGGTGGTATCATTTTGTGGCTCCTGGTATCTCGAATTATCCGCGTCTGGGCCCAACGGCAACACTGGCCACTGGGCATTGTCTGGCTGGGTGGATATCTCTACCGCAAAATTATTTTCTTCGTACTCAGGCACCTCATTTACCCCCAAGTATTTCGTACTCGCTCGAGATGCTGGGTCCTACTCCAATCTATCTACTGGGCAGGAACGCTTACCTGCAACTTCATAAAGACTGATTCTCTATCGTCAATAGCGGCTCGTGCTGGGAACCTTGCTGTTCTTAATTTTGTTCCTTTGGTGGTTGCCGGCAGACTGAGTCTAGTCTCAGACCTGTTAGGTCTGCCTATTCGATCGTATGTCGGCATGCATGGGACACTTGGCATAATGACCTGCATCCAAACAGCCCTACATACCACCCTCACCATCCGAAATCGGGGGTGGTCACCAGAGCACCCTGTCCAGTTCTATGGATTATTGGTAAGGTCTAAAATGTTGCATTAAGATAGCTATGCTGACGTGCACAGGCACTTTCCGCGTTCTGCTTATCTATCGCGCTTTTAATCATTCGGGGATATCTCTATGAAATATTCATCAAGATGCACTATATCCTTGCCCTGGCGGCATTGGTTGCCGTTTGGCGTCACGTACGCCTCCAGAAGGCTTTTGCCCAGATATACATGGTAGTTGGCAGTGGCATCCTTATTGGGACCACCCTGCTGCATTGGGCCATACTCCTTGTGCGGAATATCACACTCAAACAATTTGGCTCAAGAGCTCAGGTTCACAGGGGTGACGGCTGGGCTCAGGTCGTCATACCTGTCAATAGGCCCTTTACCGTCCATGCTGGTATGACGGTCTATATTTGGATGCCCGGGGTTAGCCCCTTCTCGATGTTTTACAGTCATCCGTTCACAGTGACATGGTGGGAACTGAACAAACAAGGGAAGGCGACGAGCATTTCCATTTTGGTCCAGAAGAAGGACGGGTTTACCCAGAGCCTCGTGGACCATCCGGGCAGAGAGTTCCTCACATGGATTGACGGGCCATATGGTGAACGGATTGATTTGTCGTCGTACAACAATGTCCTCCTAGTTGCGTCAGGAATTGGCATCGCTGCTCAGATTCCTTATATCCGGGAACTGCTCAACCATCGCCCGAAACGTATATTTGTGGCGTGGGAGCTTGACGATAAGTGTGAGTAAACCTTTCAATCTTTGATTTGATACTTTCTAAAATAATTACCAGCAAACCTCAATTGGGTCTATCAGTGGATGGACCAGCTCCTTTTGCAAGATCAGGAATCCTATGCATGTCCTATCCACACTTGTAGGGGGCCGGTGCTAATGAAGACCAGATACTTCGGTTCGGCCTCTATTTGCCAAGCCGTTCGAATAACTCTGAACACCCAGAACCGTGGAATAGTAAACATGATCGCATCTGGAAGCTCTCTGGAGAAATCGATCCTTGGAAGGTAGTATCGACGGATTTTTGGCGCCAAAGCGGAACCTCTCTGGTAACAGGTGAATTATCCCCTCAACATACCAAGGTTCTCGGACTAACTCGACAGTTTCTGCAAACAAACGTATCCGAAAGGGAATAACTGAAGTTATCCAAAACAAGATGGAGCATGTCGTCGATCTTCTTGAACTGCCTTTCCAACCAGGTAACCCTCAAATGCACCAACGACAGAAGACGAGTACAGAACGAGTGTGATTTGATATTTTGTCCGTTCGACGATCGTATTGGCGCTTTTGATAGAGATAGGAATGCGTGGTGGCTTGTAGCGCTTTTACTGGCACGTCCCGGCTGCATTGTGGATTAGGAAGCTGTTGAAGCCAATTCGTTGCTTTGAGCGAACAGTAACTCGTATTGGTTAATATCAGACGTACTGTTACTAAAGAACCTTTCAGCCAACATCATTAGGCTGAGCAGGCGCCTGGGAGCGATTTATTCTCGAGTAGATGGCTCTTATATACTGAAGGCCAGGAGACGAAGTGCAGTTTTTCTAAAAGAGAATCTTAATCGCCGTGGGCGTTTCGCCCTCCAACTACTCAATCTAATGACCATGGTTGTTGAGGAATTTCGCTGCACCAGAACCGTCTTCTTCACTAAGTGCTTGGAGTTCAATCAAACAACAACGGAGTAGAAAGAGAAATTTTGACACTGACATTTGAGCGTATATGAATATGATTGTTGTTGAGCTTGGGTGATTTCATTCGTGGAGGGATGACGCGGCGGGCTTTACTGGTTCTGAAAGCGTGGCCACGGAAGGGATATCGGTGGCCCTCGGCGCCAGCAAAAAGCACCTTTTGCCATTTGCCCATGTGTAGTATTATGCAATCTTTCCCAAATAAATTTCGACTGTGCTTCTTCCGACTGTGCTTCAATTTTACTTCTAGTTGGGTATGATGAATGGCCAGCCGTGCTTCATACAGAAAGTAATACAACACGCAGTAAATTATAAAGAGGCCGTCTTCCTTCTGGTGCACATTCTTACTTGCCGGGCCCTAGAGCCAACCTTATTCCCCTACTCTGTTCATGATGAAGATTGTCATCGTTGGTGCTGGCATATCTGGCCTTGCTACTTACTTGTTTCTTAAGAGGCACCTTCCTTTTCCCGATTCGCATGAGATACATATCTACGAGAAGCGTCATCTCTCAAGTCCACAAGGAGCCGGCGTGGGGGTCTCAGCCAATGGTCTACGAGTGCTCAAGGACCTGGGGCTCTTGGATAAAGTACTTCGTGACGGTTCCGTGTGCAATCACTTTTCGATCCATGGCACCAACGGATGGCCACTCGCAAATCTGCGAACAGGACGTCATGCTTATGAATTTTGCGTCTCGATTAGCCGACATGCTTTGTGGAAAGTTCTAATGATAGAAGCAGGGGATGTCGTCTCCTATTGTGAGGTCAGGGGTATCGGACGTGATACAAGTACCGGAAAGGTCCTTGTACAGCTAGAGGACTCCGTCGTGGAAACCGATCTTGTCATCGGAGCGGATGGCGTACACAGTATTGTGAGGAAGCACCTTCTCGGGCCAGACAGATTCTCCCCCAGACATAGGTGAGGACTGCCCATGGAAGCGCACGCCGCGGCTGAATTCACTGACTTGGCTAGTGGTTATGCATGGGTCGGTGGCTGTATGGATATAGCAGGATACCCAGAACTCCAGGAGAGGAAGGATGCCATGCACTTCACGATCGGCATAGATGGGATCTTTTCCTATTCTGCTGGTGGCCCACACTTGCTGACATGGCTGTCCATCTTTCCAAAGCAGGACCCCTGTTCTAGCAATCCCCGGTATCTACTTGAGCGCCATGGGCACTGGAAGGATCCCGTGGTTCGGAACATTATTTCTAAAGCAGGACCAGGACGTGTTTATGACATCATGACTGTTCCCAAATTGCCTACTTGGGGTGAAAGGGGGATCGTCCTTGTTGGGGATGCAGCCCATGCAATGTCGCCTACCAGTGGGCAAGGAGTTTCGCAGAATTTAGAAGATGCACAGACCCTCGCCTTACTACTCAGTGTAACGACTGTGAGGTGCTATGCCGAAGAACAGAACGGTAGTCTGACATCAGATGCCATTGACCGCAGCTTGCTACTGTATTATCATATCCGCCACGAACGGGTTGAGAGAATCGCAGCCACAGGTGAAGCCCTTGACAAGCGCATGCTCAATTCCAAACGACCGGCCGTCTATGTGAGCTATTGTTTGCTCTGGGCGCTTAATAAGTGTCCCGGATTATGTAAGTGATATTCTTGTTACAAGCAGCCTATACTGACAGAGACCCATAGTCACTAGACGGGTAAAGAGCTTGAATGATCAGGTCTATGGCTGGGACGTAGAAGGGTCAGTTCGATCCGCAATACACAGAAGCTTGTAACATCAAAGTGAATTGCACGATGAATAGCCAGAATCAGAACAAGGCAACGCACACTGAGTGCACAATAAAGGATATGACAACAGAGGACCCTTGTGAGGTGGAAGGATTACTAGTGTAACAATCCCATAGTCGACGTGACCAAGTTGGAACGATCCCAGTGTAATCTCACAAATTGACCATCGGAATATAACTTTCGTCTGTGTAGACTCAAACAACATGGAAAAGAAGGGATAGCAAGTGACATGAGGAAGTTCAACAGTAGCGCTAAGCAAGAAACAAAATAGTCCAGCAGAAATACTTCATTAAGCTCGAGCTCTTTCATCAGGTCAAAATAGTAGTGATGTGATATGCTTCATATGCTCTGTCAAATGGTCCCCTAGGCCTTCACAAGTGTACCGTGTGTCACAGAAATAGCATATTTGTTTGATGTCTTTATCAGCGTTGTACCGGCAGTTGCTGGTAAGTGCTGACTGTACCTCAGATGGACTTAACTCGTGCGAACGAAACAGGTGTTCACGCATACACTGTTCCCAATTGGTGTCATAGTCGCAGAGTCCGCACCCCCACCATGATTGACGATGGAGTCTGGAGACATGATGGAACCACCCGGTTTTATTTATGAAGGTGCTGCTGCAACCTGGATGCATGCAAATTAAGAATTGCAGGTGTGCTCGAATGTGATACGGTGTATTGACTTTTACCTGCAAGCAGCAGGGGCATTCGAACATACCGGATAATTTGTCCAGGCTTAATGAGGAGACGAAAAAGGGAGAGGTATAACTACCTCGGAAGGCATCGACGACCTCACGGGGCAGGCTGTTCGTAAAACAATATTTGTTGCAACCATTGTGGACAGCTGTTTGTGCGTGTTTCCCAATATTTTCGATGACACGCCCGAATTGACGAAGTTGTGCGCGAGCTAAGCGGTCAACAAGCTCATGCGTAAGTCTTGGGAATTCCTGATTGATTCGGGATCTGAAGGAATCGATGGTCTGTTCCAGTGCACGAAGAAGTAGACGGTCTGAGACAGTAGGGGCCCGCCATTTGCCGCAGCAATGATTGCTGAAGCACAATAAGTCCTCGTTCCACGAGCAAACCAACCGACCACAAACGCAAGTGAGTGGTGGCCATGGTTTGGTCTGAGGACTGAATTTGACCTAGGCAAATCCTGTAAGCGTATCTACCCTAAAGACGACTAAGATGACGTACAGGATATATAGGCAAATGTACTGTTCCGATATGATACTGGAGCGCGGCACGCTTTCGATATATCCGGTAGCACGTTATGCACCTATAGGTCGTATCTGGTGAACTTGTTTTTGGCGGACATTCGGGTGGAAGTAGGAGCTTCGCAATCGGCAGCAAATCCGGGAAAATGGGTGTTGCTGCTGGCGGGGAAGGATTCAAAAAGCTCTCAATGGCCATCCGATGTGTGTTGCTGTGTGTATAGTTATCATGCCAAGGCCGCGCTGGCAGATTGTCAGCCGGTCGCTCCCGAATACATGTATCAAGCTCGCTGGGCATTTGAGGGACTGGGCGGGAATTGGGGCCGATGTCATGCTTCTCAATGGTTTCAGAGTAAGAGCCTCCAGGTGAGTCAGCAGTGGTCCAGCAGATGCAAGGGCATAGCCGAGGGAGGGGTGAACTCGATAGAAGGCGACTGAACAGGGAACGGTAGGAATGAAATACACTTGCCGCTCAGGTAGTTGGTTTGATTCCTCAGTAAATTCTGGGCAAGAACCTTCTCTTCACAGAGTATTCTTGATCTGTGCGTCCAAAGACCGACTCAGGACGCCTAATCCGATGCTTCATTTGGAGTAAAAGTGAAGTGGAATATGTAGAGGGCTTTGGGGTGGGACGGGACACCTCTATATAACTGTTCAGCCGTATTTTGTGACACTCATTCTCTCCCTTCGCTTTTTCTTTCTTTTGTTCCTTCTCTCAAGACAAGGATTCTGCTCCTGGCTGTGGTCTGTGAGCCACAAAGTGGTTGCAGCCAATCCACGCCAGCAGTGGCAAAGTCCTTTGCATACTACTGAGGGACTAGTTAGCCTTTCTGACCCTGGTATTATTTTCGAGCTAGTTTCTAAGGGTGGATGTATCGTAAATGCTATGGTCTCCGCCAGTAGGTTGCTTGCTCGATTGTTGGTACACTTTCCAGGCAGCACGCATAGCACATAGGTTCAATGAACATTGCACAATTTGTTCCCACTGTTTCAAGTTGGTGATGCGGATACTAGGGCTAATCAAGATCCTTTGTTGCCAATCCCCTTCATTGACTCCCTTGGGCCTATCTTCACGACCACCCCACTATTCTAGGAAAAGAGCAAAACACTCACACACATAGTAAAAAGAAAAAGGAAGGAAAGAAAGAAAGAGAGACGCAAGGATATCCTAATTACATCCCCAGTTTGTTCTTAATGAGTTGAACGTCACTCTCTAGGTCACTTAGTCTCCGCTGAATCTCAACCTGATACTGTATGGCCTCCGGTTGTAGTCGATATTCATGGAAATGGTCTAATGCCAACTTGAACTGAGTATCTCCGCTCATAGTGTCCTGATGATCCACATGGGCCGCCAACCATGTGTGACTGGATCCGCATTCAACATTGTTGCTGGCCTTTGGCACCTCATACGCAGGCTGCGAACCACGATGACCTATGGGATGGAAGTGCGAATGACTGCCAGCCTCTTCGTGAGGCAGGGGCTCAGAGCCACTTAGAATGAATTGAAGTCGTTTTGAATCTTGGAGGATGTCCCAAATCGATTCAAGGGTAGTTTCAAGGCGCCTCCTATCAAGCGGATCATCTCGGAAGAGATCTGAGCTATTCAGATTCCTTTCCATGGTTTCGAGTTGATCGGGTGTTAGGGACGTCAAGTCATTGGGAAGAACAGGTTCAAAGGGAAGCACCGCGACACTGATACCGAGCAGGGTGATATTGAACCTCCATCCAAGCTGTGGTCCCTCTTGAGGTCTATCTCCCAGAACAAACTCATCAATTGCGTCCTTTGAAATCTGCTGAAGCCTCCACAGCAACCATCGCAATTTGTCTCGCGCATCCCTCTTTGTTAACCTCCCTTCATGGACTTTGGTAACTGCTCTGCAGAGGATATCCCATGCCTCAATATTCTGTCGATCCCAAATCCTTCTTTTAAGGTTCCCGTACAGTTCAGTCCCGATTCTTGGTTGCCACTCGACTTCCGGACGACGAAGGATATCACGTATCTGGTTCGAATTATGAAGTTTGTATGGCACATCGTAGGTCGTAAGAAGGTAACCGATGATTAGAAGCAATTGTTCGAAGCTTAGGCGCGACTGTGGAACTGACTGATGGACTAGGGGTGCTGCTGAAGACATTGTCCTGGTTTCAAGTTGTGGCTATACTGTAGCTGACTGTGTCCGTGATCTTAGACTGCTGAGAAGATTGATTGTGGCTCGACGCTGTCTGAATGAGTGTCCGTGGTCAAGCAGAGAAGACAGAAGGAGAATTAAGAGTTAGGTTGAATAGAGTTCTGCTTCTGGCATAGAGGGTTTATAACACTTATACTGTCCAGCAAGTATAGCACGCCCCAGTCTCTTTTCCAACATGGCTGCTTGATTGGGGGCGGTTGGTGCATTGGAGGTACTAGGCTTCTCGCCCTCCGCGACTCCACTGGTAGAGCAGGGAATATTCTCGATCAGGGATGTGATTGTCAAGCATGGCGCATAGATGATCCAAGCGCAGTAATGATTTACATTACAGTGAGTGGACTTGGTAATTCAGGTGCTGGCAGCCAACATCCTGACCGAATAGTTCTAACTTGGGATCTTGCTCCTGTACCCTCGGGCCCCGTGCGTTTATTTTGTTTTATTTTACTTTTTTCTTAGTTTTCTTTCTATTTTCATTACCAAATTTATTTCTTTTACCCAACTTTTTTACTCCGTATAGTTGCCGCATTAATGACTGAAACAGGTTAATGCGAGAGAAAAGGAGGTGCTTATGATCGACTGGTATGAACGGAGGGAAACGTCTGCAGGGAAAGGAAGGGAATGATATTGGCTAAGTTGCTACGCTAGAAACAGGAATGTTTTGCTTTGGCCTTGAGTGTAGCAGATAATCAACCTCTTCGAGTAAGCCCTAGAATTGTTCGAAAGACTTCGTCTTTGACAATGTGGTAAAAAGCTCACTGATTGTCCCAGTATGAGTGATCGAACCCTCGTAGTGTCGTCGTGCAGATACTCTAATCATCCATGTCCTGATGACTCTGTTGCTGTCATAGACAGGGAGAAGCTCTTCAAGCACTCCCTCAGTAACTTCAGCCTCTTCAGAGTCTCGGACGCAAACAGGTCGTTGTAGATGAATGGCAATGCATGCAAGTTGGCCGTCTAAGCTCTCCTTGAATTCCTCATTGGCGAGTAGATCTCTGATTCTTTTCCGAATGAAATGGCCAAGCTCTCCTTCCTCTGTTTCTGTCCGAGACATCCTCATCAACACTATATAGCATTGACCGTAAGAGAGTTGGTTCCAACTACATGGAAAAATGCGCTGGCATTCGGCAAGAACGGCAGGAGATGTTGGTGCTGGTGCCAAGTAGTAGGTTGGCTCACTCATGAGGATAAATATCGTCGCTAGTAGAGCTCTGGTCAGCAAGTGTGATGTACTGACACTTGGGTGCCTTACTGGGTGGATAATTGTGCGCAAAGTACACTCCAGCACAAGAAAGCCCAAAATCAGTATCATCCTCGGTCATTGTTGCAATTGAAGGAGTCGCTCTGAAGGTACTCGCACTAGCTCCTCCGGAGCTACAGCCTGTCTCATCTGTTGACGCAGGCTTTGCTTGCTTCCTTGGACTCTTAACCGGTGCTAGATAGTAATAGGCGCATAAAAGAAGAAAGATAAATAGGAACCATATTAGATAGAGAACGGCGACAAAGTAGAAAGCCATTTCGAACCACATTATGTAGAGAATGGAGACTATGTGGAGAGACTCTTCGAACCACATTGAGTTATGTGCTTTGTGATCAGGCTCCTATATATGCCTCCGGTGTCCGGAACAGATGGCTGGGGTACTCGCAAGTTTCAATTCTCAAAGCTAGTGTCTGGAGGATAAAATACAAGAAAGTATAAAACTAAAAGTTGAGCTTTTGTAAAAGGAGCTAGCTCTTCCAATCATATCCAATAATCCCTTTGTAGACCTGTACCAGAGCTTTCCAAATACACTTCAGATAAAACCTGACTACATCCGGGTTGTCTCGTTTTGAAAAACCAGGTAATAAAACTAAATCTCTTGTTCTTCCTACTCATCGGAAACAATAAACCACTCCTTTTTGACAATGTCGTAACGACTCTTGAGCTTGTCCCACTCTTCTTTTCGTATTGAGTCTGCAGCAGCATCGAGTCTGACTCGAAGTAATTCCCGGTTATCAGAAGTCAAATTAGGTGCGTGAATCAATTGCGGGCAGGATATGAGATAGAGCTTGTCGGGGAGACGCTGGAGACGAGCTGTAAATAGGATACAAAACTGGCCCTCTGTGATCTCAATGCCGTGGTAGTCTCTGATGTAAGATATCCCAAAGTTCATCTCGGCTGCGACAACGTCTTGAATTGGATCTGCTGAACTGGGCTTGCACGACGCGGTATCCTCCATTTTTCCAGAGTTCGATTTAATCATCATGCTCTGGTAGTTCGAAATAATTTCATTGGTAGCCTGAAAAGCTGGCGACTGTCCGCCACCTGATGCAGATGAGGACGCTTTCCAGGATTCAAGCAGGTTTGTGAAGTAGAACATGTTTGCCCAGGCAAATTTCACTCCGGAAGAGAGCATGCTGAAAAGATGAACTGGTCTGTGCCAGATTGCGGTGAGCACTCCAGATAAGGCTGGCATTTATAGATCAAGTTGCGGTCCTTAGTGTCCTGATAATGAGATTTCAGGTAGTGAAGCACAGGACGCAGGGTCGAATCCGTGGACTCCCACACTCGAATCATTTTGGACTGGCTAGAAAAAGGTAGGTACAGCAACATCATCTCGTGCGGGCATGAATAACTTAATTTTTGAATTGGTGTTCTGAGTGCTCTAATTTTACAATTATTCCGAAAGTCGAACTTGGTGGTCAACCTCTCCGCCAGACAGTATTCCACTCCTTCTCAAGGCTTTCGCGGTATGATTAACCAATCGCTAGAATCCTCCTTGCTAGAATTTTCTCGGAGTTCAGGTTGCATTATTTTGGTGGAGTGTGCTATCCACACTTGGAAGGAGTCCCTGGGTGGCCGTGGGCTCTCGTCGATCAGTCCGTCCAAGTCTATGATCGATGATGTAGTCGAAGGACTCTCCTCTGTGTCTCCGCTAACAACCTCCTGACGTGAGTCGGTTATTTGAGTTTCGTGCATAGTGTCCGTTTGGTCTTGGTCGTATTCTGCCAGACGTGTGCCGGGATGGTATTCTGAAACGAGGCCTGTTAACTTGGGCTCAACGTGCCATGCACCAGGTGAATGTGATCATTAGTGCTAGAGCATGATATACCTTTGTCTGACACTTTCATGGCAGGTGGAGACATATAGGCTGGCACTTGAGCAGCCACAATATGTCCTTCGTATTGAGTTGCAGAGCTCGGCTGCGCTCGCTGAGACCTGGCAGGGCTAGCTTGACTTTGACGTCCGATCGCAGCCCCTATCCAAGACAGTAAGACAGATACGACTTGAGTACAGGCCATACTGACGGCGAATCTTGCCAAACGTTGCGTAGAACTTGATGGTATTGAGAGGAATCAGCCAGGCGGATGTGGAAAGCCGGTGTAATGTCTACGGCTTTGGGATGGGTTCCTTTTAAGATCATTTCGCAACGCATGGGCGGTTATCGCGACTGTATCAGGTTATTTACTTGGCAGTGAATATCAATTCACTCTTACCTTGGGAAAGTTCCTGGAAGCAATGGGTTCCTACGGCCACCGTACTGTACTACAAGTCCTGATAATGAGATTGGAATTATGGTTTTTGGTAGTGAAGCAGGACGCAAGATAGAACCCCTGGACTCCCCACACTTGAATTATTTTGGACTGGCTGAAATGGTAAGTAGAGCAATATCATCCAATCTCGTGCGGCTCCTGGAGCACTCAATTCGAAGAGTAGTGTCCTGGGTGCGGCAATTACACAAATTAGGAAAGTTAAACTTCATACACAAGCTCTTCATAACCAGCTGGAGCAATATACCACGCTCATTAAACCATCTTCACTCTTTCTCAAGTTTATCCCAGTCTGATTGCCCAATCAATACGAACTAGGTATCTGCGAACTAGGGCTATGGATGCAGCTGGGGACTAGCGCTTCCTAGGAGGCACTAACAACTTAGCGCTTCCTAGGAGCCACTAAAAACTTAGCGCTTCCTAGAAGGAGGCACTAGCAGCTAGCGCTTCCTAGGAAGCACTAATAACCTAGCGCTTCCTAGGAGGCACTAACTACCTAGCATCTTAGAAGACACTAGCGGAGTGTCACTGACCATGTCTGGATGGATCTTCGCGCGCGAAGACTTAATGACATTTTACGCTTAGGCCTTTCCCGTATACTCCGCATGCCCAACACCATCCCCTAAAGCCATTTCCCACTGCATCAACATTGAGAATCCTGGTCACGTAATTTTTCATTGGCTATGACGCACATCTCCATGCGAAGTACACCTTGACAGCGACCATATGTAAAAATAGCTATAAATATGGCGTCAATCTCTGCTGATTCTGTACAAAGCGAACAGGCATTGATAGCACAATTCCATTACCACCACCATCAAAACAGGCCAAATCTCTTCGGTGAATATCCTCATTTAATTGATTTTGAATTTATGCTGATAAACGATACAGAAATGTGCTGGCAAAGATGGAAAACCCCAGCCAGATTCCCCGACTGCAAAGGGAAGTCTCAAGGAAACTGTATCCTTTTTGACCCGACCGAGGACCATGTCCAATGGTGTATCGAGGCCGGCCGAAGGGGGAGCGCGTGCCCCAACCCTATTCCAACGACGGAAACGAGTTCTACTCGGCGAAAAGTGGATTGCCCAAGGCATCGCACTCAAAACCCAAAGCCAGACAACACCAATCCAGGCCCGGAAATGCAGGTGGTAGTGGTTCGCTTGGTCAAAGTGTTAAGGTTGGAGCTTGACCGGTAGGAAACCACTGCTGGCACTATCACGACAAAAATGGACCAAGGCAAGATGCCTTGATCCCAAGCATTGGATAGCAAAACAGAGCTGGGAAGCTTTTGATGGTCGGATTCTTTATTTGCGCCTTTATATTCAACATATACTTGGCGATGATCTCTCTACTAGTGCAGTTTTTATGCAGCTTGAATACATTGTCTTGACAACACGGTTTGATTGCTAAGCCGGCCTCGAAACCAGTTTCGTAAACCACGTGCGACGTCCAACCATAAGTGACGAGGGTAGAAATCGTAAAAGTGTGACAACAGCGGTTCACTTGCTCTGTGGCTGGATTCTTGGCGTTTTATCACGTGACTTGTGGATTTCCTTCCTGTAGATATAAGAAGGGGCCACAAACCTTGTGGTTTTATGTTTCCAGCTCTCAGTCACAATACATATTCAGTCCCTCATAAGAGCCTTCGTGAAAATCGATCCTACAATGGCATCTTCTTTGTTTATAGACCTTGACGGTCAAGCTATACCCGACAGCGAAATTCTAGGATATGGAAGGTCAGGCGTTGTGATGTTGCGTGATGGGCTAGCAGTCAAGACGCCTTTAAGGCATCCATGGAGTTCCGAAGATGATGTTGAGGTGAATGTTGAGGTCATTCAGCGAGAGCAAGAAGTCTACCGTCGACTGAATTCCACTTGGATCGGAAATGATCAAATTGATGGTGTTGTGCCTTGTATCGGCTTCTCCACGAATGCTACTCAACTCGCCTACATGGAAAACGGCGACCTTCGCGCCTACCTGGAAAGAAATAAGCCTCCTCTGACACTCCAGATGTCATGGTTCCGTCAAATGGCACGTACACTGGCGCAGATCCATGATAAACGTGTGCTTGTGGCGGATATTGCTACTCGCAACTTCCTCCTTGATTCTGATCTCTCCGTCAAACTGTGCGACTTCACCGAAGCATCTGTTCTACCGCTGGATACAGTTATGGAAGCAGCCGACGATAACGGGTTCTCAATACAGACAGATATCGGACAACTCGGAGCAGTAATGTACGAAGTTGTAACAGGGTCTAAGTGTGATTTTGATCTCTTCAAAGATAACGCCCCTGATGATGGCCGAGCCACTTGGCCCCGTCGAACATCCCTTCCTAGCACAAACGGTCTGTGGGTCGGCCCAATAATTGAAAAATGCTGGACACAAGGAGGATTTCGGAACGCACATTCTTTACATCAGGCATTGAGTTCTTTTAATATGGAGAGCACGTCGCCGTCACTGTTCAATCGCTCTTTAAGGTGTCTCTCGGAGAGGAGATCCCTGAGCTTCCTAGCAATTGTTTTCGGCGCCACGACAATTCTTGCGACCTGGGCTCAGAACTGAGGCCACTGACGCCACAGTGTTTCATGGTTGGCGCGGGTTGGAGGGTATTTAGAGTAATGGACGCGTACTGTCATGTATGTACCATCCACAGTTGCCAATTTTACCGTGTTCTTTCCTTTAGTCTATATTTGGATGTAGTCAATAGTAATCCTTGTCAGTAACAAGATTCATGTGATATGTCTAGCGATGGCCTGCGCCAGGACGCAATATTTCGTCTCAAGTATGCTGATATGGGCCAAAGGACGAGCAATCCGGTAATGGATCTGGTGGGAAAGCTTGATACAATTGCGGCAAATACGGTAGAGCGGGCCAGTGGGTCAGGTTTGGCTTGTTAGCTTGGGTCCGCAACACTTGAAGGTAGTCTAAAATTATAGTAGTTAGAGAGACAGCGTACCCGGGGACCTTAGTTGGGCAATTTCGCATTCTGTACGAACCAACAAGAATCCTTATGCCTGATTGGCGACCTGGTTAATCAATAGACAAAGAAGTGGGAAACAGGAATAGACCCACACGCCTCCTGATGACCGCACTCGCAAGATGACTGGTTAATGTAGGGCAGCCAATGGAAACCTTGTCAAGCCCCTACAACAAGATGAGGGGAAGTCGGTCATGGTCAACCAAGAGGGTTCTGGTGCATAATCTATCGTCAATCCATCAACTCATTCCCTCTTTCCTTCCTTCTGGCATCACCAGTACTGATGGACTACATTCAAACGATGGCCAATCTTTCAGGGCTTTGTGACAAGGTCGACAATGAAGCAAAGAAGAAATATGCCCCTTTATATTCAAGTCAAAAGGAGGTAACAATGCATACAATAGAAAGGAGAGCTAAAGCGCTAACTAATCAGAACATCAATTGCGAAGACCTGGTCTTTCCCAAAGTTCCTCCTTCAAATGCAGTCGACCGCCTTGCTGCTGAAATCTCACCTATTACACTACCAATCAACTTGAAACAGAAGATGAAGAGCTGGAAACTTCCCGGGGAGTTCCTCAAACAATGTACAGGGGCACCAAGCACAGTTTACCGAAGTTTACTCGCAAAGACTTGTTATGTCCTTCGCACGTTTAACGATTCACTGCCGCTGAGGGACCCCCGCCGTCGTGTTCTTCATGTCGAAGACCGAATTCAGTTCCGGATATGTGCTGTTCTGTGGTACATTTTGTTCAAACAGTGTTGGCTGGGGCTCAAACGTGCAAGTAATTCCGCGGAATTGACTGTTCATCATACTTCCATTGTACTTGAAAACATTGTCAACCATTCAGAAATACTACCCTCCTGTGAACGTGTTTCTGCGAAGGAAATACGTGATTGGGTAAGGAAAGGAGAACGCTATCATCTACTAACACTCGACCTTGGTGGTGTGGGGATTTTATTTCTGCTTCCGGACAAAACCGAATATTTGTGCGTGAGCTTACGCGCTTCCTGATTTACTTTGACTGACATAGTCAGCAGTTGGTTCCACCATGTGCCGAAGAAGCAAGAAACAAGACGGAAATCCCTGGTCTCCTCTCTTCTGAGAAGAGGCATTCATCGGCTTGCTTGCGATATAGAAGCTCATCAGGTGGTGCACGGAATCTTAACCTACTGTTTAACAGACTTGATCTTGAACATTGCCAGTCGAACACTGGAAGGGCTCGTCCTGCTCCCTAGCCCGCAGACATCTCTTCATGACCATATTGCACCTAGTGAGTTACCCTGCCAACATTACTTCCTTATGATGCTTATACGCCCATAGCTCGAAGCGAAGAGTGGGTAGCGGCGCCACTAGGAAAGGAAGCCCACTGGGAGTCGGAGCCCTCTTTAGCTTTTCCAATATCAAAGAAAGGCCTTGACTCACCAACAGAAAGTATAACTTTCCATTTCCGATGCGTTCATGCCAAGCTAACACGAGTATTTACAGGTCTTGCTAGAAACCTCACGTGCGAGTACAAGCTTTGTCAACAAGGAGCTGGCCCTTTCCCGCTCTTTTTCCCTAACAGCAACGTTAATTATTACGGTCTATCAGCACCAACATTTCATGACCAGGTGAAATGCTCTGCGCTACCGGAACGCCAGGACTGTGCAGAACATAGAGAAATGCAAACCACTCCAACAAGTACAGAAATCCATGAGCAGTCTAACCATAAGCAAAGTCACCAGCGTGGTCCCCTCCCGCCCATTGATATCTTTTTCAATGGATATCCAAATGAAGGTCGTTCAGGACCTTCACTCGATTCCGCACATATGCAACCAGTGGAAAGGTTTCTTAACTTGAAGGCCCAGGTCAGAGACCCTATTCTGATGACTGGCAGCACATTTCCATCATCCAAAAGAACCCCGGACTTTGGTACACCCGAGACAGCTGCCCCTCTTGATCAGTGTCTTGAAATTCATGACGACCGGGCAGGAAAAAGGCGTCGTATCACTAATGACGTTTCTGGAAATGTATTATTCTCTTATCTACCAAACCAGTTGACGACCGCCGAAACCCGGAACAGTAGAAACTATGAAGCAGCTATTGGGGTTACAACGTCACCTAAACCCGATCAGATCATAGGGGAGGATGGGTGCTCAAAGGTGGTGTATTCAAAAGGTTAATAAAACACCCAGAATCCGGTCCGAGTCAATACACTGACAACCGTACAGCGAGCGGTCAGCAGGGTGTTCTCCCACCAATTAACACAATCTTGAATCCCTCTAAATCACCTAGTAAGGCTCTTCCTAATCTTTACAAATGCGGATTGTAATGTTCAGGTTCGCATTGTGATACCGCTGGGGCCCTGTCACTCGCGCAAGGAAATCTACCACTTGAAGATCTGCTATGGGTAGGCCCACTAGAGCAATACACAAAGGCATCTACCTCTGAGAGTCAGTTCAAACAGGTACACAGACAAACAAAGACAGAATTCTAACACCGTCTTAGACCATTCGGACCCAATTTCAGTTGGAGGAGTCCCGCTGAATGCGGATGTAGACTCCTGGTCCTTCTTCCCCTGCAGCGCTTCGGACTTGGATATATCTAACTGGCCGTGCTCGACCCAGAACCTTCAAACACCAGGGCTGCAGGGCAACACCATCGGAGCAACACAACCTGGAATGTGTTTTGAGCGGAATCCAGGCGATGTAGACGCGTGGTCGTGCTTTGTGTCGGATAGCCAACGTGAATCCACCGCACCCGCAGAAGATAATCGAAAAGTATCGAGTACCGCCGCCCACACAGAGTCCACTGGAGATGTCGATTCTTGGTCACAGTTCCAGCTTTCGAGTGGTCAATCCCCACCAGCAACGCTACTGGAAGCTGGCCAACCAGCCACTTTCCACTTTGCGGCGATATCAGACAATACTCCCCAGCTTGAGGCCGCGGGCGATGTTGATTCTTGGTCACAGTTCTCAATCGTGAATGATCAAGTACTGCCTAGGACTCCAAGAGGAATCAATCAGATATGCCAGCTGGACAGCATGGATCATGTCTTTGGCTGTGGAATTATCAACTCAGAGGTAGCAGGAGATGTCGATTCATGGTCGCAGTTCATTTGCGGGAACTGAGAGGACCCAAGGAAATCTGGGCAAGGGATCTGTTGTGGGCTTCAGACCGACAGTGTGCAGCGCACCTAGAAGTCACAGGCGACGTGATTCCTAGTCATATTTCTAAAATGGCATGTGCACTAGCAGGCTTCATATAGGCTCCCATGAAATGACTTCCCGTCCTTCTGTTTAATGGGGAAGATTATCGCCATGGTATCAAGGGCCGACAAAATCTCCTATGCATACCAACATACGAGTGGCATAGTTTTGAGATGGATAACCGGGTCTGCTTTAGTCGCCCTACCCTTTTCTAGGAAAATGAACTACCACAGCACCAACCTTTTTTCCCTTCTCAATGTCTACATACGTGAGACGCGAGGCGAATAGGAAATTCCTCCATGTCCAGTCAACCTCTGCGGCATTTCCGGCCGTGTCCCGGACAGTAACTTTAACACCACTCATATTCTCTATAGGCACCACAATAGTATCGTGTAGTCGTCCGACGTAAGGGCTTTTCTGAAAAACCGCACCGTGAGAGGACGTCTCAGGAGATACTGACAATGACTTCATCTAATGATTTATTAGGCGGGGTTATGGACATATTCGGGTATTCCCCACCTCTTGATAGAGCCGCGTCGCTTCCTTTATTACTGGCGCAAATTCCTCTCCAAGTTTGAACCTCGTCGCAGGGTCAGGAGATTCGGAGCTTGCGATAACCGTGTGAGTCATTTCGACTATGGCATTTGCACATGGTCGTAGCGTGTCTGAAGGCGATAGGATTCTGACTGGATTGTTTGGTGATACTGACGTTTCCGACATCCTGAGCGTACCCTGCTAGCGGCGTATATGTTGTCGGAGCTAATCGTGTCCCAGCACTGTCAGTAACCTTGAAGAGTTCATTTTAGGTATGTCTGCTTACAGTCCTTCCAGTGTTGAGCCTGGTAATAGAGCTTTATCTGTGGTTTTATCGTGGGGATAAGCAGAAACGCAACATCGCGCGATGTTTTATCAGGGAAGAAAGGCCTTCCTAGTGAGGGGCTATTGGGAGTTGGGCCCACATGCCGACTAAAGAAGTTCTGGTAGTCTCGTGACAAGCATCAACGGAACTAAACAATGCCGTGACCTCCACATTTACTGGAGAATAAAATAAAAGAGAGATTATGATAGATACATTAAAAGTAAATGGATTGCTGAGGGAGCTGGTTGACTTTAAACTGGCTACATGGATTTTGAAAGGTGGTGTTAAGGAGCCGCAAATATCACTGACCACCACATGTGACACCTTAGGAGTTTACCAGCCACATGTGCACTGCCACAAAAAGATGCTTGTTCATTCGCCGCCACCTCGACGATTGACACGTGGGTTCCTCCAGGAGTCTTGCTGCGGAAAGCATCTGCTATTCAATCTGGAATTTTTTTTCCTTTTTTGGTTCGCGTCATAGACTGTGGTGTCGAGCTACCGCGCAATGTGAAGGTGGCTCGCTTGCAGTCAAGTTCATCTCGCGCACGCCTGCAAAGGTTGTAAAGTAGCCGTTTCCTCTGTGGCATTAGCCGATTGTATAGTTGCCAAAACTCTCCTATGGTGATCAGTTGAGCCTTTAAAGACCCGCGATAGGCATAGCTTCCTCGGGGCGATCCTCCAATCCGCTCAGCGATATAGAATGTGCATGTACGGATGGCCTGCATTCTCCCACTTCACTAGTAGACCTGAAGTTAGGCGTTCGAGTGTGTAATGGACTAAAAGTTCCTATAGAGCATCATGAGAAAGCTTGCAGGGTACAATGCATCATCCAAAGCATTTCAGATCCGAAAACATAGTTGACATTATTGTTTCCGACAGGGCCAGGCGTAACCAAAGAGGAGTCAAGTACTGGTTTAGACGAAAGGCGGTCGGCCTGCTGCCTCCGACAGCTTGCATCTTGGACCCAGAACAATTCTTCCTAGATAAGGTGGGCTGAATAGTGCGATGGTGCCCGTTTTGCGGCGATCTCTGGCCTGGATCTTGGCAGCGATAGATGTGATCAAAAGTAGGATAGTGCAACAGGAGAGCCCTGGAAGAGGACACGTCAGCAGAACAGGGGTTGGGCGGGGTTCACTGGGTGAAGAATATTGGGGTTCAGGTGAGCTTCAGGTGAACAGGGTGAAGAGAGTGAAGGTAAGGCGGCGAGGGCGCTAAACCCAACGAATCAAAAAAATTGGGTGAACTCCAACATACAACAGCTGGGATTCGCTGGTGGTCACCCAACCAACTACTAACCGGCCGGCGTGTGGCTTCAACGCGGTCAATACCCGGGTGGGTGCCCTCGGGTGATGGGGGGTGATGCCGCTTGAATAAGGTGGTGATTAGCGTGGGTGCAGTGTAGTGAGGTGATGATGGCTGGAGAATACATCACCAGCCTGGAGCATACATCACCTGGAGGGGACAAATTCACCTAAGGAGGGGCGTTGATCCAAGAGGCGCTAAGCTAGGCAACTTAATTGGAGGAGAGTCTAGACTATAAGACTCTAAGTGCATAGCCACAGCCTTTCCTTCTTTTGGAAAATGGGCTAAGGCTTGGGCTGGGGCACCCTCTTGAGGGATCCTGCTTATCTTTATGCTGAAGTGTATCTGTGCCTCAAGCTCACCCACTCCGGCGCGGGTTGTGGGTGCGCCTGAGGCACAAGTACATCGTAGTTTAGATGTTGTATGTTTTTATTAATTTATTTTTGCGCTGTTGGGCTTAGCGCCCTCGCCGCCCTATCTTCACCCTGTTCACCCCCTTCGCCCTTCACCTGATTGTCCTGAATTTGTCCAGAAGCTCACCTGAAGCTGACCCTGAATTTCCTCAATAACCCCCGCACACCCCTTGTGGCCTTCTGGCAGTCCCTGTATGCTTCTGATGGCTGCCATTATTCCTAAGAATCAACAGTGTTAATTACAGCTGATTTTCTCCTTGCTGTTTTAAGGGAGCGAAGCTGCGGCAAAGTCGGCCCACTGCAGATAGTGGTGCATGTGCCTCGTTCGAATTGCCTAGTGACGTTCTACTTCCCTGCGCAGCCTTCCTATCCTCTACAAAACTGGAAGAGCCCGAAACCATCTATTCGTCTAGCTTCAGTCTACCTCTAAGCATTCCAGCACCCTCGCATCCGTTGTGCAATATCTCATATCCAAAAGGACACTGCTCGCTCAGCGGAGCTCTTACCAAGCAATGAGCGGCAAACGATCAGTTAAGAGTCGTTGGAAACAGGTCTTTAAGAGGGATTCTGCGAAGGAAAAGGAGTCAAATAATTTTGCAGAATACAAGCCTGCAGATGTGCCTGCAAATCCAGCTGGTATGGCAAACTACCAGACAATCCCTGTGACTATTGACGCCTTCTAGGCCATGTCTCCTACTCTAACAGTGTTGGAGTGCCGACCTTTACAGTCTCAATGGATAAACAGTCAACCGCAAATCGTTCCACCTTGGTCCCTGCTCCTTCCGAGAAGATATGCCTAACAGGGACGAAGAATAAAAAGAATAGGGCTACAGGAGTGTCTGAAACAGCTGGCGTGGCTGCCCCGAATCCGATCCAGAAGCAAGCCACAGATATAATAGTCACTGAAAACTCTCCTACTTCTCTCTGGGACGAAGCATATGACTCTTTAAAACAGGAACGACCTGAGCTTCTGTCCGCATATGAGGATCTTTTGTCCAGAGTACTCATCAACGGTATGTTTAATTATCATGAAGCTGTTCCTCAACAGCGCTGACGCTGCAATATAGCCGAGGCAAACTCCCAATCCATCCCAAACCAGCAAGGAGACGCCATCAATGTCAGAAATCAAATCCCTCAGCACAATGCGGCTGCGCGTCGAGAGAAACTAAAACTGATAGCGGAACTAGGCTTCAAACACATGGAAGACAACAAAAACAAATTAACAATTCTAGGCCATGTAGTCGAAGTCCAGAACAGGGTAGGCAAGATTGGTGAGGCTGTGGATTTGGCCCAAGACTACATCAAAGATGCGATCAAGGATGTGCCATATGCGCCAGCAGTGATGGCAGGGATCTCACTCATCCTCCCACTCCTGAAGAACCCGGCCGCTATCGACGCTGCTAACAGGGAGGGGCTTACATATGTCACATCGCAGATGCACTACTACATTGAGATGGAATCACTCCTCTTACCCAGCGACTTGGAGCCTGGCTTAAAGGCTGATTTGATGAAGCGTGTTTTGGACCTATACAAGCTCATCATTAACTTCCAGGTGCAGAGCGTCATACGGTTCTATCGCAACCAGACCAAAAATTATTTCAGGAGCGTCATTAACTACGACAACTGGAGTGATCAATTGAAACTCCTGAAGGAGGAAGAGACAAGACTGGCGGAGAAGTTTGAAAGAGCTTTATCCGCTACAGGTGTTCAGCAACTGAAGAAGCTGGCCAAGGTCGCAGAAGGATCGCGCGAGGCCTTAAGTAATATTCTCTATAATATCCAGCAGCTTGTTGACATATCTCAAAGCCAAAAAGCTATACTAGAAAGGACTGAGCAACGTTTGTCCAATGCCAAGGACCGGCGGTGCCGAGACGCTCTCCAAGCCACTGATCCTAGCCTTAACAAAGCCCGAATCGAAGACGACAAGGGTGGTCTTCTCAGAGACTCATACTGCTGGGTGTTGGACCATGTTGGTTTTCAGAGATGGAGGGACAGGAGAGGCAGCCAGCTTCTCTGGATCAAGGGTGATCCTAGCAAGGGAAAGACAATGTTGCTCTGCGGGATCATTGATAAGCTATCTAAGACAGCCATGCATGACACCAACATCTCATACTTTTTCTGTCAAGCAACTAACAGTCACCTCAATAATGCTACAGCAGTCTTGCGGGGACTCATATATATGCTCGTGCAACAACAACCTGCATTCATCAGACACATCAGCGACGTCTCCTTTGAGGGAGAGAATGCTTGGTTCACATTACTTCGAGTCTTCACCAATATTCTTGAGGACTCGCATTTGCAAAGCACTTACCTGATCATTGATGCGCTTAACGAATGCCTACAGACTTGAGCCGACTCCTTCATCTTCTAGTGCAGAAGTCAACAGCTTATTCACACGTTCAATGGGTTGTGTCTAGCCGCAGTTGGCCGAACATTAAGAATGGCCTCAATGGTACGAATCAAATAGAATTAAATCTTGAGTTAAACAAGGACACTATGTCGGCTGCTATCAACTCATTTATTCAGCATAAGTTAAATGAGCTAGCAGATAAGAACAAGTACAGCCCTGAAGTACGGCATGCCGTCCAACACCATTTGGAGTCAAAGGCAAATGGCACTTTCCTCTGGGTAGCTCTGGCTTGCAGGGGACTCACTACCGTCCCAAAGAGACATGTTCTAAAGAAGTTAAAAGAGTTCCCTGCTGGCCTTGATAAGCTTTATAAACGCATGTGGGAACAAATGAGCGAGTCTGATGATGCCCAACTCTGCAGGTCTCTTCTCAGTATCATGACAACCAGCTACCGTCCTATCACATTGGATGAATTAACATCTTGTATCGACTTACCCAAGGATTTCCCAGACGACCAGGAATCTCTGTCAGAAGTTATAGGCCTTTGTGCTTCTTTCCTGACACTCCGAGGACGTACAATCTCCTTGGTTCATCAGTCAGCTAAGGACTTCCTCCTGCGAGAAGCATTCAATGAGATCTTTCCTGAGGGAGCGGACACTATCCACTATTCTATTTTCTCAAAATCACTGCAAGCTATTGCCAGGACACTGCATCGCGACATCTACAGCCTAGTTGCCCCCGGCTATCCAATTGACCAAGTCAAGAAGCCAGACCAGGATCCGCTAGCTGCTACACAGTACGCGTGTGTCTACTGGGTTGATCACCTAAGCGAGTGCTCTCCTAGCAAGAACACAAACAAAGACCTGCAGGAGAGCGGCTCAATCGGTAATTTCTTGCAGCAAGACTATCTTCACTGGCTTGAAGCTCTTAGCCTGTCAAAAAGCTTATCAAACGGAGTAACTTCAATACTGAGGCTTGAGCGTTTGCTAAAGGTTTGTTTCATCAACAATGCGGTAACAGAACTGTATTGACATGGTTATCTAGAGAACAACTGAGAACTCGCCACTAACTAATAGACTTCAAGATGCACGACGATTTGTCCTATACTACAAAACAGTAATTGAGAATTACCCTCTTCAAGTATACACTGCAGCACTCATATTTAGCCCAGCCAGCAGCATAACAAGGAATCAATTTGGGAATTTGGAATCGGCCTGGCTAATCCGAAAACCAACTACAGAAGAGAGTTAGAGTGGATGCCTACAGGTACTGGAGGGCCATAGCAATGAGGTCATGTCTGCTACCTTCTCCCATGATTCCAAGCTGCTCGCCTCAGCCTCAAAAGATAACACTATCAAGGTGTGGGATGCCAGCAACAGCCAGTGCATCCAAACCCTTAAGGGCCACAGTGATTTAATTTACTCAGTTATCTTCTCCCATGATTCCAAGCTCCTCGCCTCAGCCTCAAAAGATAACACTATCAAGGTGTGGGATGCCAGCAGCAACGGCCAGTGTATCTAAACCTTTAAGGGTCATAGTGGCTGGGTCTATGCAGTCACCTTCTCCCATAATTCAGAGCTCCTTGCCTCAGCCTCAGATAATGAGACTGTCAAGGTATGGGATGCCAGCAATGGCCAGTGCATTCAAACCCTCCAGGGGCACAGTGGCTCAGTTTACTCAGTCACAATCTCCTATAGTTCCATGTTCCTTGCCTCAGCATCATTCAACAAGACCATGAGGGTGTGGGATGTCAGCAACGGCCAATGTATCCAGACACTAAAGGGCCATAGTAGCTCAGTCTACTCAGTCACCTTCTCTGATAACTCGAAGCTCCTCGCCTCAGCATCATTCGATGAGACTGTGAGGGTGTGGGACGCTAGCAACGGCCAATGTATCCAGATACTTGAGGGCCATAGCACCTCAGTACACTCAGTTGCCTTTTCACATGGTTCCAAACTCCTCGCCTCCGCCTCAGCTGATGGGACCATCAAGGTTTGGGATGCCAGCAATGGTCAACACCTCCAGACACTTGAGGGCCATAGTGGCTTGATCCACTCAGTCACCTTCTCCCATGATTCCCTGCTCCTTGCCTCCGCCTCAAGCGATGAGACTATCAAGGTGTGGGATGTAAGTAACAGCTGGAGCCTTCAGATATTTGAAGCTCATAGCAGCTGGGTCCACTCAGTTACCTTCTCGCATGATTCCAAGCTCATCGCCTCAGCCTCACTCGATGGAACTATTAAGCTGTGGGATGCAAGTAATAGCAAATGCCTACAGACACTCAAAGACCATAGCGGCTGGAGCTACGCAATCTTCTCACCTGACTCAAAACTCCTTGCCACAGTCTCATACGATGACACCACTAGTGTGTGGGATGTCAGTAACAGCCAATGCATCTAGATACTTAAGGGCCATACTGGTCCAATCAACTCCATCACCTTTTCCCATGATTCAAAACTCCTCGCCTCAGCCTCATATGATGAGACCATCAAGGTGTGGGATATAAGCAATGGCAGATGCCTCCAAACCTTTAATGGTCACAGTATGTATGTTAGCTCAGTTACTTTCTCCCATGATTCAAAGCTCCTTGCCTCAGCCTCATATGATGAGACCATCAAGGTGTGGGATATAAGCAATGGCAGATGCCTCCAAACCTTTAATGGTCACAGTATGTATGTTAGCTCAGTTACTTTCTCCCATGATTCAAAGCTCCTTGCCTCAGCCTCAGGTGATGAGACTGTTAAGGTCTGGGATGCCAGCAACAGCCAGTGCCGGACGCTCAAGGGCCATAGTGGCTGGGTCTATGCAGTCACCTTCTCCCATAATTCAAAACTCCTTGCCTCAGCCTCAGATGATGAGACTATTAAAGTATGGAATATCAACGGCCAGTGCCTCCAAACACTTAAGGGCCATAGCAGCTCAGTCCGCTCAGTCATCTTCTCTAATGACTCGAAGCTCCTCGCCTCAGGCTCATACGATAAAACTATCAAAGTGTGGGAGGTCAGTAGCGGACAATGCCTAAAGACCCTTAAGGTTGACAGAATCGCCTATCTGAAGTCATTCAACATGCCTAACTCTTACCTTGAGACTGATAATGGTACCATTTATTTTTTGAATTTGGACGCAGGACCGACAGAAACCGATCCAGAAGTGGTGCGCTCTCAACGATATGGCGTGGTCGATCACACATGGATCACTTGGAACTCGAAGAATCTGCTATGGTTACCACCAGAGTACCGGCCACGTACTTTCGCTGTGTCTCAGTCGACAGTATGTCTTGGTTGTACGTCTGGGCGGGCGCTGCTATTCACCTTTGATACCCAGAGAGTATCCCATGTGCACAAGCACATGGTCCATTTTAGATGAAGCGCATCTTACGCAATGTCATCTTCACACTCCTCTACTATCATATCTCCTTGCAAAAAGGCAGGGTTGAGAGCATTAGTAAGATTGTAGAATGTTGCATTACTCCTCACGTGCATACTATTAGTTTTGGATTTTGTAGGCTTGGGGAATGTTAATTTTTAGTTTAGGTACTAGTGATATAGGTGAGGACTTTATTACTTTTCATTACCCCTCTAGATAACGGCTCATGATGTTTATATCCTAGGGGCTAATTGTTACTGTTCCACAGGCTACATGTGCCGAATCATGGCACTGACTGAAACTGGCCAGGTAGCTCTCCTCAATATACTTTCGTCAACGGTGACTGCGAGGAGATAGAAACGTGAGTGTCTAAAAGTAAACGTGTTTGTAGATACTCGGACAAAATGCTCCTGTCGGCAGGGAAATATACAACAGAGTGGAACGGGACAGGGGATAATAACCATACAGAGAAAGTGGACTCATCAGAAGAGCCCATCACGGAAAAAAATCCGTTTGAAATAAAACCATGGGAAGCTCGCCCTATGCTGGGACGGGCCTTCGCACCTAGCTTGGATGGCTTTCCCCACAATTCACTCGCCCGTGACTTCTCACTTTTCTCAACCTCTGCTTCAATTGCAGGCAATATTATGATGGATGTTGCCGGGCAATAAGAACAGAGATGTAATAAGCCAGTAGACTAAAATACGTTGAGGAAGCAGAGAACGAAAGAGACAATCGCTCCAATATACCGCAAATGTCACCCAGCAAAGACATGTACATGGTTGGGTCGAGATGACCGGGTATTCATCATATATATTGATACCGGGTGGAATCTTCCCGTCGAAACCCGGTCATTTCTCTACAGAACTCCTATAGAGTCCCTTTGACCAATGCCACATGGAAAGCGGTTATTTGGCTGGTAATAGGTTCTTAAATACCCTGAATTTGGTAGATGTGTTTACAATTTCGGGATCTAGCTAACCGACGTATGGATTTGGCCGTATAGCTAACCATGCACCGCTGGTGTCATCATCGGCGAAGCATTATCAGAATAATTTACTAGATCTACAGCTGCAGGATGTCTCAGTTATGCTAATTAATCTCAAGGGAGCGTTAAGGTGGTCAGAAGCTTGCCAACCGTAGGTAGTCTTGATATAGCCGGGCAACTTACTGCTTTTGCAGTACATATATAGCGCAGAGTAGTGTTTTTGGTTTTCATCGATGTGAATCTCAATCTCTTTGTTCGCCAAAGTTGAGTTTGTTGAATTCCATAGACACGTAATCCATTTTTCAATCTCCCAACTTAAATGGTCTAAGCTTTCCAAGCTTGCTGCAGCAGTTCAGCCATAGGACGGGGTTTAATCTCCGGGAAGCGTTTGTTGAGTGTATCCTCCTCGGGCAGGTTGAAGGCTCCTGCCTCAGTCCATTGGCCGAATACAGCCAAGATATATTGAAGCTGCTCCTTAGGAAGGAAAGGATACACTGGAGGATGCGACGGAAGTTCGGTCACTTGGAAAGTCTTCAGTTTCTCCTCGCTGTCGTATTTAACGTCAAACTTGGTACCTAGAGGTTCTATGTCAGAACGGGTCAAAATCTAGGCAGAGCTCTGCATATGCAACAAACCTTTGGCAGCCTCAGCAAGAGAGACAAAGTCGTTCCAAGTTAACTTATCGCCGATGATGATGCTTCTCTCATTCCACTTGTCCTCGCCAACGAGGGCGGCCACATACTGGGCAACATCGAATGTGTGTGTGAATGCCACAGGTGTGTTACCAGATCCAGGAATGGCCGCAGTATTGTTTGCGATGTCGACAGCGAAGACAAAAGGCTGCAGGTAGCTCTTCACTTTAGGAAGGCCATAATAGTCCATGAAGAATCCGTTTGAAATCAGGGTGTACTCCAGATCGGAAGACTTCAACTTTTCCGCTGCCAGTATTTTACCCTTGATAGGTGGAAATACTGCGGCATGACTGTGCAGGGTCAGCAGCGGTAACGAGAAAGCGAATCTGTTATGACACTTACGCTTCGTTATACATGATACCGAAGTCACTAGGAATAAAACGCTTGGTGATTGGTGATTTGATAGCTGCGTCAATGAGGTTGAGCTGAGATTCAGTTGCCGAAGCATCGGAAATAGGAACAGAGGAGATGACCGTGTCTATTCTGTTATCCTCCAACACCTTCCTCAGCGACTCAACATTCGAATAGTCGACCGGGATTATGGGGACGCGCAGCGTTTGAGACAACTGATCGTTTGCCTGATCAGATGGTCAGCTGGTGTACAGAGCTATTACATTGCAAGAGTCACGTACACTTCTCGCCAAAACAGAGACTGTATGGCTGGTCTTGCTCTTCAAGGCTTCAACAATCGCCCGGCCTACTTTACCGGTTCCACCAGAGACAGCAACAATGGCCATTTCGTTCCTTTGATTGAATAAAGTCTTCGTTAAGTCACTTTGTTTCAAGGGATGGATATCTTGATCCCATTATATCATGGCAGGTAGGGAGAGTGTAATTTATAATTTCCGGATCCCCAAGCCAAGCCACTGCTTCGCCAACTTGGATGAGGCAATTAGTTCATAATCAGGATAATGCTTCCAACTATTCAAGTGAACCACGGTGGAACGGGTTCTCGATTGCTTTACTTCCAATTGGTTCACCATGAATATTTTAATAAATCCATGAGTAGATTACAAAGATAGGCCCGAGAATGACGTTCTTGATTGGCGATTTCTGTACCAGCCAGCGGCCGCCGGTACTCTGGCGGCCGCCATTGCTGACGAGCCCGCGGCCGGTGGGGTGGGCATGATTATGGCAGCGAGCGGGAAGGGCCCGCGTGGTCGGGAATCCGTCAATTTGGCAAGGGGCATGCAAGTCTAAAATGCTCGACCAAGCCCGTACGTCGCAGACTTTTTTGAGGGCTATCAGATACAAATCGCCACCTCGCCATTTCTTGATACTTATATATTATAGTGGGTAATCGAACTTGCAAGAACCCAATCCACTTGATTTACGCTGCCCGTCCTATTTGCTCTCCTGTCTAGAAAGGCCGTTTGCCTGACAACGTGAGGACGACGACCTTCCCCGACTGTCCGGGAAGTGCTATCTTACAGCGTCCTTCTACCGGTACTCAAGATGACTGCACCTTCCGCAATTGTCATCTGTTGGAGGATCCTTTGGGGAGATAGGTGTGGCTCAGGCGCTGCTGAAGGATCTACCCTCGATCAAGGTCGTCCTCGTCAACCCATCCAAGAAAGCGTTTTTCAACATTGCTGCTTCACGCATATTTGCCGACTCGAACGCGTTCAAACCTGATCAGTACTTCTTGAGTATCGAAGACTCCTTCAAGAAATACGACTCGAGTGCATTCGAGCTGATAGAATGTCGTGTCGGCGCAGTCGATGCAGCCGGCAAGGCAGTTACAATCGAAGAGTCAGGCAGGCCTCTTCGTTATGACTAACCTTCTTATCGCATCCGGCAGTACAACCGCATCCGCACTTGGCAGGGAAAGCGCGGTGGTGCCCTTCAAGCCACCAAACACAGGCGACATGGAGCTCATGGTTCAAAAGGCACAAGAAGACATTGCAGACGCACAGACCATACTTATAGCCGGTGGTGGCCCCGTTGGAGTCGAGTTTGCAGGTGAGCTTTGGGAAGCCTTCCAGGGTAGGACTGGAGGCAAAATTACTCTGGTTAGCCAGTCAAGCCGCCTTCTCCCCATGCTGAAGGAATCCGCCTGCAGGACAGCACAGGACCTGTTGCAGAAGAACAATATATCAGTGCTCACTGACGAAGGGTAGTACGTGCGATGCAGGATAACTCGACTAAGAAATGGAGTGCTGTTCTTGACGATGGCCATGAGATCATCTGCGACATGTTCATCTCGACTACCGGCGTCCTACCAAATAACTCCTTCATACCTACAGAATACCTTACTGAGGATGCATGGGTTAAAGTCGACGCAGAATTTCGAGTGATAGGCGGCACCGGTGATCCTGATCGCTATATCTACGCCATAGGAGACATTACGGCTCACGCAGACCGGCTGGCGTCGAAAATCCCAAAACAAATCCCGGTTGTCACATCCAATATTAAGGCTGACGTTGTCGGTCACGGAGCGCGAGCAAAATATAAGACAAAGGGTTCCTTGATGATGATGGTCCCCATTGGTGGTTCCGGTGGTACGGGACAGCTCTTCAGTTGGGTCCCATGGAGCTGGTTTGTCAGGAAGATGAAGGGAAAAGATTACTTTATCAGTCAAGCCACGCGCCTCATGGGTGTCAAGTAGGAATCCAATGTTGGCCCACAGCCTTCACCAAAGGCCAGTTTAGCAGCTGTGTGTATAATGATATCCAATTGTATTGTTTACCGCAACCTTGCTCATTGCGATAAAATATAAAGCGACCCCCTTATAAGTACTTACACGGTATTAGTACTTGTCGTGGAACGAGGCTCGATGAAGTAGACATTAGAGCTTCTGTCAGATTCGCTAGATGAAAAGAGATGATTTCTTGTGTGTTCCATCATGTGTTGTGTTTATTGTTCTGTCAGCCATATCTTACCGCTATCGAATCCGGAGAGTATCGGATATCGATATTTAGCTGAATTCTGGCTGGGCCAATCACATCGCTGGATGCTAGCATGGATTCAACTCGCCGAATTGAGAAGATTTTACAGAGTTTTCAGTTAGTCGATTATAAGTAGTTAGTTAGATATCTAGATTGCCAGAAATCAGACCTTCATTCATCCCGAATCATACTGTTTACTAGCGATTACCATAGATTCGCTATCAATGGGGATCGGTTGACAGTTATGAGCCCAGTTTGATTGACTGCTATCAGATACTACACCTATGAGGCAACGCCTACCCCATTCCAAGGCCTTGACTGCTTTGGAAGGGAGTGAAGCCATTTGCAACAGGTATCTCAGCGCCCCAGCAAGCTGATATGCCAGACTATTTGATCACCACTGATTCCGTGCCCACTCAGAGGGTCCCAATCATTCTGGATTGGCCAGACGATTGGTGGGCATGGATTGGATACATTTAAATGCTCACTGAGCAGAAACAGGTCTGGAAATACATTGATCCAGATGAACAGATGATCGCCATTGAGAAGCTGGTAGAACTAATCATGCCGCAGCCAGCGAAGCCTATTAATAAGATGACTTCAGACGAATAATCTGCCTGGCAGGAGATCTCCAGGCACTACGATTGTGAGGAGAGAAAGTTTGATAAAGATGCAAACGGCCTAAGTGTAGTATGGCAAGCGACTCGGTGGACTATCTGAACTTCGGCATTGCTCTGTATTAGCCATCCACCCACACATAAATTGCCAGGTAAGGGCTTCAGGCATTCAGGCCATCTTCGGATGTTTCCATTGATTGAACCACATATCCACTACACCTTCGTTTGCCGCGCCAAACGGCCATCACGTGAGAGATGGTACGGGTCACGTGGGAACTTTAGGGTCCCAAAAGTTGCTTTCGTACCGTTAACTAGGTGTTCTTGTCCACTTAGTCAGTTACCATTCGTCCCACCCCTCCATTATGGCCACGAGTTTCAGCTCTGATAATCATGCAGTGGGCCAATTTGCATCCCGAATATGCGTCCAATGCAAATCTAGCAAGAAGAAGTGTGACAAGACTCTACCTACCTGCAATCGCTGTTCCAGGTATTTGTCACCGCCCGGTTTCTAAGGAGGCATTTCCACGAAACTGATCATATCTAGGCTTTGCCTCCCTTGCACATATGATGATGCAGCGGAAACGGGAACAAAAGATTTCACTGCTCAACTCCAAGCCATCTTCGACAGGCTGGAGAGGCTCGAGTCACGGGTTCTTGCGTCCGAGGCGGAGCGACCTTCTGGGGATCCTGACCAACCCTCTCACCTAAACATCGAGACAAATGAAACCAACGGATCAAATTGGCAGTTGAAACCCGGTCTGCTTCAGCCGTCTTACTTGGGGCTTATCGTAGCAATGAATCTGTCCAAGACTCTAGAGGATAGAGGCACCTCGGTGCGGGCAGTGGGCGAGAAATATCTCGACTTAATACACGACCACCTGCCGGCTATGTCCCGAGAAAGACTCGAGTGGCGAATCCAAGAATCCGAAAGGCTCGAACGGAATGGCCCTTTCTTAATCTTCATTACGAGTATTCTTTTACTAACAGAGGCGGCGGCGGATAGTTTCGTTACCTCCAGCACGTCATCTCCTCCAGAGTTGTACCGGGTCTGCAAATACACCCACTCCTTATTTGTATCACTAAAGGAACCGTGCATCGAGCTGATTCAATCGGGGGTATTGATTGCGCTGTACGAATATGCTCAATGTATGGAAGATCAAGCTTATCTCACAATTGGCACTTGCGCCAGAATGGCAAATGCCATTGGACTATACTCAGCTGCATCCGATATTTCTCGGACATCAGAAATGACGAACGATCTAGAGGAGAAGATGAATATTCTCCTTGGAATCTACATTGTTGACAGGTAGGACTCCATTTGCGCCATGCGTTTCGTGGGACCCTCGTTCGTTAATACCATGGAATTATGCCAGACATATCAAAATGACTTTGAAGGTGTCCATGAAACCTATAATCTACGACTATTCTCCGGTTCTGAAGTTTGACGTTGCAGGTCTGACCCTCACGTAATAGCGTTTGAATTTGCCGAACTGAACTCCTTCAGAACATAGCCACGTTCCCTTAAAGTGCGAAGCGGATGCATGTGATATTTTGGACCGCCTACAAACGACTCTATGCATTAATACAACTGCCGGTATATCAAGTTTGTGTGGCGATGCACGAGTGAGCCAGGTCGAAACCCTGGAAACTGAGCTCCAAAGCCTATTGGTTGAATGTTCGGGTCACCAAAATGATCCTCTGTGGCACAGAGCCATTGCTACAGCCTTCGCGTAAGATTCGTATGCTCTTACAGACTTTGCAGTGTGGCTAAATGACCCGGCTTTGTCCATCAGGGCGAAGTTATGCATACACACCTATTACCGGCTGCACAGGACAAGCCAAGGTGTCGTTGAAAACCTCGAACAACGGCGTCAGGCCAGCTTAGAGCTACTCGGTTTGCTGATGGCTATATCAAGTAGCCAGTTGGATCGGCATACCTCAGATACAGTGATCCCTTTACCTTTCCCCATGATAGTCCTTTTCCTGGTGTTGGACGCCATGAAATCATTACATACAGCGGGGAGCGATACGTACTTACTCCGGGAGCGACAAACTTTCATAGATATACTTCAGTTCTTAAGTAGGCGATGGAGACTGGCAGGTAAGTAATAAAAGCTTCTATTTAGAATCATATCAGGACTGACAATTTTTATAGGACGCCTCCTTGAAGTCTTGAAGCAAGCATAGTCGATTCTACCAGGCGACAGTTTTTTCTTTTCAGGCTGAAGGCCATCTTACGTGGTTTACAGCAACTATACGCTATTTCGGACTATAGCTTTTCTTGTGTAGCTTTCAAATTGTGCAGCTAAGGTCCGAATCCAACTTTCAATCACCAATGCCTATACAGAAGTAGTGCTAAACACGAGCGGCCGCTGACGGCCGCGCCGTTGCTGCGATGACATTGTGATTTTAAAGCAATCTATTCCGAGAGGAATATCGCGCGGACGAGACCAGTTTTCTGACTGCAAAGAAGTGAAACAGACCGCCCTAAAGCAAGAGGAGCCTAATTATGCATAACTTGGCCGTCCTAGCGGGCCAGCCAAGATACCCCTGGCGTGTAACAACTCCTATGATCTGATCATACGTTAGGTCTCCCACCCTGGGCGAGGATTACGTAATGCAGATGCGGGCAGAGGAGTATAGGCCTCACCTTCTGCTCCGACAACCAGCAGTGTATAAGCACCTTGTCTTATAACTATTGACGGAAGTGACACTCAACTTCTAATATTCACTAGTGTCCTCCCACCCTATCAACGCGGAAGATCTATATTCTATCGGCTCTGAATAATACTGTGGACAGTAGTGCCATACTTGCTTTCGTCCTTCAACCCAAGGTAATAGGAAACTTCTTCCGGACAAGCCCTCCATATCGGTAAATGAGCGCTGGTGCTGGGATCAGCCCGAGCGACAAAAGCCCTAGCAGTGAGTTTCCCCAACCTAGGCCCAACGTCGAGCACATACTTGGTCCTGCAAGAGGCAGGAAGGCTCCAAATAGGCATCGAAGCGTGGTCAGACCAGCCACAGCTGAAGCCGCATATGCCCCGCCAACATCAATGAAGTATGTCTGAATCGGTAAGAAGATCCCCATCATTCCAAACGCAAAAGGAGCCAGACCGATTAGTGGCGCAATCCAGTGTACGTGCTTATCCGCTGTCCAGCCGTACCAGAAGAAACTGACTGGTATCAAGAAAGCGAAAATGACACTGCTGGCCAGACGCATCTCCGGCTCGTAAACGTTGTTGTTGGCCTTCGTGAGGCGGACTACTGTCGCATCTGACGTTTTCGCAACGACAATGAGCCCGAGCAGAAACCCCACCCCCCATTCCAAGATAGGCTGGGCCACAGGGCTCCACCGGCCAATGATACACCCCCTCGTACAAAGAGGTCAAGGTCGTGAAGAGAAGATATAGCATGCCAAAGACGAAGGACATATAGACGGCAAGCAACAAGAGAATGGGCTACCCAAATAACATCCGCAAAGGGCGGAAAATGCCCCGCACCAATACTGAGCATTTTCTTTCCTTGAGTGGGTGACGACTAACGTCGTAGGCACACTGGAGTTCCGGGCGACTCAGTTCTTCGTAGCTTTTCAGTCTTTCGGCGGATGAGGACAACTGGATTCGTCTCTGAGTTCAAGACAACATTGCCTAAAGTAACGACACCACAGGCACAGAGGAGAACCCAGTATACCCATCTCCAGCCAGCACGCTCAGCGATGAAACCTCCGATGATTGGCCCAATCACGGGCCCAAACAGCGGCCCGATGGAAAACACCGCATTTGCACGGCGGCGCTGAGCGATGGGGAAAAGATCAGAAATGATTCCTCCTCCAATTGTTAGGCATGCTGAGCCGCCTACTCTAGCCAGGAATCTAAAGCCAATCAATGCGCCCACGCTCGGAGTGAGAGCACAGCCTATCTGCCATGCCGTCAAGAAGATATTAGCAGCATTCAACACTGGTTGACGGCCGTTTATTTCGCTTAACGGGGATAAAACAAGAGGCCCAACCTGCCCAGTCCGCGAATTAGTGCGTCACGAGTAAACATGGCAATTGCTGACCATACCGAAAAGCCAAGGACAAAGATGCTAACGACGAGAGAGCTGAGAATACTCGGCGTATTATGGAACTCCTGGTTCATCAGAGGAACACCGGGAGCGTTGATAGAGGATGCTAAAGGACTTTCGCACATACTAGTCAGTTCAGATCCAGGTCTGATTACTGCTTTCGAGGGCCACTTACCTTAGAAACGTAATGCTACTCACAAAGGATAAGAGTAGCCATTTCCGCGAGGGCGCAAAATTCCTGGTAATTTCCAATAAGCGAGGGTAGCGACAACTAGCAAACTTAAGTGCGCAGGACCTTGGGTTCCGAGAATCGCCTGGTCCATCCCACCCCACTACACCTATTGAAAGATCGGTGAACGCATTTGTCTCATCCATTCCGTTACTATCCGGATCATCAGGGTGTACGTCACCCAAAGAGGGCGCCCGATCAACTGTGAACGACTCTTTTGGCGCATTGATATCATTCTGTGCCTAGGGAAGCTTCAATATCAGTCCAGCTCAAAGAGGGAGGTCAGTCTGCCGTACACTGTCGCGGGGCATCCTGGTATCTGTGTTCTGCGTTCTGCGTTCTGATTCTGTATCCGGGAGGGTAAGCGATAGTGAAGGGAGACCGTGACCTCAGGGTGAATATGCATTTTATATAGGAGAGTGAAACCTGGATCGACGTACCGCAAGTTCCCCAACTAGATATGGTCTAGATCCTCGTAACAGCCGGACTACAATCGAATGAGGAGAGTGAGCCCGATCTGCTGTCAAGATTCAACTTCTCACCAGGAGGACCGAAGTAGATCGCAGTGTATAATGGATTCATTTCCTTTGGCCACTTCGACTTTCAATTTCTGATCAGCATCTCGGTATTCCGAAGTCCGCTTTTATAGTTCACATTCGATATGTTCGGAGTATGATCGTCTAACAATGCACATCCTAGTTAAGCGAATTAGGTGAAGTACAACTAAGGTATAATAAACATTCCTACCACCGTCCCTATTCCGGAGTCGCACCGGCCGCGAGAGAAAGAAACCCAAATACTTTGGATTTTCTAGCCACCGCGAGGAGACAACGGTTCGATGGATCTCTTGTTCAACCATCGTCGGGCTACACAAATGAATAGCGGTCGTCCGCTTAACTTCAATAAGGGTATGTGACGCTCCGACTGCTTCACGGCCGAATTAACCTGTCGACTCACTTGAGCAACGAGGTCTGCATCGCCATGGAGAATTACAACCAAAAATAGCAGTCGGACATCAGGTGTCGTATTTACCTAACCGAGCGCCGGGAGCCGCAGTAAATGCAGACTGCAATCTGCCACACTCGGGTGGATGTTTAATTAGAGAGAAATTGTGTTTTCCGCCCCTCTATAGGTACACGTGGAACGATAAGAGCAAGGAATCGCCATGAAATCGTTTCCATGCCCTGATCAGCAGCAGAAAGCAGTTACAACAATCATCCGTACGTCGCTTCGATAATTGACCACTTGACCGTTTCATTGCCCCCGGCCCCTACTCCGAATTCCTCACTTAATGGGTGGTGGTGAGGTCACTAACAGCAGGAAGCTGCCCAATCCACATTCATTGCCCTTGCTCCACTGTATCAACCAGCCATCGTGCGAGTCCGCTCCGATTCGTCCAGTACTTCCAGCCTTTGTCCCCAACGTAGCCAACATAGGTGGAATGTACGCGGTCCATTGCCCAGCTTTCATTATCAGCGTTGCCAGGTATGGCCGTGATACGGAAAAGAGTCCAGTCTAGCTCTTGAGCTTCTTCACGGAAGACCCGCGCAATGGTTTGCATGCATTGATATGCACTGGGTGCGAGCAATTGAACGATTCGTTGTATGAAGATATTGACAAGCATGCTGAAATTGTCTCTGGGATCAGCGACGGCTGGAGTGCACACTGCAAGGGATAATGTGAGTGATTTGTCCAAGTCGAATACTAGGAATATCCTGAAGCAAGGCAATATAGTACGTACTGCCCAGGATGCGCTTGACGTTGTGCTCCCGCATTAGTGGAAACATCGACGAATAGTAATCGGGATATGGCATAGGCCCCCGCATGTCATTGGGGCCGAGGAGGGATACAATGATATATGCTCTAGCAATCACTTCGCTTAACGACGCAGTATCCTCCATTGTACCCTGAACAACCTTGGAACCTATTTGTCAGTCGAGCTGAACTCGCACTCCAAGGCCGGGTAGATATCTCACATGAAGAAAGTGGCTACTCAATCTTGTGGTATCTTGGATGGCGTCCGGACATAGGCAATTGTTGGATGTTTGCGGTGCAGCAGCTCACGTAGCAGGACAATCCCGGCAGGGCCTGTAGCGCAGAGGACGAGGACTTTGTCTCCAGCCATTCTCCTCTGCTTATGGAACAGCTGATACGTGAAAACTCATAACGATCTTTGTTACTGACAAACCACTAGCATATACACATTGCTCTGAAGCTTTTTAAGCAAACAGGGCCTGCAGGGACAGAAATCCGAATCTGGATTGCTCCCAGCCCTTCACATAATCAAGATTATTAACTAGTTAGTTAATCAGCTAACTACTCAACTACTTGTTGCGGGTCCGATTGGTAAGCTGATTACCCTATTCTCCAGTCAATCTCTGGCAACTTTCGTGCTCTGGTCCCCCCTGCATTTGATACAACGGGCAAGCTCAACATTGAAAATTTGCCAAATCACGTAACCACGATATCACTCGCCGCAAGTGGCGCGGCCGCCGGCGGCCGCTCGTTATTAGCATTAGTCATGGAAGGTCATCGGTGATGGGAATACGGAGCTCCGACCTTAGCTGCATAATATACATAATATACGAAGTGCAGAGGGTCCATCCATGTCTTAATTGCTTTACTGCTCCTTCCCTTCTATGCACCACTTCCCATTGCACCATGATGGCAGCGGAGTTTTCTAGCGTCACCCACAACAGTAATCCTACCAGACAAGGACTCCCGGACAAGTTCCCTCCACCGAAGGGTTGTGGGAGCAGAGTGGGGTGTAAACTTTTTCCACGCGTAGACATACTCTTTATCATGGGTCAAGGAAAGCCCTGCTCTACCAGAGGTTGCAAATTAATACTGAGGGCCCCTTGGAAGACTTTCCACAGACAATCCGTATAATCCCATGGTACTCACCCCACTCCCGCCCACTCCCGCCCTCCCCCCGGAACATCGGGAAAGATTACATTAGTGCAGACGGCATTGCCTCATCTGCACCAGCTTATATGTTTCTGACCTCGAAATATTCACATTAGTGACCTGATCATGTATTTCCCCTTAATGTCTCCCCCACCCCCTCTCTTTTCTTTACCCACACAGTTGAGGTACTCCCACGATTAATACAAGCTTCTTTATAGTGCATGCTGGTATTACGAGGAACAAACAAGCCAGTTCTCAAGTTTCCTCTTGTGGAAAGAAGAGGTAAAGCTCAACTGGTTCACTGGGCCTTGTCGAACGACTTAGGCGCCGGGTCACAGAATAGTTTCGCTATAACTCCGAAAATCAAGACCAACTGCATGCGAATCAACAAATAACTAAGTTAACATGTGGCCAGAAACCACACCTGAATAATTATGACGTACCAGTTGGTCAAAGACTTTGCTGTTCAAATGCGTCAGATGGGGATATGCGTTACCGTCCTAAAGACTTCTCCAAAAATGCCGAAAGCCTGGGTAGCCATCCCCTCTGAACAGGTCATAAAAGAGGCTTATTAGAGTTAGCGTGAAAGCATTAAGATCGAATAGTTTTATATATGTAGATATACTCCGATGTATCAGTGACATGCTGACTTACAGGACTTTCCAATCACCGGGTGGCAGATTCCTCTCCTCGAAAACACAAGACTCGCCCGGGAAGCCGTGGAAGCCGTGGAGATGATGCAGACGAGGGATTATCAGAGGCGGATCACCGGCCTTCACGATCATATCCTTACCGTCCAGTGTGGCGGTTATCCTACCTTCCACAACTGTGATGTATTCGTCGTGATGCTGGACAAAAATTAATGTTACCGTCAAGCCACAAAGACATGGAGAGAAAGTAGACAGAAGGTATATAAGTGCAACCGACCTTGTGCCAGTGGACAGGAATGTTGAAGGGTTTTCTACGCCGTCGTAAATGCATTTTGTCATGTATCTATCGTCGCTTGAATCGGCAGTCTCCTTCAATAATCCCAACCAAGCACACTTCCGATGGTAGTCAGTTCCGATTTCGCGGTTGCTGAGTCTTCAGTATGTCCGTGATTTCGCCACTACGGCTTTTGAGAACGCTCCGCAGAGTAATAAGACGGCGATCCAAAACTCCCCAGTAATACTGTAAGAGAAAACAAATTGACTTACCTCTTCCATCATGATCCTAGTGATGAGAACCTGTCCTGTAGCCATAGCCTTTTTTTGCAAACTTCACTAGTATTCAAGGTCTTGTAACCCGTATATGACAGTGAGTCAGTGACACGACAGAATGTGTGATAATAATAAGTAAACCGCCTTAGGAACAGCTAGGTATTTGTATATGAATAGACGACTCACCCGTCCTGGCCCCAAAACCCAAAGCATTGTCTACTTGATCGAGCCTCGATTCACAACACGTGGTACACCCTATCCAGAACATTGGTCGGATGAGATAAAGCTTGACTCCATCCCGAAGAGGGAACACGCTTTAACCATGTATTATACGGGCAGCCTATGTCAAAATGGCAAATATGGAGACTGCGTTCGATTCCGATCAAGGTAGGCTTGGAAATGAATCCCATGAGAATCGGCTCCCCAAGCTTGTCCTCGAGCCCAATGGTACCTGCCCTCTGGTTTCATATATGTACAACAAGAAGGGGGCAGAGTTCCTAGCCAAAGGCAGCGGCTTCGAGACGCGAACAACGCTCGAGGAAAAAGGGCTAGCCTATCAGAGCCAGGGTAGAGTATCGATAACTACATGCTACTCTGCGATGAGATAGAACAGGATCATCTTGACTTCATGCACGCTCTATTCAAAATTGCGCTGTGCTCAGCCAGAGTAATTCACGTCCCTCATACCTTCAACGGTCGCTTCCTTGATCTGGGGTTCGGGACAGGAGTCTGGGCGATCGAAATGGAGAAAGCTTATCCAAATGCCTATGTTCTCGGGGTCGACATGTCGGCAATTCAGCCACATTTTCGTCCGCTAAATTGTGTCTTCGAAGTTCCATTTGACCATGAGCTTCCCTGGTTGATAGGTGAAGGGCGGTGGGATGTTATACACATGCAGATAGAATGCGGCAGCGTCACTAACTGACCAGGACTTTAGATAAGAATATTTGGCCATCTACGTTGCGATATTTGGTTTGAACAACTGGAGGTAAATTTCGAGCCTCGTTGCAATGATCGACCATAGGCGGCACCTAGTACAACGAACTTCCGACGGACAGACGGTCAGACAGGTTGACAGTGTTTGACGCAGCCCTTCTTCAATATCCTCAGCTAACTCTCAGAAACTCCCAGTCCGTGCCCTTAGGCAGGTTAACAGGCGTGTCTGCTGTTTATACGGAAAGTCCTGAAGAAGGGTAACCGTATGCGCGTGACCGTCGACAGGCGGAACGCCGGCGTGAGAGGCCGGCTGAAACTCTAGCGAGACAAACGGACCAGTGGCTGTTGCTGCGCCAACTGTATGTACGGCTGCAGGTCCACTGGCGCTGGCCTGCTGTGTCCCACAATGGGCTGTGCCGAGTAGAACGCGTGGGTGATAGGGGTGGAGGTCGGCAGGTAGTAGGGCTGCTGGGAGAGCAGAGACTGGCCATGGGGAACACCGGTGGCGCAAGGCTGGTAGGACCGGTCAGGGGATATGTCTTCGGACGGGTTGTAGTCCATGGCTCCGGGGGGGAGGGCGATTCTGGTGTCTGGTGAGGGTTGTTTTGCGGCAGAAGCTGGCAGGGTTACTGGTCAGTGGGGAGATGTTCCCAAGTTTGACGCAGGGTTGTCTACCATCGCTGGCACACAGGCTCCTGGCAGATGTAGGGCCGACGGCCCGTGTGGATCCCCCGATGGCGAGCCAGGGTGACTGTTGATCTAATCAGCCTCTCCACCGCTTGGTCTAGGTCTGCTGTGGTGAGAATTGTAGGTATGGGTGTCGTCTGGGACTGAATGTCTTGACTAATATTCTCCCAGTTCGCCCGGTCTAATACATCCTCTTTGGATGTGTTGTTTTGTTTTGCCCAGGTTGTAGGGCCCGCTCTGAGAGGGGTACCACGATGGTCGGACCTATAGTTGTCGTGGTATAGTTGGCATCGGATAAGTCTCGCAGGATCGTCGGTCACGGTGAGGTCTATAGTGGATGATTGTCCTGGATTTTGTACAGCCTAATATGTCGGTGTACCCGTTGGCAAGCACCACTGGAGTCGATGCATCTGGAAGAGATTGACGAGCTCGTCTGCATGTTCGATTAGGCTGGGAGCCACCGGCTGGGAGCTACCGGCTGGTGGATCCATGCTGAATGATGGCAATTGAAGTCACCCGCTAGGATAAGTTTCGTCGTTCTGTCTGTCCTATTCGAATGCTCCTCGGCAGTCGTCCGGATTTCCTCGTATCTGTTGGGCACTGTGTTTTTGTGGGTTGGTTGGAGTATGGCGACAGGCGGGATGTAGATCGAGAAGATGAGGTATTGGACGTCTGCGGTCCAAATTTTGACCGCTACCAGATCTGGGTGGTTGCAGCGGATCTGGCGATGCGATGATGTTGATATCCGTTTATTCACTTAAAGGAGACTGCGAAACCGCTTAGCTTCCTCTGTCTGGGTAGGGCGGTAGAGCCGCCATGCGCTGTGGTTGACGTGGGTGCGATACGCGGAAATTGGGGGCTCCTGAATTAAGAGGAGGTCGAGATTTGTCGTTTGGTGGTCATCTATGAGGGTTTCCATTCCTGCCCCAGATTTCATGATGTTCAACTGTAGCATCCAGAGGTCATGAGGGTCACTGGAGACACCGCGGATTGAAGAGCTTTCGGGACCTCCGATCTCCAGTAGGATGTTCTTCGTTGCAGTTTGAACAACGGGGCCTCACCCTGGGGAAACAGTGGCGTTGGTCATGCGAGGCGGCACAGTATCTGCAGCGGACCAGTTCCTTAAATGACCAGGCGAGATGGCCAAATCGTTGACAGAGCCGGCACGTCTTGGTGCATTGATGTGTCTGATGATCAGAACCCGACCATGTATTGCGTTTGCGGTCGTGACACGGAGTCGTTTCGTGTCTCGGCCTCAATCACATTACCAATCTACCCTGTAGCACCTGCTCCGCTACCTAAAGGCATCCCAGAATGTCTCCATCTCATATCGAAAAGGAGACCTGATCGGCTATACGGATGCTGATTTCGGTGGATCGGTCGTGACTGACAGGGCATCATCTACATCAGGGTATGTCCTTAAGCTCGGGGGGAGGAGCCATCTCCTGGTCGTCCAAGAAACGGAGGGAAATCGCCACGTCCACTACTCATGCGGAGTACATCAGCCAATATAATGCCATTCTACATCTACAGTGGCTGCGCATCTTTCTGAATGGAACCAATCTGTATCGGTCACCGGTCACCCATATTACGGCGGACAATCAATCGGCAATTGTCTTGTCTCGGAACAAAGAGTTTCCATAAACGAACCAAACATTTCAACGTCGAGTTTCACTACCAGCGATCTGTACTGGATGCTGGAGAGATCATCGTTCAGTATGTCCCGACCAAGCAGCAAGCTGCGGATGGCCTTACCAATCATTTGGGTCCTAAGAAATTCGCAAGCGCCCGTCAGCTAATCGGTCTGACAAGTATTGCTGAAGGTCCAATACAGGAACTGTAACCGCACAGGGCCGCTCTTTCCACTTGTTCTTCCGAGCAGGGTTATAGTGGTTTTATGGAGGCCTAGTCGATTCTCGCCAGTGCAGTATCACCGTGCAAGCACGGCAATCCTGAGGAGGAATGTTGTGAATCGAGGCTCGATCAAGTAAACAATAGAGCCTCGTATACGGAATTTTATTCCGTATTGAATCAGACTGATTTCCAATCAATCTGATGTACATATTGTATTTAGTCTCTCACGTTTCCAGATACGAAGAAGAACGGTCAATCTTCCTCCGAATCACAACACACAACACTGTTAGAGTCGAGACAAGACTGGCAGGACAGTAGCACCCAAGGTGAATGGCCCTTTCGTTAGAGGAGGCCCACATGTTGAAAGGTTGTTAAAATCTAATTCGCCACTTGGAACTATCAACGGCTCACTAGGTGCGACGGAAAGGCGCACAAAGTGGACGTCTTTGGCGTTTGCCTGAAACAGACGCGCAGCACGGTGCAAATAATCGTAATCCCCTCTCAGCGAGCTATGCTTCAGAAGTGGGCCCCGGATTAACACTCCTCCGCACCCTTCGGCTGGCACCGGTTAGTGAGCAGGACTGATGACGTTCTCTTTGCCTTGCTTTTAAACCCTCGAGGCATCATCCTGGCCCAATCTGGGGCCGAGAACAGCCTATTTTCAAACCCAGAGGTATGCCGGCGAGAAAAGAAGCACGAAACGCGTGTTTGCCATGCTCATTAAGGAAGCGCCGATGTGATCGGGTCATGCCAGCTTGTGGCTGGTGTGTGGAGTAAGGCATACACCCCGACTCAGATTACTCTCTATCGACAACGTCTATTAATATTTTGAAGGCGAAATATCCCCTGTAATTATTCTGATCAATATCTACCTGGTCCAAACCAGATCTTCCAGTTGCTCGTTCAGCCATGCCACGCCGCCGGACCCAACGGGGTACGCAACACCGATCTCGACTATTTACTGACTGCACATCTTTTCGATACACTTCAGAAATTGACACTTGATCTGGGAGACATTGTCGAATGTTTTCTGCTGTTCGTTCAGCCCTGGATTCCATTAGCTCATCCGCAGACTCTGCGACGAAAAGCTTTGTCGTTGCGCGGGGATCCTTCGGCCGAGCTGGCAGCCTTTCTCCTCCACATCCTGCTTGTTAATCCGCCCACCTCGCTTCCTTCTTTGCGACCTGTTTTACCCGTACTGTATGAAGAATGCAAGTCTCTATTTTATCTTCTGCAAGCTCGCCGTCCAGACCGCCTACTCACTATCCAATCTGGTCTCTTGCTCGCCGTTTATGAACAAGGCAATTGCGGCTCCTCTGATGCATATATCAGCCTTGCAGCTTGTGCCGGCCTGGCACATGTCATGGGACTTGGTCAGTCTTTTGAGCGTACGAGCTTAGCCACTGATGAGGGCAGCGAAGACCGGGAGCGAGCGTGGTGGGCTCTCTATTACCTCGATAGACTCAACTATTTCTCCGACGAGAAATTAGCTCGCATGCTCCTCCTTCGGGATCCGATGGGGGGCACTCTCCCCAGAGGCGGGCCCTTATTCGGCTGTCGCGACGCATGGGCAAGGTCTGCACTATCAACCGTCCCACCAGTGCCTGGCGAGGATTTAATGGCTGCTGGCACTTTCGGAGAATTTATCCAGGCCATGCATCTCGTGGAATGTGTCCTACAGCTGACGAGAGAACCTTCCGTCCACCCCGGAACACTTGTGGATCAGGAATCCTGGAAGCTTGATATGCTCATCCAGCAAAAGATCCATAACAGTCTAGCCTATTGCCAACCCCTGCATCACCAGTATATGGTGGTCGCGATATACCTCATGTGAGCGAGACTTTGCCTTGATACATGCACTTTGCGTCCATCTGGACAACTGACTTCGACCTAGGGCCCACATTGAATTGCATGAGAAAAGGCTAGTGTCCTTCAACCGTCAAGGGGACCCTCTCTCTGTCCGGGAGTCTTCAATAGCCGCTCTCGAAATGGCTCTAAGTATTATTGGGGAACTCATGACAGTGGACCATGTCTTTAAGATTCTCGAAATTGAGAGGCTACCAGTGCTGGCTGTTGTTTTGTTCGAGAAGATGGCATCCATGGCAATTTTATTGCAATCGTGGCACGGCCGTAACATGGAAGATGAAGTGCAAGCATTGCAAAAGGGAATGGAGAGAGCGAGCAACAGATGGAAAGTTATAGGTGGGTGGCTTATATTGTGTTTCCCTGAGCCCCAATCCCAACAGCTCAACGGTCACAGGTAGAACCGCATCACGTCTTCGTGCTCGTGGAGCTCCTCATGAGAGGCAACAAGGTTCTTTCTAATGAACCATTGTCACAAGGAAAGTTTCCGATAATCCTATCTTCAGGTAATCAGAAATACCCCTCCTCAGTGTGCGGTTTAAGATGGTAGACTTTGACTCAAGGCCACGGGAGGAATTCTGGAATCAAAGCAGCAACATCCTCTATGCCGTATAATTGTCACTACAGAAGCCCCATATCCAAATCATCGGAAACTTTGAGTCTTACTGGCGATAAAGGCACGTGCCTTCTAGCATATTATTACATTTCGTGTCCTGCCAATCTCCAGAGAGGTTTATACGTCTGTCCAGAAACAGCCTGTCCTGGCCTTTTTTTTTATGAAGGGGAAAATCCATCGTCACCTGTCTATTGGTCTGTTTAACGGGCTTCTATGAGCCATTTACCAACAAACGAGCGAAGGAACCCTAAAGGCATATGTACCCTAGCTATATACGATCTGAGTGTTATAATTCTAGGCCTTCTAAATAAGGTGCGCACGAAATAACGTTATGTTGATGAAATGTATATTGCTCGTTGGGCGTCCCATATATCTTCCTAATGCATTAGAGCACAGGCTGAGAACTATGGCATTATAGAATCTCTTTGGGAAACACAGCAAACGTTACGATGAAAATTGACCGGATGATATTGATAACAGACCCGTTACAATTGACTAGTTATGTTAAAAATTCCAATCATACATTTTGTTCTCACAGTTGGGCCAGCAATTGAGGTTAAGATCCCATCACAGCTCAAAGGCACCTTGCCCCAACTTAGGTGCTGAATGTGCCCTGAATATTTGGTACGTGAACGATCAACGACGGGATCTGGTGGACATTGATGGGAGTAACCTAGTGTACGACTCCAGAGTCCCCCCCCCCCCCCCTTTTCAAGTAATATTTTGCGGGGTTAAAAGGGTGGCTCGACGGATTTGACATTATTCTATCATTCGGCTCTGTTGGATTCATTCACAATGACAGAACGGACCTGGCTGGTCCCCGAACATTCTCTCTCATAGCTTTCGATTCGAGATTACTCACCCACGTATTCGGAGTTAAACCACATATTCCGAGTTCAGCCCCGACGGGTAGGAGGTACGTAGTACTGAAGGTAATTCCGCCAGGACTCAATACGGCTAGTCGGCAGCGATTGTTCATCTACCTTCTATGCACCACGTCACATTGGACCAGGATGAGAGCGGAGGTCTCTAACAACAGGGGCCATTCTCTCCCGCAATTATCTCGGTTGACAACATATTACAATTGTTATCGGCGGCCGCTAACCCCAACGTCGGAGCAATCGACAGCCGCCATCGCGGTTTTGCTGGTACAGTGGGATGGCCGAGTAAGGTATGGGCTTCTGCCAATCTTTCAGTTCAATCAAAGACGTGTGTTTCTATAAACTCAGGTATAAGAAAGCAGGAGGAGCTCTAGAAGTTGACGTCGGGTTCCTGTGAAGCTGATGTTGAATCAGCCGACCGTTTGCGATCTAGGGGTGCCACGCTTCGTATGAGTGTTTTGCCACTTCTCAGATATAGGATAGTTGGGGAGCCGCTGGACGTCCATCCAAAAAATAAAAAGAAAAAAAGAAAAAACAAAAAAAACAAAAAGCGTTATTTTCGTCCATTTGAAGTCATTTTATAAGTATTGGCGGATGCTACTGGGCGCATAAAAATGCCGCGAAGTCAATATCGTAGATTGAACAAGGAATATTATAAATATACGCTGCTTCGCGAACACTGCAAATTTCTCGCACCTCCAAAGCAGAAATAATAAGTGAGGCCATCTCCTCTTACTCAGCTATTTCTCATAATTTAAGCGCTTTTTCTCGACTTCGGCGGTTGAATTCAGTGCGGTGATGGCCGGCCCGTTATTTGTGTGGCCAGCTCGAGTGTGATATACGTTGAATAATATGTTACGAGACAGAGAGATCTGCATGTAAGGAATGGTTTGTTTGTTCAACATACGAATGTCGAAAGGACATAAGTCCGGTTCCTTTTCGGGAGGATGGTGTCTCGAAGACTTGCTATTAGTTAGTATACTCGCGGAGTAGCGCCGGGCTAGTGGCGGTCTAGTCTCCGCAAACAATTAATTATAGCCGCAATCCGAACGACAATTCTATGATCACGGAGACGGGGCCCATGGACAATACTGGCCAGCTTTTTAGGTATAAAAACGACCACTTCCTCCTCAAGGATGCGTATCGGAGTTGAGTTCCTTGGTACCGAAGCTCCCAGCATCATATCACGTTTCACGGTACCCCCTAAGTACCGGTTTGCTTCTAGTCTAGTACCCTTTTTCTCCAGGTCCATCCTGACGCCATGGACGCCTCTAAGCCATTTCGTGCCCCCTCTATGTTTGTCAGCCATGGAGCAGGCCCATTCCCACTCTACGAGGAGGGCTGGGAGTCCTGGCGACAGTCTGTCAGCAAGCTTGGCAGTAAACTCGACGGCGTCAAAGGCATCATCGTCATATCTGCTCACTGGGAGATGGAGGAGCCTCACCTCACCTCCTCCGCCCACCTCCGACTCTACTTCGACTACGACAACCCACCAGATGGCCTAGTCCTCCCACAGCGGGTCTTCGAGGAAGAATACGCAGTGCCAGGAAACCGAGAGTTCGCGGCGGACGTGGCACAACACCTCCGAAGTCACGGGTTCAAGCCGGTCCTTGATGAGAAGCGCGGACTGGACCACGGAGTTTTCGTCCCGCTAAAGGTCATGCGACCTCAGGCCGACATTCCCATTGTCCAGTTGTCCCTCCTCAATGGTAGCGACGAGCAGGAGGCCACGGAGAGGAACTTGAAACTTGGACTGGCGCTGGTGCAATTGCGAGACCTTGGGTACGCCGTTGTAGGCAGCGGAGGGTCATACCATGACTTCGGGACCGCCATCAAGGCCATGATGGAGGGACTGCCTATTCCTTCTGCAGCCGACGACTTCGAAGCCTATTTGGTGTCCGTGGCATCGATTACGGACGGGGACGAGAGAATCCAAGCTTTAAGAGACTGGCGGAAGGTACCATCAAGCTACGTCTCACATGTTGAGGGCCATGTCGATCATTTCCTGCCTTTTCTGGTTGCTGCCGGTAGTGGTGGGAATAAACCCGGAAGAAGGATCGAGCTTGTGAGAAACGTCGTGGGGCCGATGAGCTTCTTCGAGTGGTAGGCGGTAGATATGAGAATGGCTTGGACCGGGAGAGACCTCTGACAAGAGGAGAGGCGGGGAAGATATAAAGCTGGAGAATTTAGGAAGCTACACGTTCAGTGTGAATCAGTAAACCATACTGCAAGAAATAGCTATCGGTTTGTGTCGTCTCTCCCTTCCTGGATGATTGCTGTTTTGTGCCTAGCCCTGGCGGGATAACCCAGTCTAAGTTTATATTGTTAGGTCCAACTAGGGTACAGTATGGCATAAGTTTTCACGGTGAGCGTGTCCGGGCCTGTGTAAATTTCCTATAGCCAAGACAAATTCTCATAATATAGCCTGTGCCCCATGCGATTTCACTGAATCTCTCTCTTTGTGTTCGTTTGCTGCCTCTCTCTGGGTTCGTCTACAGAGTTTGACACGAGAGTTCTGATGCCAGTAATTGTGACTACCTGCTTCGATAAGTCGTAGTAGCCAGTTGATATATATGGGCCTGCTATTTCTACCAGGCTTGTCGAAATCCCGTTGATAAAGGTCTTTTGCTCGACCGCAATTTGCCTACGGTGGTCGACTAACTGATCGAGGACCTTGAGTAAAGTACGCTCTCTGTATTTCTAATACGAGAACATTTCGAGGTCGTCGGGTAGAGGTCACCGTCAGGTTCTCTCGACCCGGCTCTCTCGAGCGTAAGCTTATGTCAAGAGTATGGACTGGGCTTAGGATATTGGAGTCCCCGGAAGCCGGGACCTGGGTCTGCCGACAATGATCCATAACACAGAAAACCTTATTTCCCGGAAACTGTCAGAATTACCGTGGTAATGCTTCGTTTTGGATGGGATTATTCTGTATAGTCGTATCTCACCCAAGAGGTTGTATGTGCCTAACCCCTCCTCTGGGAGCGAAGGCACTATGTATGTAGCTTCACTAGAATACTTCAGATGATGTCCTAATATGGACTAGCTCATTCTGACAGAAACCGGGTGTTGAGCCTGCCGACGGTCAGTCATCTATAACCTGAAACCGAGCTGCCAGCTTCAAACGAGGTCACTGAGAATAGATTGTAAAAGTCGACAGTCATCCGTCCTTAGTGACAAACGGCTCTCAATGGCAGTACCTCTGACCTACAAAGCTTTCCGACGTAGCGCCGGGCCGCCGGCAACCCACCCAAGACACTTGAACTGGTCACCGAAGAGCTCCTTCTTCCCTCGCGCCCTATGAAGTGTTGATTCGCATTCATGCCGTATCCCTTAATTACAGAGATGTGGCCATCATGCACGGAAAATACCCGGTCGACGTCATCGAGCGAGGCATCCCCGCATCCGATTGTGCCGCCGAAGTTGCTGCAGTTGGATCTGAGGTTCATGATTTTGAGGTTGGATGGCCGCAGGTCCGCCAGGCGCTATCGATACCATCAACCATCGAATCCACCCAAAATGAGATGAGGAGGCACTTCGCCTAACTAATGGACGAGGTGTTGATGTTGTAGTAGAGACCGTAGGCTCCCCCTCGATGGCCCAGAGTCTTTCTTCTCTCGCGGTGAAAGGAACTATTTCTATGGTCGGATTCTTGGGAGGGTTTAATGTGGATCCCTTCCCTGACACCATAACCCCGGTCCTGTTGAAGAGTGCCACTATAAGGTATTTCGCTCTTCTAGTACGGACAACTAACGTACACAAGTGCTAATAATCATTGCCAAAGGGGTATTCGTGTTGGTTCTAAGATTGACCAACAGAACTTGTATGACTTTCTGTCGGACAAGCAAATCAGCTTGAGGCCAATCCTGGATCATGTGGCCTTCTCTTTCGAGAACTCCCAAGCTGCTTTCGATCACCTTTATGATAGTAACCACGTCGGCAAGGCTGTTATCAGAATGTAGGGGGAAATGCCAATAAAGGTAGTGGTATCTCGCTGGCGCCGGAGCTCCACCTATTCTACAACCCATATATCTTTCACAATGTCACTAGAGTCAAGCTCAACAGGGTCTTCGTTCCCCGCTAGACCTCGTAAGGAGTCGCGACTCGTCAGGTTCGATTCGACTCGGAACCGCCAAGACTCGGGTCAGCTTCTAAGATCTGGAAGTCGCGATCCGACTCCAGGATTCTTAGAGTCGAACCTCAGGTTCCACAAACAGTGCAAATATAGGAAATCTCATGATATGCATATTTTGTGCAGTTTTTGTCTGTATCTCTGTGTATCTGGTTTACGATTTAGGCGAGAAGGTCAGATTAAAACGATTTTAGTATAGAATCACATGAGAGCTGTTTCATTCCAATGGAGGCCGTTGAAATATATTCAAAGAAATGCTGATCAGGATGGTGGTGTAGTACTCATTGGAAAATATATATTTCTCGCTTCATACGCCTCAACCACAACTTCTACTAGAATTAACTACTAAGGACCCTAAGGCTACTAAATCTGATCGGATATAGCCTTTTCTATGCTTTATATTCTATATACAGACGAATTTCACATAATTTCACAAGGGATATGGCGACATCACGTGGTTCATAGACGTTGTGACCAGAACAGCGGTAAATTACGGTATAAAATCTAGATGAAGCATCATTTTATCCATCCGAAATAGGAAAATCTTGGTAAAATTATGCAAACCAGGTTCCGTCAGGTTCGAACCTGAGCCGAATCTGATGGAACCGCGACCCGACTCAGGCTCCAAAATTTGGAACCTGAGTCGGACCATTTCGAGGCCTATTCCCCGCTGATCTGCCAAGGCCGTTCCCCTTGGCTGTGGTTTCGCTAGGTAGTAGATAGAGACAGTGGGAATCTCATTAGTCCATTCATGTGCATCACTAATTGGATGACGAGGCATTTGGCTACCTTAAAGTGAGTCTTAGTTACTCCCGCCGTTTACCTGTGCTTGGTTAAATTTGACAGAGGCCATTCAAGTTTAGGCACCACTACATTTCGAACGCCAATATTCTACTGTTATTCTCACGGAGGTTTTCTGTCGATTTGGAAATATTACCCGAAACGATGCAAAGGGCTTTGGTGCACGCCATGTTTGTTGCAATGTGCAACTTCTGCAAGGCGCTCGCTCATAGAAATCCCTCCTGCATAGGTTGCAACTGGCCTGGTGAGCCACGAATTTTTGTTGGCAGGGTCGGCGAATTAATGTGTATCGAATACATTCTTTGGCCGATCCCTGGACGAGAGATCGGAGTATACCCGAGGAACGACTCCAGGTGTGTAATTGGCAACTCATCCCGTGGAAGGCATCAGACGTCATGTCCAGAGGTGTGCACCAGCCTTAATACCCAAGTTACGTGGCCGGAGACTTACCCGAAAATCCCCTTTTTACCAAATCTCTCTGACTGAAAGCAGCAACCTTGTTGTCGATCTCGTGGACGCGGAGCCCACACTTCGAAAACTCAACGGCCTCCGATACCCAAGGGGGTTAAAAATGTCGCGAATGGCTCTAGACACTCTCAGTTTTCTCTCAGCTTTTCACCGGACTATGTTAGGGACGGGATACGGCGGCTGCTTTCAGGGAGTTATCTCAGAATTGAAGGGCCCTGTCTGGCCCTCTAGCAGTGAAGATATTTATTCGGCCAGGAAGTCGCAAGTATCAAATCATTCAAATTGGACCCTAGGGTACTTCATCCTGTCGACGGAGAGAATGGACTACAGATACGTGTCGCGACCCCAAAGAAGAAACCGGGGCGGAAGCCTTCGGGTTTATCAGGTACGATAAGAGCCCTGGGTAAGTGATAATAAGGTCAACTCGAGTCCGAAGCACTCCATTTTGGCCAGACTAGAAAGAAAACAGGGAAAAAGGCAGCTCGTCGGATGCCATGGAGGGGCCCAAAGTTAGCGGCATTGGTAATGACTCGAGGAGGCAACAATGTCAACGTGGTGAACGAATAATACACATTGAGGTTTCTGCTAGCCTCGTCTCAATTTAAGCGTACGGTCAGTTCGTCCAAGAAGACGGCCGTTCCCAAAAGGAAACCTAATCCAGGACAGCATATGACCCGCTTTGTGTCCCGCATTTGGAGGGATGTCACTGTCATAATTGGGTCCCGGCGCGAATCAGGCGGCCAGGGGGCTTCTCTTGAACAGTTTGAACGTGGTTGGAGGTCTCCACAGGGATCTGAGGATTTTATCACCCGCCAGAGCGACTCCTCCTCTATCCGGGAGTCTTCCGTAGCTGCCTTTGAAATGGATCTGAAGGTCGTCAGAGAACTCATGAGAGTGGACGATACATCCCAAATCCTCGAAATCGCCCAAGATGCCAGTGATGGTTGTCGTTTTGTTCTAGAAGATGGCGTCTGTGACCATTTCGCTGGAATCGCTGCACAGCCGCATCATTGAGGACGCTGTGAGAGCCTTAAGCACACGAATAGAGCGAGCAAGTAAGCGATGGAAAGTTATAGGTCAGAAATCGATGTTGAGTTACCGCGTTCCCACATACCTATGCTCAACGGTCGCAGGTAAAACTGCATCACGTCTTCGTGTGCGGGGATTCGCTCATGAAAGTCTACGATGTTCTTGTCTTTTCATATGGACGTCTTGTTATTTGAAAAATATTGCTTAAAAGGAAAGAGTTTCCCAGTCTTTACAGCTTTAATTGCAACAATGGGTCTTGATGTGCGGTTAGATGGTAGACTCCGTCCCAAAGCCACTGGAGCGACCTTGGTTTAAAACCAAAACATTTCCTATGCTGTAATAAGTGTTACTGCTGAAGTCCCGTATTCAGGAGCTGGGGCATCCAGACTATTACCAGCGACGAAGGCACTTGCCTTCTAGCTTGTTACCCTCTCTGGTGCTCTGCCAACTTACAGAAGTATAATTCATTTGTCCAGTCTCCAGTTTTCACCATACTTTTCCTGGTAGAAGGAAATCCATCATCGCCCGTCCCTATATTGGCTACTATTACCGGCTTCTGCGAGTCATAAAGGGAACCAAGGAACTCTAAGAAGTGTGAGCCTTAGGTTTGTAGTATCCTAGGATGCGATAAGTCTAGGCGTCTATATGCGGAATGAGCTACTCCTTAAGCAATCTTAACTTAGACTCAATCGCTGGTTCGACTGTAAGAACAAAATCAACGGTGTGAATGGTCAGCATAATATGATCAAGTCGGAGAATCAGCTATTCTGTAGGATCTTGTTCCAACGTATCTCAGTCAATGTTTCTCTATAGTTTTATATATACTTTTACTTTGTTCGTAGGAAAGAGATTCAAACGTGCTATGGTCAGCACGAGCTCTTATGTATCAGAGGACAAAGGAGGTTTCAAATGAGCAATATATATTATATAAGATCCCAGCACAATCCGAGGCAATCTGCTCTAACTTAGTTCTTGAATGTACCCCCAATAATCTTCACATTGGCAGTCGAAGACAAGCATTACTGAAATCTGTGATAGAGACCTGTTGACATCTTGCGGGATTAACAAAGGTCGCTTGACGAACCCAGTGTATGGGATATCTCTGGGGGTCGACGAGACGTCCTCGTTGATCTTCCGTTTTGATCCTATACCCCAGCTCTCTTGGATACTTGTGGACTAACCGAATGGACTTGGCTGGTCCCCGAACGCTCTCGGTGTTAAGCTGTCATTTGACTCAAGGCGCTCTACAAACTCGGTAAATTCGGAGTTAAAACTCGGTTCGGCGGGAGAAAATTACCAAGCCACATACACCACCGAGTTCGGCCCGAGACGGCAGGGCAGGCAAGTAGAGTTGGGGGCGGTCCCGCTTAGGTTTAAATAGGGCTAGTTAGCAACGACTGTTCATCTATTCAGTTCAGACTGTCTCTTGTTCTTTTCCATACATCCAGTATCTAAAGCATCACACTTGTCATGGCACAACTGAAAGTCGTCATTTGCGGTGCAGGCATAGCCGGAAATGCCCTTGCCTTCTGGCTCTCGAAACTAGGTTACGAAGTCACGGTTGTCGAACGCTGGCCGAACTTGCGGGCTACAGGACTGCAGGTAGACCTGCGCGGGTTCGGTGTCAATGTCTTGAAGCGTATGGGTCTCGAACAAGCCTTCCGTGCCAGAACGATCCAAGAGCAAGGCCTCGAGTTTATCAACAGCTCGGGCGAGCAGAAGGCTTATTTTCCGGCGAACAGAACCGGAAAAGGATTGCAAAGCTTTACTACCGACCATGAAATTATGAGAGGAGATCTATGTCGGCTCTTGTACGACGCCACGAAGGACCGCGTCAAATATGTCTTCGGCGTGACTGTCGAGAGCTTCGAGGAGAACAATACTTCGGTTGAAGTTCTGTTTTCAAATGGAAAGAAAGGCTGTTTTGATCTCCTAGTCGGTGCTGATGGCCAGTGGTCGCGCATCCGCAGGCTGATGCTCGGACCTGATACTCCGGACCCTTTCCATTTCCTTGGTGTCTACACGGGATACTTCACCATCCCTCAACCAATCCGAGAGGGGGAGCAATACATTTCGACAAACTATATTGCCCCCGGGAAGCGGATGGTGTTTACCAGAAGGCATAGTCCACAGAATATTCAGGCATACCTCGCCTGCGTGGGGACCCGGAGGGACTCAGGGATGTGCGGAGGGGCAGTGTCAATGAAGAAAAGGCGGCATTGGCCGAGCTTTTCCAAGGTGCAGGCTGGCAAACAGACCGAATTCTGAAAGGCTTAATGAAGTCAGATGACTTTTACCTCGAGCGTCTGGGCCTCGTCAAGACGAGCGTTTGGTCTCAAGGCCGGGTCGTTCTCATTGGAGATGCCGCGTACTGCCCATCAGCAGTCACTGGAATGGGCACCACTTCCAGTCTTGTCGGAGCCTACATATTAGCTGGCGAGATTGGGCAACATTGTGGGAGTGATTCCAAAGAAGGCCTTTTGACCGCGCTGAAACAATACGAGCAGTGCTTCCGGCCGTTCATGGACAAGGTTCAGAAAGGGTTATCAAGGGATTCGAATGTTTTGACCAAGATCCCGTCATCGCCCGTAGGTATCGCCCTGCTGCATTTTTTCCTCGGACTGGTTGCCTTGCTGAGGTTGGATGTTCTCGCCAAGTATATCATCCGTGAGGATGTGAGAGAATGGGATTTGCCGGAATATCAAGAGATGATACAGAGGCAAGAGTAGGGGGCAGGGATGTAATGTGTCTATGCTAGTCGGTTGGCTGTCATTCGTCTAATATGTAAGCTGATCCATCGACAAATGTCGACGGAAGAATCGGGTAGATGGTGGTTCTCACAGTTGTGAACCATGATAGACAATTATTCTTTAATAACATCTTCATCCTCGGTACATGGTTCCGGAACCATTCAGAGCCTAGAGTTGATTTAAATGTACCTTTGTCTTTGCCGACCTTTTCATGGCCATTGGTATTGGACGTGACACAGAAGTTCTTGAGGTGTCTACTGGATGGAATTCAACATCGGGGATGGTGACGGATACAACCGTTGGAGGATTCGAACGACCTCCCAGGAACACGCGAGAGAACGTCAGCACCATACGCACCGGGTAACCTCGAATCAGATACCACGCCTTGCACCGCGAGGTAAACTCGCCATACAGGCGAAGCCATTAACGCAGCTCGCCAACACCACGCACTGCATCCCATCACAACGCCCCAAGCTGATTCTCCTTGACGGTCCATCTCATGCTCAACAGATGCGTGACGAGGTGCATGATTACAATTACTATTTTTGTGCAAGTTGCATCTCAAGGACGAGATCATGGGATTAATAACAACGGGAGTCCCTGGACAACGGCCTTATCGGTGAAAATAGGCTTTATTAGGTGGTAAATTTTCCCAGAGGAGTGTCTTGTAAGAATTTGGTCGGACGAATTCTGTGTCCATGCGTTCACTAGTACCAATTGCTATTGAGGGAAGGGAGAAATAAAGACCAATTTCCCTGCCAGCAGTAGGTCCAATTTCCCTCATCCGTCCATCGCTTCCCCAGAAAATAACTCCACGTTAAAATCCACCCCCAAGCTCTGTAAGTAGAACTCGACCCAGTGGTCGATGTCAATAAGAGTAGCAACCGAAGTGTCGGGCTCAATTGGTCTATTCGGGCCAATAACGTCAGAGCCCCCGCTCGACGCACCTTGTTCATTGCTCAATTGTTTATATTCAGCGGATGGGATACCGGCTCGAACTGCCCGAGATAGTAATATCTCCTCGCACTTATGCAAACTCCTTCTTGTAGCATCCAAGATGGACTCGTGGTTATCTCGGCCTGCAAGAATCGCGTCTGCCTGCGCCAGCACGCCAGAATAGAAAATGTACAGTTTTACACTTGTCTCACCACCCTCAAGGCGCCTCCATCCGACGTCAGCGAGGGACTTTACAGCCTGGTAGAGCTCTCTTTGCGGCATAGTCATCTGCATACCCAAGGCCGATGGCAAATATCTTTCCCGGAGCTGTTGTAAGAGCTCAAAGCACACCGTCTGACCGGAATCTAGAAGTATGCACTTGAAGAACCCACGACCCGTTACTTGGATTAAATTCAGGGTGTGTAAGTCGTCTGCTCCTAGTCTTTTCTCTGAGTAATCTGTGGCTAGGATCGAGATAAGTTCGAACGCTGATTCGAGATGCATGCGCCGTGAGTAGTAGAAGCGTACGTCTGCTAGAGCCTTGGTTGCAAAAGGCGAGTGCAGTGAATGAATGAAACGGCGTGTGAGTAAGTTGACGAGCATCTCCTGGAACGGGCTGGGATGCGGTCTCTGTTGGCGTTTGACTCCAGCTTCGGTCACCGGCTCGAATGATGTAGACTCGAAGCGGCAGGACTTTGTCAGCTCCTGACTCAGACGTAAAGTCTCGTCGTACGTCTGTGCTGTGCCGACGCCATTTAGTAATTTGGTAACCTGGAGACGAGTGGGCAAAGACTGCAGCAAAATTCTTTGGCAAGACGTCTGGGTGAATGCACTATCTGGCCTTGCAAATGCAGATGTAGCCCAATCATCCTGCACCATCTCGTCGTCATTTATATTTGACGGCGGACGGCAGTCATAGTCCTCAGGATGAATCAAGGGTGGCATGCCAGAGTCTAAGCTAGACTGGACGCCAAGTTCGAGCACTGTTGCCCACAGCCGGCGGCGCATCTCAACCTGGTATAAGCTTAAGTCCTGGAATAGAGTGGGATCGCGATGCAAGCCCATAATGAAGGAAGTCCGCAGCAACGAACCCGCTGAGATCCAAACAAGATCATCTCCAAACTCGACTGCGCTAGTCTGCCTAGCTAGCAAGACTAGGCAGTAGATTTGGATTGTATCAAGGTTCAGTCGATGCTTGTTAACCGTTCCGCATTGCCAAGCATCGGTGTTCCGAATCGCCCACGCCGCAGCGATACGTAGAGACATCCTCACCTCATCGCCGCCGTTATAGATACAGCTACCAATGGCCATGGTAAGTACAAACTTGGTCATGAAGATTTCCTTAGCCGGTGTTGAGCCACTCCAGAAATCGCTGCACTCCTTCTGAAAAGTCGGGATATGTAATATTCGGAAGACAGATTCAAAAGTTCGCAGGTAATTCCCCACGAGCTCATCTGACACCTCTTTTGGCGGTATCAACAAAGCTAAGTCTCTGAGATCTGGCGGCCCCGGCGATTGGATATCTTCCAGCTGACGGGCTTTCAAAGCTCGTGCTATGCACTTGCACCTCTGCAGCATGGTATACAAATCAGATTTTGTGTCGAAGAAGACCCTAAAGCCGGAACTGTGGGTGTCTTTGAACTGAGAAACCGTTAAGGGGTGAAAAACAGAGATGACGGCCCTGCATACGCACCTGTTCTACCATATTGTTCATCCAGTGGCTCTGGCCTAAGAGCCTGGTCTTCGACAGCCGGCCCTTAAGATGTGGCATGGCCACGCCAAGATTATGCGATGTTTGAGCACCTTTGTCTGGAGAATAGTTGATGTCTTCGCCGTCTCCACCAGTGTTGTCGGGCGGCCCATGCGTTGAGCGCCTTAGATGTTGGCAGCCAGGAGGGGTGAGAGGCGGTCGTAAAAAAGACCGGCCATCGCTGTCGCCCGAGGGGACTGTACAATGATCCCGCGGAGAGCCCATCTCGGATACAAAGCCATTTGGCTCATTCGCTGTCGTACCATATACACAGGGCTCTCCGTGAAGAGCACATTGGGCACAGGGCAATTTCTTGTCGCAGGCGACTTTTCGGCGACGGCACTCCCTACAAGCAACAGCTGGGCGACGTCGTCTGCGAAAAGGACGTCCCCGGTCGTGTCTCGATACAACAGGAGGCATCACGAGGAGTGAAAGAAATCCGTTGCTACTTCAAGAGCCAGGGGCTCGTTCGCATACAAGCGAACATCAAAAGCCCGGATGTGGGGGGTTTTGCTGAACGATTAGGTAAGTCAGGTTGAACGCCTTGAGTGGAAACAAAGTTGTCTCCGAAACGTTCCGAAAAGGAGTTCCGAGAGACTAGAACACTAAGATGGATCCGAAAGATAACTGTCAGGCCAGAAGTGATGCTGGTGCCCTACTGAGACTCGGAGCAAGAAATCAGCTGCAGCAATATGTAATTTTTTTTTATCAAAAGCTAGTGAACTCATGGAGAAAGCTTAAGGGTTTATCAGTCTTGGTTTCTGACCCTGATTCATAAGCTGTAGCCGAATTTCCGCGCTGGAGTCATCGAACCCATATTTTAGGAATTGTACTACATGCTACGCTAGAAGAAAATACTCAGTGGATCTTTTGAGGGCAAAAAGGACACAAACACACTCGCAGCATCGTTATGGGGTTCCGGCGACGTAAGAGGTGGACCATGTGAAATATGGGCAAAGGCCCTATGACCGAACCTGATATAAGAGATAACTACTCTACCAGGACAATATTCTTTTTGGGCATATGTCGACTCTGGGGAATAAAACCGGCGGTGTTGGGCGATGAGCATCCTGAGTCAAGCCAAGAGCTACGTACCATGCTGAACACGTGGGATCTGTAGTAGAGAGATACTTCCGAATACATGCACCTTTATCCTGTCACGGGCTAGAAGCCATGTAAATCTATAACCTAGATTTGGATAGTAAGAAATTGCTAAGAGGTTCTAACTAGGACCATAGTGGCTGAATATAGAAAGGAGTATGTAAATTATAGTTAAGGTTATATAGCATAAGCTTGCTATATTAATTAGTACATTATTATATAACTATGAGCTGATATCTAATTTAGACTAGAGTTTGTTGATACCTAAGTAGAGTTGCATTTGGTGTGAGTTCAGGCGAGTCCAACCTTAGTTGGAACCGAACTGCTGCAATTTCGAGTTGAAATTTTAGAAATCAAATCCAAAGGACCAAATCAAATCCAATGCAGGTTGGTACCGTTGGTTGCAGTTTAACTGCAAAAAACTACAGCTAGGCCCAGCTAGGCATAGCTAGGCCTATACTAACTAATCATGGTTAGATTTGGTGTGGTTTTGAGTTGGACAAACTACTAATTTTAACTGTTATAACCCTTACCATTCCCCCTGGGGCCCCTTTAGGGACTGCTCTGACACCCCCTATTAAGCATGCTTATAGAAAATTTATATTTTGATATGAAATATATGGTAATTATAGTCATTTTAATCTATATCTAAAATATCGATTCAATATCTATAGGGCTGAATAGGTGGTGGTTAAAAAATCATTTCTAAACTATGATGGTTGTCAACCATTAGTTATATATATATATATATCCACACCACTTTCATACCAACCCATGACAGAGATAATTATTCCCTTATATCTCAACAACCACTAGGTATTTTTTCCAGGAGATGTTCTACTTTAAAAAGATCAGCCGGCTCTGAAAATATGCAAAGGAAGTTCAACAGGCACTTTCAGTTGATCTCCGAACCTAGGCGTATAGGAAGACCGCGGATCCGGCTGGGTTATCGACAGTTCAAACGTAATTCTAAGTAAGCCCTACTTAGAATACTTAAAAGAGGGTTTTATCTGCTGATTGCGAGATTTAATTGTTCCCAACTCGAGCTCGAGTCATGAACGCTCCCAAATACGAACTGCACTATACCTGGGTAGGCAGGTATACCCGTTTGAGACCCCCGCACAGCAGTACTCTCACAGGCTTTCAGCACTGCTTGACCTTTTGCATGCTGGTAGTATGCCATTACGGCCCTACTCAGAAATTTTAAACATGTAAAATGAGTAAATTGCAAGGTGTGACTGTCAAGGTGTTGTCGGATTACATCTCAAGTGGGAATGAATGCTGACGAAGGCTCCATACTCGTGTTCGTGATGGGGCCAAAATGCACACGGCACGACTTCCAGATGTCTCGTAAAACATGAGTAAAACTTTCTGTCCCACATGTAGCTGGCAATAAAATTCACGTTTTCGAACACCTTAAATCAGCACAAATAAGTGAGCAGGCTCCCTATGGGCGCGGTATATATGAAAAAATGTCTGCTGATTTCGATTAATAGAAGACTTCCTTTGATTCCACGGAGGGTTTTGCAATATAGACCAAGAAACGACATCGATTCAACGCCATGTCTCTTCCTTACCTGCCCAGCTTTTCTCAAACCACCACGATTCACACTGCTCGCCTTCTGCTGCGGCCATTCAGAGACACAGACATCACTGCACTTCGTACGCTTCGGACAGTCCCGGAGGTCATGCGTTGGACAAGGCAGGGACGCATTGATTTGTCACTAGAGGAGACCAGGAGGTGGATGGATTTGTATATGTCTGGAAGTGACACGTGCGAAAATGGTACACAGGGGCGACTGAGCTATAATTTCGTCGTGGTCAAGAAAAGAGACCCGAACCTGAGCAATCCTACACTGTCATCGAGCACACTGATAGGGGATGAGGAAGGCACTGTAATCGGTGTTTTGGGCGTTGTAGCTCTCTCCCCTTCAGGCGATCCAGAAGTCGGCTACTTATTCCATCCTCGAGCATGGGGAAAGGGATACGCGACAGAAGCGCTTCAGGGCTTCACTAGGGCATGGTGGGAACTGCTGCTTCCCGGGCATTCCCTTACTCACGATTTGGAGGCGGACGAAGCGTTCACACTGTTTGCTGTTACAGAGAAGACCAACACTGCGAGTGCGAAGGTACTGACGAAATGTGGCTGGACAGTAGTTGGCGAAGATACAGAAGATGAGGTGGAAGTTTTGCACTGGATGCTTCGGGGACCTGGTTCTCTAGGCTCTCAGGGCATCTAACAGAAGGTCTATTGCGATATGAAGCGCTGATCCAAATATGAGACGAATTAAGATTCACTACTATTGAACTCTATGTTTAAAGCACCCAGTTAACAATAAGTCCGCCCCCAAATGTGTCCGGTTGAACAATGTCTATCTGATGGTATTGTCAATTGGTTTCTGTCGGATAGGGACTCGCAACCTCTTTCCAGAGATATGTCCGACCTCTTTCAGCCATTTTTCGGCATTGGGCGACCAGAAGCTTCTGAAGTCAGTCTCCACAGGAAAGGGAGAGAAATTTGGAATACAAGCATTGAGAACCCGCCTTCAAGAACTCCAGACTTCTAGTGCGCGGCAGGAGTCTTAATAAGTAAGCCAGGGCTACATACAGCCTAGCCATCAATTAACTGTGTTTATAGTATGAAGTGAAACCAGCAGCAAATCCAAAACCGCAAGAACGCACGGCATCCTGTAGGGGCTGAGCGCCAAGAGCCTTTCCAACAGTGGTTGCAAAAAGGTGATCAGAATTTACCGGTGATATGCCTCTGTTGGCACATCACCAGTATGGCACTGCTAATAACCCTGGCCGCAAGGAGAAAAACTATAGAGGAATTTAACTGAGCTGTCTTGTTGCCAGTGATGATGGAGTCGGAAATCAGCTCTTTAAGCTCAACAAGAAGGCCTCTGCCCGCGCTGTTTCATAAGAATTTCGATTTGCTATTTTAGCATTTTTTTGGCGGCGCGGGATATGGCAGCCCTTCAGCAGCTTTCTTCTGCCAGACGCACGCACTTTTGACGCACCATTCAACGCAACAGTCTATCTGAGGCTGCTGTTTTATATACAATTCTGTCTGGGATAGTTCTTAGGGCTCAACTTCCGCTTCATCGTACAATTTCGAAGCCCTCAGCGCTGCACCGGCTCGCCTTTGGCCAGTACCTGACCAACACGGCTACAATAATTCGCCCATCTATCTTTGTCACCATCTGTTTATATGGAGGTCTCCGGAATCTCAACTTTTCCATTGTCGATCGAGGCGGCAGAGCTGCTGATCATCACTATTTGGATTTCATTACTTTCTCGGCTTTTTTGTGGTACTGTTGGCGGACATTTTGACCATGCTCCATCAGGAAGAAGCCAGTGCTAGCTCTTGAACTGCTGCTTGTCCCCTCAGTACGTCGACGGCGATAAATCCTTCGAGCTCAACTCCGAGACGGATTTGATGGAACCAGAACTCCCGCCTCCGCCTGCTACAAAGGCTACTGTTAACCAGAATAAATCTATTATTTCTACTATGCTAGAAATGGTCGTCTAGACACCTTTTTGGCGTAGTGGTTTGATGGCTGACAGCTACAAGGGCTCCAAAATAAGGAAACAGGGCGGGATACTGCGAGCGGACTACAGTGGATATAGGATCCCAGCAGATGTTAAAGAACATGTATGAATAAAGGCTCCTACTTGCTGATCACCGAAAGTAATGCAGCTGCCCTCCGCCACCTATGATAATCAAGGGATGCCGACTGCGATTAGCTTCGCCGGGTTTTACATGGTTTATGACTTACTTTTCATGGTCGTACCACCAATTTCCTTCGGGGCTGCATTGGCCAGCTTGCACTGTGTCTCAGAAATTCACCGCAATGGACTCAAGTAGTACTCCTGCTTACTTTCGGTGATGGAGCTGGAGTAAATCATACCGACACCTGGCAGCAGCTTTCAAACAAGAGGCTAACGGGTATGGTCAAGGGCAGAGGGCAGAAATCTGTTTGACTCATGAAAGTATAATCATAATGGCTCCCCTGAGATCGGATATCATCAACCAATATATCGTAAGTTCTCTTACGGAATTTGATTACTCTGCGCTGGCTGTTATGGCTACGATAAACCGTATATACTTCCAATGGTAACCGTCAGGATTGGAGAAGAGAGCTACAGCATCCCGAGCAATATCTCCGGAAATGCCCATAATTAAACAGAGACTGGTCTTCGGATTAATGCCTCCTTTCCGATGTATACGAAGACGTAAGTCATACTGTCGTGAACTCCTTGTGCTCGTGAACTCATGAGACGACAAGGTCGACGATCGATCAAACGCATCCCCTATCGCAAGGGAAATCACGAGGAGCGTAGTAGATTATCAGGCGTCTAGAACATATGATCTTCCGGAAATCGAGGCACTTGCGAATAAGTATCTCGAACATTTCGGGGAATCAATGATTCTGTTGGGCATAGCCATGGCTGCGAGGGAAGCGTTTCAAAACTGCCCTACGAGTAGGTTTGGTTTAGAAGCAATATAAAAAGACGTCTCCAGCAATTGTAGTGACTGGCACTTCAATATTGAAGCTAAAATTGGATAGTGTATTCGTCGCTAGCAACGCCACACGCAGTCTATTCATTCCATACCTGCATATCACATCGCTGTGGTGGAACCAAAAGCATACTTAGCACAGGTTTCGTTGTAAATTACACAGCAACGGTGGTACATCTGCAGGTGGACCGAGATGGTTCGACGACCGGAATTCTCCAAAACTTGGGTCAAGTCGTTCAAACACGAGAGTGTGTATTAGTGCTCGTACTCCGCAAGTTGAAGCAATTGCGTCCGTACATCGCCGTCCGATTTGAGGCTTTGAGGAGACGAGAATTCGGGGAAGTTGACCGAATTGAGGTTCGATGTAAGGCGGTCTCGCTCAATACTGCCGACATCATTCCAAAGCCTGCCTTCTACAGACATCTGCCTCCATAACCTTTCGGCAAGATATCTTTCTTTTGCGGTAATAAAGACATCACCACCGTTTCCAATCTTACAGATAAGGGCTTTGGAGACAACCGCGCTCTTGACGTCATGAACAGCAGATGTATGCAGCCAGGTATAGAAATTCTGGCCCGAGCGTACAGTGATATGCTCGGCGTCCGAATGCCCACTGCCGTTGCTTAGTGCTCTGTTTGCCCTGGCTCGCTGTGTAGCAGCCAAAGTCGCCATCTTCACTTCTTGTTGCAGATCCAGTCTATCCGAAGAGCTAGTATTCCTAGTGAGGTTCTCATCCACGACAAAACGGAACCAGAGGTCTATGTTTTGCCGTACGGCTTTGACCCTGTGGAGAGCTTCCTCATCCATATCAGAAGTATTGTCTCCATCCAGGCATTGGTGCAGAGAATGATCTGTGCAGAGATTGGTTGCATGGCACCACTTGTCGATATAGTCGACTATCATGGGGATGGCAGAGTCCGGTAGACTTGCGAGCGACCTCTCCATCAGGTCGTCTTCTTGAAACAAACCAATGGAGAGCTCTGCCACGCTGTAAATAACCCGCGTACTCAGGAGACACCCGGGGTCTGAGTTGTTGGCCAATGTCCAGAAACAGGCGGCAAATTTGATGTACTTTTCTCCCAGGGGCCTTCCAGTGGAAAATACATCCAGCGTCTTCAAATTGTCGCTAAGAAGAATCGCCTCGATTGCTGAAGCTTGTATGACCCACTTTGGTGTTTGCATTTGGGATGGCAATTGAGAAAAGTATTCTGTCATTTTGTAAACCGTGATCGTTGACACGTCGACCAGTTTGGATGGTATTTCGGCAAGTTTGTTAATAGTCTCCTCAGCTTGAACAGCAGCCATGATGTAGGAGTCCGAAACAGTCGGTATGGCATATAAGGTTTTGTCCAACCAAAGCTGGTCGTCTGTCGGCGAGCGTTGGCTTCGGGTCAAAATAAACTCGAGGCCTTTGCTAATTGCTGTTTTCACGTGGGCTGCTATCATCTCAGTGAAACTGAAACATGCCACGCTTTTCAAAATCAGGATGGCATATGCGGTCTCTTCGGCAGAGTTTGAGCTTCCCCACGAGCCGTCCTGGTTCTGGGTGTGCAAGGTTCGGATTAATGACTGAAAGAGCGTGAGCGGTAGCTGAAACCTCATAAGATTATCTGGTAATGCGGCCAGATGCCCTTCACTCCAGCGCTGGATGTAGGACATCAAGGCTTCGCACATGAGCATCGTTGGATAATAAGGCGAAATATTCTGGCGATACCCTTAGAACACAACGCACATAATCTGTAAAAATGGTTCAACATACCCATTTATCCTCGAGCATTACGTTACAGTTAAACCATGCCTCGCACAGGTAGCGAATGCATTTTTCGATTTGCGGCTGGTAGCGGCCATCGGTCGAAAGCAATACCAGAGCAGTGAGGACATTAGAATTCGTACTTACGCTTGTATGTGTCTCGTACAGGTAGGTTACGAAATGATTTTCTCGCTCAAACCGATCGACCAATGCCTGGGGCGAGTAGCGTGTTCCTTGCAGCATCAGGGCTACTAACGCCTTGGCCGTGTCATCGGCATCAGCGCACGCCTTGGGGACTATCCACAGCAGGTTAACGAAAGGGCCAAATTTTAGATTGAAGGTACTCTACCAAAGCCAACGAGCCCTTGCTTTTGAATTTCATCCTCAACTTGGTTGCCAATCTGTCTAAGGCCGCTGCTTGTTTCGAATCCATGGCGTAACAAATTCGATGTCACCTTTCCGGATTAGAATAATCGACATTGCAAATAACATGGATCAAACATACCCATGCCCATTCGAATACAGTGGTCGGATATCCTGCGGCCACAAGGCCTGATCCTCGACCCGCACCGTTGGAGATTGCATGCCGAATGTATTCCTCGGCCTCATCATCCCACACGGGATGATACATGAGATATGCTGCGGTCGCAGATGGAGATGCTAACATGCTGCCGAGGACTTTCTGATGTCTCAGGGCTTCAATGTCAACCTTGCTAATCACAGCTTCCAGAGAGTGTAAAAGAGACGATTGTGGGCCGTTGAAGATAGTTTCCAGGTTAATCTTCGAAAGTTTCTTCGACTGAAACTTAGTCAGGTATGTTCGATCAAAGTCGAATGTGTGCCCTTCCGGTTCCAGGAGATCTAGAATTGCTGGTAATCGAAGTTCTAGACCAACAGACAACGTACATGTTGCCAGCAAGCCATCCAGGCCTTTCAAGGCTGTCTGTAGGAATTGTTTTGCTTTGAGGATCCTTACGTGCAGATCTTGAAACTCTGTTTCACAGCAGTCCTCTGCATGTTTCTGTAGAGCAAGAAGAGCCGCTAAGGTGCTAACAATGCAGTCCAATTCCGAAGTAGTTCCACTCCAACTGCCACAAGGACGTTGCTCTTGTAAAATAGCCTGGAAGGCAGCTGGGAACGCCCAGACAGATTTACCTTCCGTGGACTTTTTCACCATCGAGATCCACGCGGTATCGTATATATTGCCGGACATTGTGCCTATCCCGTAGGTTGGATGGTAAGACTTATCAAAATTCTCAAACAAGCCTTGTTTCTTCATATCGACAAGTAGCGCTCCTGGATTGCCAGTCATATTGCGTGATGGATAATACTAGAGTATGGAATACAAAGGGAACTTTGGGTGAATGGTTGGTAGGGTTGATCAGCTCAGAAATATCTGGCTTAGGTTATGTCTTAAATAAAAAGCATGGGTGTACTTCAACTGGATCCGCAGGAATCTGACCCTCTCACTGGGCTACGTCAACTATAGATCGATGTTTATCTCATAGTGGCATTGACAGAAGTTCAGGCTACGAAGAACTCTCTGGGTACAGGTGTTAGTTACTTGAATACCATGTACCAGACGGTTTTTGGCTCATCGTCCAGCTGCATCCGCTATGCACAATGCAAGGCGGTCACATAGGCTCTGCCTGGAGGTATACTGGAGTTAGGGAGAATTACTGAATCTTATTATGCAAGGACTAGCTCTCCATCACAGTACCCATTGTGTGGCGAACCTGAAAAGCGCTGCAAGGTTGTTGACACCAATCATCACTGTTTGATTGGCATAAGCGATTGATACGTCCACTATAAGAATAAGATATGTCATGAGATTATCCACGTTCTAGTTTGATCTGCTCTACTTCGTATTCATTCAACTAGTCAAGACATGAAATAAATGAGTTTCCGGAAATCACAATACAATAGTTGTATGCAATGAGGGTATCTCTCAGCTGATATTCTTCCAATGCATCTCGCGGTAGGTTCAACAATAAGCTTCAAATGTGACACAGCATACACGTATTTCAAATATCACTTGCACACGTATACATCCCATCTCACCGCCAAACTCCCAACCTCCCATACTGGTTAAGAGGGATAAGAGGGTGGACCTCATGGCCATTGGAATACATATCATACCAGCTGCGCCTTACCACTCTAGCTTCCTTTCGACTCTCATACAGCTTAGCTGAGCTCAAAGGCCTATTGCACGATGGAGCGCCTCGCCGGCCAATTATAGGGAGCATTGACTCCAAGTACCTTAAGCTGTGGTACTCATAAAACACCTATCTTTCCTCATTTTTAGCATGGCTTTTCCTTCCCTCCTACAAACCACGCCACTCCCTGACATTAACGGGTCTTATGTTTCCTACCGCAATTTTGACATCCGTCATGGAGCAATTCACCATATCTATTATACTACTCGCCATATTTGGCTTGATTTTGCGCAGTATATATCGCCTGTATCTTCACCCCCTCCATCATATACCAGGCCCAAAGTTGGCGGCAATTTCTCATGCCTATGAGTTCTATCATGATGTGATCCGAGGTGGACTGTTTGTTTGGGAAATTGAAAAGATGCACGAAAAATATGGTAGCGCACAAAGATAAATCAGACCTACAATATGTTTACCCTTCGATAGGTCCAATTGTGCGGATCAACCCCCGAGAAGTCCACATCAAAGACCCGTATTTCTACGATGAGCTTTATGCTCCGAGCAGCGGGGTGCGAGACAAAGACCCGAAATCCGTAGTGATCTTCAGTGCCCCCACCTCGTTAGTCGCAACAGTTGACCATCAAACGCATCGCATGCGCCGGAAATTACTAAACAACTTCTTTTCGAGGCGGTCGATTGAGAATATCGAGCCGGTTATCCACAAGTCGCTCTCAAGATTCCTGGATGGTCTTACTACAGCCCACAAGGAAGGCAGCGTAGTAGAGTTGATCGACAGACTCCAAGGGTTGACAGGTGACGTGATAACAGAATATGCGTATGGAGAGAACTATGGGCTCCAAGATCCTGAGAACTATGGCAAAGGCATTGTCAAGGTTGTTCAGGAAGGGACGGACCAAATTCACTTCTTTAGGTTTTTCCCTCTCGTTTCGCAACTGTTGCGATATGTACCCTCATGGTTTATGGGCCAGGTCTTCCCGGCCCGAGCGGCAATATACCAGCTGCTGCATGGCGTACGGAAGCAATCAATCCTCGCGCTTCAGCAGAAGAACACTTCCAATGCTCCCCAGAGGATGACCATTTTCCAAGCTCTTACGGCTCCAGAGGTGCCGCCCGAGGAAAGAAATTTGCAGCGCCTCGAGGACGAGGGGCTGATTTTGTTTGCTGCCGGTACAGAGACCACGGCGACCACCTTATCTGTGGCTTTATTTTACATTCTGAATGACAAGAGGGTCCTTTCGAAACTTCGCAGAGAATTGGAACAAGTAATGCCAACACCGCAACATCCAACAACATGGCGCGAACTTGAAAAGCTGCCATATTTGGTTTGTACCCTGCTTGTGTATCATGGTCGTCCCGGATCCTGGTTGATAGTTTATTTCACAGACGGCAGTCATCCGCGAGGCCCTACGCTTTTCTGGAATAGTTATGCGACAGCAGAGAATTTCGCCGACACAGGCCTTAAAATACAAGGATATTGTGGTGCCTCCTGGGGTATTTTTTTGACAACCCTTTGTTCCAGCTGACACAACTGATCAAGGCAAGTAGACACCAGTCAGTATGATCGCACGTTTCGTACATATGGATCCCACCATTTTTCCTGATCCGACGAGGTTTCACCCTGAACGTTGGATGCTCGCAGCAGGGCGCGATGAAGGTCTTTCAAAGTTCCTTGTGACATTTAGCAGAGGTAACAGGGGCTGTATAGGCCTGAAGTGAGTCCGTTTCATCTATTAAAGCCTTTCACACCGCTAAGGTCGCTCACCACAGCTTGGCCTATGCGGAACTATATAGTACCCTCGCAGCTGTTGTCCGTCGATTTGATTTGGAATTGTACCAGACAACGCCAGAGAACATTCGGTTCGTACGAGACAAACTTCTTCCACGGAGCAAGGATGGTTGCTGGACGGTCCGAGTCAAGGTTGTTGGAATCCGTGAGGAATAGTGTACCAGGGTCGTGGAACTAAATTTCCTCGCCGTATACCCCTGACATCATGCATTGAATAGGGATTTATTGAGACATTTTAACAATTGTCCTTCGCTGTTTGTTGAAAAGAAGATATCTCGTCGCGATTCTCACCTGGAAGCTGAGGGGGTGTATGTATAATGCAATATGAATACCAATTAATATTGAGCTGGGTCTATTTCAAACTCCAGCCATTGCTTTCTCTGGATCTTCTAAATGAATAATAGTATTAAGGGACGCTGGGTGGATACGGAAAAAGCAAGCACTAATGCTAATATGAAGGCAGCCCCAGGACGAAGACTGGTCGATAGCAGTCCGCCCAACATCTGTAACGATGGGTTTTCAACTGTTTTGCCTTATACGGGAACTCTAAATGCAGCGAGCTCCGTCCAGCAATGTTCTTGCTCGTTAAGCATCAGCTATATCACATGAATACCAGTCTTCAGGAGCAGACAGCTGCGCTAACCGATGAATGCCAATAGTGTCCGTCTAGGGAGCTGCAGAATTCAAGTTTAACATGTCATATTCGGCCTGTCCGGCAAGGTTCAGCCCGTATCAAACGGCCCAATTTTGGGAAGATTCCATGGAGCCGGAAAATGCAGGTCCATGGATTACTGTACTGGTACTATATGTACACTACGTGTGGGGGAAAAAAACACCGTCATATCTGGCACCAGCAGACCTTTCGTATCTTAACATTTTCAACGTTTTGTCAGTGTTGCCTGACGAACCCGTGAATATCACCCCTAGGACATATCATAGCACTTGGTAACCTTGAGGCAGCATGTTCAACTTGCTGGATCAGGGCATGGCAGTGACAAGACGTAGACAGAAATATGCTTCTATTTCATAGATCTTATCGGTGTCATCGCGCACTGTCAGGCCATAGGGCTAGCCATTAGGTGAGGGCGATGACATGTGTTTATCTGGCCTGCCTTCTTGAAAAACTGACGAACTCAAGCCTGGCTGGACCGTCATGTCATAGACATCCCAGGTTTGTTTCCCCGGAGACAACATTTGGTATTTTTTAAGGATACGTCTCTGTTCGACGCCAAGCTACTCTCTCCCAGAAGAGCAGTGTCGATAACCTGTAAATATCTTGTTTGAACCCGGTGGCCTAAATCATAACAGCGCACTTTTGACGCTAACATTGACGCGCTGCATGGAGAGTTACAGAACTAGCACGGGCAACACGTCATCGATCAGCTCTTTGATAGTCGGGCTCATAGTCGTGCATGCGAATGTAACTCCAGCTTCAAGGCGTAACTGTTCTCTTAGCTCTTGCGGCGCGTTGAGGTAGTCATGATAGCTCACATTTCATTTCCTCGCACCCAATCAATATGAGTTCGTACGTGCAAACCAGCGCGACTTGCCCGGTAGTATTGGCTCACCATGCAGGATTCGAGGCTCCATCTGCAAGGTTGGGTGCATCCCTGTACAAATCAAGGCCAACCCGACAAGGCCGAGTTTAGAATTCAATTGACGAAACCAGGACATGCTGTCTCACAAGCAATAGCATAATTCTCACGAGCCTGTTTCACAACATTGTTGCCGCTTCCTGCCCTACCGTATTGAGTCTTCAGTTTGGCGGGTCGGGATGGAGATGAGCCACTGTCGCATTAGATCCTGCATGGATCACTGATGTTAATCCGTTCGAAGTTTGCCCCAGGAACGATATGTACTGCAGTAAAGCCATTGTGACCCGCCCACTTGAAATTCGGGGATCGCCCTTTTTTGCGATGGATCTGGCATCGACCAACCCTTACATATGGTTCGACGAAGTTCTATAAATGCAGCCAGCTATCACTTACACCGCCAGAGCCATCAACAGAATTTCCCGCCTCCGAATGTGTGCTAATGACAGTCCCTACTCTATTGTGATTATTCCCCCTAACCGACTGACAATGGGCCAAACCACTTCGGTTCCGAAGCCCGGAACCCAAATCCAAGTCATCGGCGCCGGACTGCCTCGCACTGGGACTACATCCTTTAGCATGGCCTTGTCTATCCTGCTCGACGCGCCCGTCTACCACTGCAACACCCAAACCACACGCGGCCCACCTTCAGAGCTAAAATCATGGATCCGCATCCTCCACGCATGGCTTGACGGCGATCGTCGCACTGTCTTGGCTGTCCTCAAATCCTGCCTGGCTGGCTACGCGGCCGTCACCGACACTCCGGCCTGTCACCTTCTACCAGAGCTGGTGGAGCTCTACCCCGATGCCAAAGTCATCTGTACAGTGCGCGACCCGCTCGCGTGGGAAAAGAGCATGAAACAAGCCCATGGGCTTACGAGAACGTGGTTCCTAAAAGCCCTCCTCTTTCCACTGCCGGGCATGCGACATTTTGTGGACTTTACTTGGCTGCTACGGCGGCAGTGGAGCAGGCTGTATGCCGATGGTCGACGTTTGAATTCGGTCGATGAGGTCGCCGCCACCCTGCCACAGAGGGAAACCTACTCCAGGCATCTGGCCTGGTTGAAGGAAAATGTGCCCGCCGATCGGCTTGTGTTCTTTGACGTGAGGGAGGGCTGGGAGCCGCTCTGTAGAGCGCTGGGTAAAGATGTTCCGAAGGATGTACCCTTCCCGCATGAAAATGACTCGGTGGGAATCGAGCGCACCGCAAAATATCACATCCGGCGGGCGTTGATGCGGTGGGCGGTGATTTTTGCTGTGGCTGGGGTTATTATCGTAGGCGGTTTTGGGGTGTGATGCAAGTTCGAATACAAAGACTCGATACCGACTCGTAACATGTTATACCATTACATTCCGTTACGGCGAGGTTATCGCTTTTAGAGCCCCTCGCGTCAATCCTACATTGCCGCCAGGCTCTTGATAGCAGTAGTTCAATTTTAGCTTCGTCCTCCCTATTTGGATGAGTTCGAGGTTTGTCTGCAGTTGATTCGGGCTGCGATGCTTACATTGCTCTCTCTGGCTGCGTAGTCGGGTCTATATGAGGATAGGGGGTAGGCAGCCTGCCCCGTGAGGTCGTCGACGCCTTCCGAGGTAGTTTTACCTCCCCCATTTTCCTTTCATTAAGCCTAGACAAATTATCTGGTATATTTGAATGCCCCTGCTACTTACAGGTAAAAGTCAATACACCGTATCACATTTGAGAACACATGTAATTCTTTATTTGCATGCTTCCAGGTTGCAGCAGCACCTTCTCAGATAAAATCGGGTGGCTCTATCATGTCTGCAGAGTCCATCGTCAATCAAAAAAATGGTGGGGAGTACTGTGGGAGAAGAGGAGGAAAGTGACAGCTGATATATAGGTGTAAGGCCTCCAGCTTTTTGGTATCCTGGGATAGTGGAAAGAGTACTAAAGCAGCATTAATGAATACCAGTTTTCCTTCTATAGTCTATATTATTACAGCCAGAGGATTTGTTCTTCTTGAGGAAGGAAATACACTATAGCTATTTTTAAAAATAACTTCTAGATATTACACCTGGCTCAGAAAACTAGTTTTAGGGCATATTAGTAATTAAATTATAATAACGTAATTCCCAACCGAGCCGCCCACCCGGGCGAGCCGCCCACCCCTCCCGATTTCGACGCGTTTGAATCTTGAATCTATCTAAACAGCTACCATGCCACCAAAATCGCGTCAAACCTCTGGGAATTTAGTGGAACAAGAGGGAAGGATCCAATTAGCAATATCTGCTTTGAAAAAAGGGCAAATTTCAAGTATTTGTCGCGCTGCAAAGACATTTGATGTGCCTAAATCTACCCTCCGTGGCCGCCTGAATGGATGCCAATATCGAATCGAACAACACGCCAATGGCCACCGACTATCTTCTACACAGGAAGAATCATTAGTAGAATAGATACTATCTAGGGATCAACATGGAGTGCCCCCTAGGCCATCTCATATGCAAGAAATGGCGAATATCCTTCTCCAAGCCAATAATCCATCTGGATTCAAACCTGTTGGTAAGAACTGGGTGTCTACCTTTATCAATCGACGTGAGGAGATCAAAACACGATATGCTTGATGATATAATTATAGCTATGCTTAATGTAAGGATCCAAAGATCATTAAGGGGTGGTTTAATTGCCTACAACAGATCCAAATGCAATATAGCATCTCCTATGAAGATATCTACAATTTTAATGAAACTGGCTTCGCTATGGGCTTGATTGCAACTACTAAGGTAGTTACAAGGGCTAATATGCCTGGGAAGCCTCACCTTATTCAGCCAGGCAATCAGGAATGGGTTATAACAATTGAATGCGTCAATACTACTGGCTGGGTGATTCCATCTTGTATAATCTTCAAGGGGAAGGTTCATATTAAGGGATGGTATCAAGATCACACCTTACCATCTGACTAGAGAATTAAAGTTAGTCAAAATAGATGGACAACAGATGAGATAGGCCTTCGATGGCTTTAAAAGGTCTTTATCCCTATAATAACTAGCCATACAGTTGGAAGATATCATCTACTTATTCTAGATGGCCACGGGAGCCATCTAACGCCTGGTTTTGATAAGGCCTGCAGGGATAATAATATTATTACTGTCTGTATGCCTCCTCATTCTTCCCATCTCTTACAACCACTAGATGTTGGTTGTTTTAGCCCTTTAAAACATGCTTACAGACGCACTGTTAAGGAAAAGATATGCTCAGGATACAATCATATTAATAAGTTTGACTTCCTTAAAGCATATCCAGCAGCTCATCTAGAGGTTTTTAAGCCTCTAAATATTTAGAATGGCTTTACTGCAGCTGGAATCTATCCATTTAATCCAACAAGGGTGCTTAAGAAGCTAAATATCTGTATATCCACCCCTACCCCCTCCAAGCCGTGTAAGTCAATCAACCAGTTCATCATGGCTTGGAACGCCTCATACACTTCAGCAATTACACAAGCAAGCATCCTCAGTCAAGAAGCTCCTAAAACAGCAATCCCAAAGCCCTTCACAAAAAGCTATACAGCAACTTATTAAGGGCTGCGAGATGGCATCATGGCCATGCACAGTGCAGCCCTACTAGCAAAGGAGAATCATGATCTACGCGCAGCCAATGAGAAAGAGAAGCAGAAAAGGAAGCTATCTAGACACCAGATGGCTCCTAATGAAGGACTCTGCATTCAGGAAGCTAGGGATCTTATCCAGGCAAGAAATGAGCAAGGGAATGAGATTAGGGGGTCATCTATTGATTCCGCGCCTTTACCTTTAGAACCCCTAAAACGCGCGCCACCAAGGTGTTCTAATTACTTCATTATAGGGCATACTAGAACTAGATGCCCTACACGCTGTACTAGCTAGATCTAATAAAAATCTATTGTTTTGGTTGATTTGGATAGCTTCAAACATTTTGAACGGATCGAAATCAGGAGGGGTGGGCGGCTCGCCCGGGTGGGCGGCTCGGTTGGGAATTACGTTATTAAGTAGAGTTGCATAACCGAACCGCAAAAATCGAACCCGAACCTCACCAAACTCGCAGCAGTTTGGGTTTGGTTCCTAGCCTAGGGAATCGCACCGGTTTTGATTTCTATAGGGTAGAACTGTTTTGGGTTTAGTAAAAACTGCTAGTTATGGTTTTCATGGTTTTATTATTTATAAGTTAGGTAAAACCGCCCAACCCATTTAAAGGTATTTACAGAGGTATTACAAGTTAAAAAATAGACTAAGTTAACTAAGTATTCTAACCATGGTTAGATTTTATGAAGACTATATAATAAAGCAGAACTCCTCTATTATATTAATATAATCTATTAAATAACTCGCCCTTGCCCCTTATTAAGGTCTTTAAAATGCCCTGGTGGATGAGCTGCATGGTAAGGTTATAATAACTAAGGAGTAGTAGGGGCCTAGGATGCTGCTTAAGTAATAATAGTCTATATTATAGGTAGATAATTATTATTAATATTATCTCTGTTAGACCCCTCTCTGCCAGCTACCTCTTACTAAGTTATATAAGTACTAGTATTATCTATCTTATTATCTTTAATATCTTTATTATCTTTGTTAAAGCTACCCTGATCTTCTTTACCCTTATTAATATTAGGTATAATATCTAGATTATCCTAATTATTATTCTCTTTCTTAATATCTCTCTCACTAACCTCATTAAGCAAGATCTGGAATTCTTAATTAATTTTAAATTAATCAGTGCATATTAAGAGCATGATAGACTATATTATGTTAGGGTTTAGGTAGCTATATTAATAGTAATAGATATCCTAAGCTGTGCTAAATAGATTCTCTGGCCTAACACTAGTTACTAGGATAGTAAGAAAGTCTTAAGTAATTAAGGTAAGTATTAGAAATTAAGATACATTCTACTTTCACTAGTTAAGAATATCAAGGGAGTCCTCATCTGGATGGTGATCTAAAATCTTACTATAATTAGATTAATAGAAGGATAGTAAGGGAAGGGTAACTTATATTTATTAAGACAATTAGAAAGTTCATTATTAATAGTAGACTGGCTGACCCAATCCGCAAATCCATATCCAACCCACCCAATCCGCACTTTGGGTTGGATGGGGGTCGACCCTGATCCAACCCACATAGATATGGGTGGATGGCATCCAACCCATATGGATATGGATAACCCATTGGGTGCACGTGACCGGCAGAATAATAGATATTCATGATATTCTCTCAAAGAGAGATCTTTCTACCTACTAAAAGTAGTATAGTCTAGATTCTTAGGTCTTTCCGCCTACGAAAAGTAGTATAGTCTAAAATCACGTGTATGATATGGGTAGAATGGTTATCCGCAACCCAACCCGCATGGATATGAGGGTGGGTCAGATAGGTGGTGGATCAACCCAAAACCCATGTGGGTTGGATTGAACCCCCTGCGGATCCATCCAAACCCAACCCACGACCAGTCTAATTAATAGCATCTTCATATAGTGAAACCCAGCACTATTTTAACTTATAAAGGGCATAATTCAGGCTAATTAGTGGTGCTTAGATAGATAATAGAGCTTAAGTATGTGGATACTTCTCCTTATAATAGTTAAAGATCTTCCTGAGCTTATAGTGATATTCTCTAACCTAGTTATAACTATTATTATCCTAAGAAGCACTTTAAAAGAATAAAAGTTTTTAATATGGATTAAGAATTATACTAATAGCATAAATAAGATTATAAAAGCTATAAGTCTTCTTATAGTATTCCTTTAGCTTAGTATATGCAGCCTGTAGGGCTTTATAGAGTTATTACTTCTAGTACTATCTCTTACCCTTAAGGAGCTTCATTAAATCTTTAAGATAATTAAAGAGACCTTTATAGATACTAAAGACTTAATATACTATAGCTCTAGTATATTCTAAAAGTGTAGTTATATAGATATAGAACTCATGAAGAAGCTAAAGGAGGTACTTAATATAATACTATTCTTCTAGACTAAGAGTAAAGGAAGAGATATCTTTATTAATATAATATATAATAAAGTATTATATTAGTTTATGTAACTAATAGGCATGCTTTAATATTAGATATATTAAATTCTACTATGTTTTGCAATCCAGAAGTAAGAGTAATAGACTAGTATTTAAAGTTATTTACTATCTTTAAAAGGCTTCTCTTTGTTTTGGGCTTATAAGGATGAAGTGTATAAGCTTTTAAATCTATCTACTAGTTAGTATAATCTAACTACAGCTAGATCTAATATACCTTCTCTATTATTCTTAAGAGGCTCTTTTCCTTAATCTTATAGTCCTTATTATCCTACTCTGTAGTTAGTTCATCATTGTATGCCTGGATGCTGAGTGTATGAAGAAAAGTAGTTACTACTAACTAAATTACATGGGCAAGGCAAGGTAAATAGTATTAGGATTTAAGTAGTTTATAAAAGTCTAGATTAAAGGAGAAAGTTAATATCTAGCTAGAGTTGCATAACCGAACCGCAAAAATCGAACCCGAACCTCACCGAACTCGCAGCGGTTTGAGTTCGGTTCCTAGCCTAGGGAATCGCACCGGTTTCAGTTTCTATAGGGTGGAACCGCTTCGAGTTCGGTTAAAACCGCCGGTTACGGTTTTTGCAGTTTTACAAGTTAGGTTAACCAACCCGCAACCATTTTACCTAGAAATTACTGAATTCTAGATATTTTTAATTGATATTAACATCACTAGATAGCCTGAATCAAAGGCTATCTAGTGATATAAATATTATTCAAAAATACCTGGTGGTTGCTGAGATATAAGGGAATTTCATCTCTGTCATAGGTTGGTATGAAAGTAGTGGTAGTTTTTATATATATGCCACTGACTGTTGACAATAACCATATTTAAAAATGATTTTTTAACCACCACCCATTCAAACCTATAGATATTGAATTCATATTTTAGATCTAGATTAATATGATGATAATTACCATATATTTCATATAAAAATCATAATTTTATATAAGCATGTTTGATAGGGGCGTCAGAGAGGTCCCCGAAGGGGGAATGGTAAGGGTTAAAATGGTTAAAATTAGCGGTTTAACCAACCCAAAACCGAACCGAATCTAACCATGGTTAGTTAGTATAGGCCTAGCTAGGCCTAGCTAGGCCTAGCAGCGGGTTTTGCGGTGAAAACCGCAACCGAATCGCATTGGGTCCGGGTTTGGTGCGAGTTCTAAATTTTGAACCCGAAACCGCAGCGGTTTGGTGCCAACTAGGCTTGAACCCGCCCGAACCTGCACCAAATGCAACTCTATATCTAGCTACTCTTATTAAGTTACTCCTTTAGTATTGCAGTAAGCTTAGTAAAAATTATTCTATTATTACTTATATTATTAGTAGTAATCCTAAGAATCTAATGACTTAACTTATGCTTCTTAAGGACTTCTATTATAACTAAAGTAAGTTACTCTCTAGTATATTTACTAGAGACTGGTGGAAAGCTAAGAAGCACCTTATAATAGTAGAATTATAGATAGATCTAGTAGCTAGTAATTACTATAAAAAGTTTCTAGTCTAGACTTATCCAGTAATCAAGTGCAATTGAGACCTTTACATCTAGTAGAAGAGATATAAGTAGTTCTTAATGTATGCTTATAGCAAGGTCTATAAGATATATCTTAATCTTATTATAGTTTAGGATTAAAAGATTTAACCCTAGCCTAGCAACCATGTTAAGCATTTACTTAAATTATATATGCTTAACTATTTAGAAGGGAAGGTGACATGTAATTAGGAACTATATAACCTAATCTTTAAATCCTAGTATAGAATACTGCAAAGTAGGTGTATTAACCTAGGAATAAGAGGGCATAAGATTAGTAGTTAATCTAACTATGGTTAGATTTATAAAAATATACTATTACCTATAATAAGTAAGTAGTAATAGTTTATTTACTTATAGTAGATTAACCATCACCTTTAAATTGTCATGGGCTGCCCCCATGACACGCGCCGCCTTGTGTACGCGGCTGTGTGATCACCTGACTAGCAACTGGCGTCCAGCCTGGACACCACCAACTGATCAATCATGTGATTAGGACTGGTTATTACATTGATTAGTATGATAGCTGCCTGTACCTAGTTTCCTTCCTTCTCTAGCAATTCCACTTCATACCTTCGTGGCCTATTGGGACGGCTAGAGTAAAGCCTCAGACTGAGATATTCTAGCCTGTGACAGTTGGAATTGCTCACCTGCCTGCTAGTAGTGACAATAGCTAACAAAGCTATTGTGAATCCTTAGAGAGAATTTTCACTACCCCTGATCGGACCTGACCCCTGAAAATTTTATAAGATGTCTGACCAATCCACCCTCCTCCTGCTTATATAGCAACTCCAGCAAGAACTCTAGAACCAGCGCACCGAGATCCAGACCCTATGTGCAGATCTAAATGCCTCCTGAGCTGACATCCAGCTACTCCAGACCCAGCTCTTATCTATGTCAAGATCCTGCCTACCAGACCCTCCCCGTTTTGATGGCAAACCATATACTCTGCGCACCTGGCTCCCATCCATCCAAGCAAAACTCTGATCAGACAAGCTCACTGGAGCTGATGCTTTTGATTATGTATGGGATTGACTAGAATAGCCACAACAGGCTTCAGTCCTTCACCTATGCCAATCTGCAGAAGAAACCCAGTCATGGGATGCAGAAGTCATCTTCTTATTCTTCCAGCATCTTTGCCATAATCCCAGAGAACACCAGGAAGCCATGCAGCGCTTTACTACTGTGTAGCAATAGGAAGATGAGTCCCTTATTGCCTTTCTTGCCCGCTTTGAGCGCCTTATGTATGAGGCTAGAGCAACTATATGGCCAGATAGTTCATGCTTGTCTACCTTACATAGAGGGCTTCGCCCCTCCCTTCGCCAGACCCTTGAAGATACGAACGACACCCTCTTTAGCCTCTCATATAATGAATATGTAGAGCTTGTCCAGCTTATTAATTAATATACCCGTCGTGCCCAGCCTGTCAAGAACCCTGCTATGAAACCAGCACCTAGCCAGACTCACCATACCGACCTAATGGATACAGACCCCATTAGGATTTCCCGCACATATGCTATTAGACCTGCCTCTAGACGCCACTCTCAATCGCCTGCTTCTAAACGCCGTTCTTACCAACTAGAACATGACCTCTGCCTGTACTGTGGTTCTGATGACCATTAGATTGAGGAATGCGATCAGCGCTCATGTCGCTCTAGCTCACCTACTACATCCCAGCCTGGTTCACCTGCACCTGCCCCTGCTAAGCCCCATACTAAGACAACAGCCCAAAGTTCTGCTATGGACGCCCTCTTCAGTTAACAGCCCCGGAGGTGGCCTTAAAGGAGGGGGGTATTGTCATAGGCTGCCCCCATGACACACGCCGCCTTGTGTACGCGGCTGTGTGATCACCTGACTAGCAACTGGCGTCCAGCCTGGACACCACCAACTGATCAATCACGTGATTAGGACTGGTTATTACATTGATTAGTATGATAGCCGCCTGTACCTAGTTTCCTTCCTTCTCTAGCAATTCCACTTCATACCTTCGTGGCCTATTGGGACGGCTAGAGTAAAGCCTCAGACTGAGATATTCTAGCCCGTGACATAAATAAATACTTCTAACTTAATAGGTGTGACTTCATTGTTATAGTCCCTATATACTCTAAAGATAGATAATAAAGAAGTATATAATAGTATTTATAATAGACTTTAGGTTTACCCTATGATTATATAGCTACTTTATTAAAATAAATCTAGGCTAATGAATATTTCTTCCCTCCCTATTTCATTCTCTTCTTCTTAATTAAGTTATCCTACTTCTTCCCCTATATTATTTCATTCCACTACTTGTGGAAGATATTCTTTATATATATAAACACCTTAGTTAAAGTATAGTCCTTAGGGGATAGGAATTTAATAATATAGTCCCATCTGGTAGGCCCTGGGAGGGTTATAAGGCATGCTAGAAGAGGTATAGGGCTGGATAGAGTAGGGTTAATAGGGGGATCTACTAAAGATAAGAAAAAATTACTTAATAAAGAATGCTAGTGTGTTAATACTATAGGTAAGGGATAATAATAAGATAACCCTTTAGGTTAACTTATCTCAGATATAAGAAATAACATGTTTTAAAGTTAGGGAGTAAAGGTATGAGGGAAGTAAGTAATATTATAGAGTTATAACTTTATTAAAGTAAAAGTATGAAATGCACTCATCCTAGGGAACTAGAATATAAAGTTCAAATCTAACCACAGTTAGTTTCAGAGATAACCAAGTTCAAATCTAACTGTAGTTAGATTAGGGACTTACTAAACCATCTGTCCATCCTAATAGCTCTAACTATTAGTGCCTTGAGAAAGGCTTTAACTATTAGTGCCTACAGGAAATAGAGTTTACATCTAACCATAGTTAGTTTTAGAGATGACTAAGTTCAAATCTAACTGTAGTTAGATTAGGGACTTACTAAACCATCTATCCATCCTAATGGCTCTAACTATCAGTGCCTTGAGAAAGGCTCTAACTATTAGTGCCTATAGGAAATAGAGTTTACATCTAACCATAGTTAGTTTTAGAGATGACCAAGTTCAAATCTAACTATAGTTAGATTAGGGACTTACTAAACTATCTATCCATCCCAATAGCTCTAAAACCATTAGTTACTATCTCTAAGTCTAGTATTTATATTAGCTTAAGCTCCATCATTTATATCCACCTAACTTCTATTATTTATATCTACCTAACTTCCATCATCTGTATCCACCTAAGCTATACTATTTATGACCCCCTAAGTGCTATTCAGAGTATTATTATTACTATTCTTGCCATAGTTTACTTCAATAATAAGATTCTCTTTGAAATTAGTTATATAGTTATTACTAACTTTATATTGTGTATTTAATTTATAAATCTTCTAAATAACTTCCCACCCTATAGCCTGATCCTAATTTTTAACTATAATTACTAATTTATTATAGAGCTTCCGGAGCTCCCTACTATATATATGATATCTTATATTACTTAAATATTTAATATTAATTAATAGCTAATAGGTAATCTATAAATCTATATTCTCCTCCTGCTCTATAGTACTTTTATCTATTAACTAATTAGCAATCTTATTAATCTAACTATAGTTAGATTATAGAGCCTATCTTCACTATGCTTTTACTTCCTTGTAGGTGGCTTCTTAAATAAGTTCTTAGTAACAGACTTTACTAGGTTATAGATTTATATATAAAGTTTATCCTCCTCTATAATAAGGTTTATAGGGTGTCATTCCAAAAACCCTTTCTATTAATAAGATGTAGATGGGGGCTTAGGATTATGGTTATAGTAATTAAGAGTAAATAAACTTAGATTCTTAGTAGAGTTATTAATATTAGTTTTATAACTAAATTACCTAAGTATTACTATAAGCTCTTATAGGACCTCTACTACTATCTTATACTCATCCTATAATAGATAAGTATCTCACTATAGTTAGATTAGGATGGGTACTAGACTTACTAGATCTAGAATTACTTTAGGTGCGCCCCTCTTCTTCTTAATACTATTAGCTTTCCACCCCTACTCTAAGGTATTTAACATAAGCTATTTTAACTCCTAGTAGTACTATAAGGCACCACTAATATTCCCTTCTAGTTTGAGGGATGCGTGGTTCATGCTTATATTAAGGGATTTAACCTTCTAAAGTACCTAATTCTATATAAAGTTTGCTGTTGCAGTAGTACCATCCTATAGGCAGTATAGTATCCAGATCTTAGCCTGTAGTAATAGTTAGTAATCTTACTATAGTTAGAATAGATATAAGAACCCTATACTAGTTTATTATTATTATTAAACTTCTTCATTATGCTGTTAAGGCATTATCTAGTATATTTAGTAACTAATTTAATAATCTATTACCAGTGCGGTGCTTTAAAGTAATTAATATAAATTACTAACTTAGTACTAGCCTCTAATCTAATATCTGGCTAGAAGTTCAACTAATTTCATTAGTAGAAATATAACTATAGCTAGGTTAGAACTTACCTATTCCTTAATGTAGGGGTCTTACTAGAGATTCTTACTCTGGACTTCTATCTAGATATCTAATAGGAATCTCTTCATATTATCTGCTAAACTAGTATTCTTAAACAGGATATTCTTAATGGTGGTTATCTATGTAAAGCTCTTAAGTGCATTACTAGCTACCTATAGGTAGACCTATATTAGGTCTACTCATGTTATGATATGCTTTAGGAGAAGTTTTATATTAACTCCTATATTTTGGTAAAGGAGACCCCATTCAGCCCTAGTTAAATATTAGTGTGAATCTAACTATAGTTAGATTCCTGCTACTTACTATATTAGGTATTTAAGAGTATGATTAGCCCTAAGATTCTTAAAAACTTAAATATACTCTTTGTTATTTAGGGTGTGCAGGAAGGCTGGTTGCTAGTTAGTATATATATACTTATTAAGCTAGAATAGCAACCTAAGCTTTAGGAGCTTAATTTAATTCTAGTATTCTATAGAGAGTGCCTAAGATGTCTTCTTCTTAGTTTTCCTATCCTAATAGTCTTTGCATTTAGGAAAAAACAGAATCTATAATATAAGATTTGGACGGCCTTCCTTAATTTTAAGGATTTTTAACTAATTACTTAATAATATAGAATACTTGTAATCACTAAAGATCTTTTCTATGAAATCAAAGAATTTACAGAACTTATTTAGCTAAATCTAACTATAGTTAGATTAGCTGCCGCGCCTTATAAACACTAATATAGACTCTTACTTACTGTATTGAGTTTTGCCTATATAATATTATCTATTAAGGTCTAGTTAAAATGCTGTTCTCTATACCGTGTTATGTAGTACTAGTATGTGATTAGGTGGAATTAGTTATGTCTGAGGATAGTAAGAATACATGCAGAGCTGTTAAGGTTAATACTAAAGATATTATTAACCTAATCTTCCATGATATTTAGCTTGAGTGTAGACTCCTATTCTTTAGTTAAGAGGCTTTAGAATTAGCTAATAAACTACACAGTACTAAATCCTTTAGTATTAGGTTTCTAGATAGTTTATTAATTAGCCATCAGTGCCTGCACAACCTTAGGTGAGATAAGGTCTTTAGCATATATATTAGCCGCCCATAAATACATCTATTCCTATTAGTAAATATGTAATTTAACCATAGTAAGAATTTATATTATTAGTTAGTACTGTAATGGGCTGTCCTTATTAATCTTTTATAGAATTTCTAATATTATTAGCCTGCTCCTTAAGGAGACTAATAAGGGCTTTAATATAATATTACTTATTAGTAATAATTAGGGGTTTAACTAATAGTAGAATTAATAGGATTATAACTAACTCATCCTAGTGCATATTAGCCACTAAATCTAACTATAGTTAGATTTAATCTATACCTTTATACTGGTATGCTTAACAGCACAGAGTTTTATAGCTACTAATACCCTTTTCCTATTTAACTTTCTAAAGTCTATAGTTATATCTGGATGCTGCATGTTCATGGCATGCTTTAAGAGCTTATTAAACTAGCTTAATACTATTAACACCCTTAGTCTATCTTTAATAGAAAATCTTTAAGTGCCTACTCTAAATATTAACTTTAGTTTTATAATTAGGTTATTATTAAGGGCTTAGTTCCATCCTATTTTCTAGTCTAGGCTTAGTTTATGAATATTAAGAATAATAGTCTTAAGATAACTTTGTTTAAGTTCCTGATAAATAGTATCATCCTTAATTATATCTATAGTGATAGTATTATTTGCCTCCTTAGTCTGCTACACCTTAGTCTTCTACTTTAACTT